TGACCCATCTCAAAACCACAAAATTTTAATTTTTTTCAAATTTCAAATTCAATAAAACCCTCAGAAGCCAATCGAAATCTCCTCGAGCCTGATCTGGGTTAGAAACATTTGTAATTACAATAAAAGCATAATTGCCATTCCTATTAAGGTGTGCTTTCACCCTGAAGGGAAGAGATTTCAAGAATCTCTCCACACGAATTTGGGTCAAAATCAGTCGAATTTCGCCGCTGCTTATTATAGACGTTTTCTTTGCGGGGTCAGCGAAGAAAACGGCGTCGGCGGAGAAAGTGAAAACTTTCACCTTTTACTCTCTGAGTTTGTAAAAAATTGAAGTTTTGTAGGTTGGAAAAAAAGTTCTTGCTAACTTATGTTTTGTAAAGAAAGTTATTGCGGTTTTTGACTTTGTAAAGAAAGTTCTTGCTATTTTTTATTTTTTGAAAGAAAGTTCTTGCCATTTCTTCATAAATTCACAAAATTTACTTTTCTGCATCCCGCGGGTGACAAGTTATACGATCAATGGCATTTTATGCGTTGTAAAGAAAGTTCTTGCCATTTTAAGCCCTGTAAAGAAAGTTCTTGCGTTTTTTTGTTTTGGAAACAAAGTTCTTGCTAACTTGTGTTTTGTAAAGAAAGTTCTTGCCATTTTGTGTTTTGTAAATAAAGTTCTTACATTTTTTAAAAAAAGTGTAAATTTTGGGATATGCAGCCTGCGAGTGACAAATTATACGACAGATGGCTTGTTTTGCCTTGTAAAAAAAGTTATTGCCGTTTTTCGCTATGTAACGAAAGTTTTTGCATTTTCTGAAAAAATGAAACTTTTGTAGTTTGGAAAGAAAGTTATTGCGGCTTTTTCTTCTGAAAACAAAGTTCTTGCGTTTTTTGAAACAATTAAAGTTTTTTGCACTTTGTAAAGAAAGTTCTTGCTTTTTTTTAAAACAAAAGCTGATTTTTTTGCGTTTTGCAGCCTGCCGATGACAAGTTATACGATGGATAGTTTTTTTTAAATTCTTAAAGCAAGTCTTTGCTATTTTATGTTTTGGAAAGAAAGTTTTTGTCATTCTTTGTTTTGTAAAGAAAGTTATGGCCATTTTATGTTTTGTAGACAAAGTTCTTGCCGTTTTATGTTTTGTAAAGAAAGTTCTTGCCATTTTATGTATGTTTTGTAAAGAAAATTCTTGCCGTTTTTTGTATTTATTTTTAATTTTTTCATTTATAAGTATGAAGTTCTTTTGCTTTATCATCTTTTCCATGTTTTTCGAGATTCTCAGAACATGTTTATGAATACAAAGGATGGGCAACGAATAGGCGACACGTTTTTCTTGTAAAAAATGGCCGGAAAACGAGAGTAAAATCGACAGAATGCGGTAAAACCAAGAGGTTTTTGACTGCATTATGAATAGGTTTAGTTGTATTTAGGAATGGCAGTCTATTTACAATCTTTTTTCTTTTTTTAAAGTTTGGGTTGGTCAAAAAGTCTGTAGAATTTGGGTTTAAACTTGATTTTTTAGGGTGTTTGGGCGATTTTTGGGGAAAACATGTGACAAAACAGATTATGATCGATTTTTGGTATATTTTTAAGACTTTTATTATTTTACAGTACCTCTTTTGTTATTTTAAAGTATTTTACAGTACCTTTACGTCGGCATCTTACTGTAATAGGGTTTTAAAAAAGTTTTGTCAGGTCTTTGGGCCAAATATATGACAAAAGTAATGTTATGGTCGATTTTTGGTATCTTTTTAAAACTTATATGACGTTACAGTATCTCTCATATCATTTAAAATTATTTTAAACTACTTTTATTTTGGCACTTTACTGTATTTTGGCTTTAAAAAAGTTTTGTCGTTTTTCTTTATATAGAGTAAGGTTAAATGGCGACAAGACTTTTTAAAGGCTCTCTATAGCTTTATAACTTACTGTATGCCTTACAGAGCTTGTAAATATAATATTCATCATAACATATTTATGTCATACTGTAGCAAAATAAATTTTTACAGTAACCTGCTTTACCTTGTTACATATGTTATCATATGACATTATTTACCTTATACCTAGCATGTTTTGCCAAAAATAGTTGAAATAAATTAAAATTGACGCCAATCTAATCATATTGCAAAGCCAAACATTGTGTTTATACCTACATAAATATACACTCGCAATGTAAACGTTCAACTTTTTTTTGCCGTTTCGAGCACGGTACAGCACGTTCAGCACGGTAAATGCAAATTTTTTGGGAAAAAAATTTTTTAAATTGAAAAAATTTAATTTTTTGCCTTTTTTCATACCTAAAAAGTCATTTACACGCAATGTAAATGTGAATATATAAAGGCAAGGTATTGGTTTGTGTTTATGTTGGCAGTAAACAAGTTACTGTGTAATGAAGTAGGGTAAATGTTGGCGATATGTAGGCGGTTGGGTGGGTAGAAAATGGACTTTTATACTGTTGTTTGGTGGATTTTCTTATTAGGCTTATTTTTTAGGCTTTAACTGCAAAGCTTAAGCTTATTAGTCTTAGGTTTAGTAGGCTTAGGCTTAGTAGGCTTAGGCTCAGTAGGCTTAGGCTTAGTAGGCTTAGGCTTAGTAGGCTTAGGCTTAGTAGGCTTAGGCTCAGTAGGCTTAGGCTTAGTAGGCTTAGGCTTAGTAGGCTTAGGCTTATTCTTAGTAGGCTCAGGCTTAGTAGGCTTAGCAGGCTTAGGCTTATAACGACTGCTTTTTTCTTTGTTTTGCTTTTCGTTCAAAACCTTTTACTGTTATAATCCTCACAAGCATGTACCTTATCACGATTCTCGTTAGACTACAAAAATCTAACCGTTCATACAACTTTTCTTATCAGAACTTCCAAAAGAAGGCTAACAAGTCTATGATAACATTCGAAACGAACACTATAGTATCAATTGTTAAACTCCAAATCGGAAAAAATCTTCCTACCACATGATTTCCGGTGCTTATTAGCGGTGTTATCATTTTGCAGCACTACCTTTGTATTATATATTTAGCGATTTCCGGAAATGCGATAAAACTTTGTTTACACTGTTGTTTGTAACAATGTTGTTGTTGTAACACGTTCTATCAATCAATCTTTGTTTACTGGTTTTTATGAGAGTTTTTAGATCATTTTGAATGATTTTGAAGAGATTTCAAAATGTTTTGAAAAAAAATTTAATATGTCATCATTTTTTTTGTACTAAAGACACAATTTACTGATATTGTAATTTAAATTTTTTTTTAGTTTTAAAATGTAGTTGAAATGTATTTTTAAACTTATATTTAAACAAACATGTCAAAAAATTAGTGTCGTGATGACACATTTTTTGTGTCATCATGACATAATTAAAAATTATTAAGTTTGTTATTAATCGTTTAAAATATGCAAAGAAATGACAATTTAAAAAAAGGTGTCAAAAATAAATGTTAACTTCCAATAAATAATGTCAGGATGACATATTTTTTGTCATGATGAAATTAATTAAAATATAAGACAAAATTGCATTAAAATAATTATGCAATACTGTTTAAGTTGTAAAATACGTTTTTCATTGTATGTTTTTTCAAAATTTGGTTTGACGATTTAAAGTTGTGTCATGATGACTTATTTTTTTTATGAACTTACTCTTTACTATGATGACAGTTTTCAAAATTTTATAAAACCGCCTTAAGACAATATAAAAATTTATTATAATATACATAATTATCATTAAAGATAAAATTTTAACTGTATACGTCATGATGACGGAAAATATGTCATGATGGACATTTTTTAAAAATTTGGTTTTTTTGTAGCATACGATAAGCTTTTTTCATAGTTTTGTTAAAATTATCATTTAAATGCGTCAAACTGACTGAAACCTTTCTTAAATGTCATGTTTTGCCGATGTCATTACGTTGAAATTACTCAGTATTCTATGTACTTATCATTACTTTACACTCCTTTCTCATGGAAACAAAGTTTTTACACTTTGTGTTCGCGTGTCATTTTAAAACGGCATTTTTCAAGCATTGATTACTTTGCTTTCAGGTATTCTACAACTACAGCTTGGGTCACATATCATACTCGATAGTACTTGTATTCGTACTCGATAATACTCGTACTCGATAGTGCTCGTACTCATACTCGGTAGTACTCGTACTAATACTCGATAGTACTTCTACTCTTAATCGATAGTACTCGTACTCACACTTAATAGTACTCGTACTCATACTCGATTAATACTCGTACTCGTTTTGGTACTATATAGTATTGGATCTAATTTTTAGTACTTTTTTGATTTTTTTTAACTGTAATTTCGTACTACAGTAATTTTAAAATACAAAAACTTCAAAATTTTGTAAAATACGAAATCTTTCTTACTGTAAGCTACATATCACTAGTATTACTACGGTTTACTGCACACAGTAAAAACATATGTGAACGAAAAGTTTTGACTAATTTTCTACTTTAGTTTATTTTTTGATAACAAGGTAAGATTTTATGTACTTATTTTTAATTTTTTAAGATCTGCAGCCTGCGAAAGATAGGGCGCGAGCTTTTAATAGCTAAAGCTTTGATTAGGAGTTTTAAAAGTGCATTTTAAAAATTTTTGGTATAAAAATAATTTAAATTCAATTTTTTTAATGTTTTTATTGTTTTTGTTATAATTTTTTACTTTTTTTGGTTTCATGCAGCCTGCGCAACAAAGGGCGCAAACTGCTTATGGCTAAAATAGGTTTTTAAAGTGCACTTATGAAAAAAGTTACCTAAAATGTTCCAAATCAATAAAAATTTTTTAAAAAATAATTTTTTAGTTGTAGATTACTTTAAAAATGGCATTTTTTTATTTTTGCTTGCAGCTTGCGCAACATAGGGTGCAAACTGCTTATAACTAAAATAGGTTTTTAAAATGCATTTTTATTAGCTAAAACTTACATTTTTAAAAATTTTTACTTTTTTATTACATTAAAAATGGCATTTTTTAATTAAAATTGACAAAAATTTCGAATTTTTTCAGTTTTGCCTACTGCCAAAATGCATCAACAGTCATCCGAGTTGCTGTGCAACTGGACTGCCACCTCATCTCCAAACATGTCCGAAATCGATGACAATGAGAATGACGCCGGTTTTGGTCGGTCGATTCCAGGATTGGCTTCTGGAGTCTACAACGATGATTCGTTCGAAGCGATTCCAGATGATCTGAAGAATGTAGAAGCCTTTGGAAGGCAGAACAGCTATGGCAATGTCGGCAATTGCAATGGGAATGGAAGTCAGGTAAAGGGTTTTTTGATATTTTTGGTTATATTTTTTATATTTTATGTTTTTCATTTTAAAATAAGGATTAAAAATTTGGATTTTAAAAATTCCGCCAAATTTGGCATTGTGTTTCAGAACAATGTTTGGTATTTTTGTGTAACTATAGAAGTAACCAAAGCCTTCTGACACGTTTTTAAGTATTTTTTTTGTAGTAAAGAGATAGAAAATGACCTATAAAATTTGAATTTTGAAAATTGCGCCAAATATGGCACTATGTTTTAAGAATAAGTTAAAAATGGTTTTTGATAAAAATGTTAAAAAAGAATGTCTTTTAGACTTTTTAAGATGTTTTTTATTAACTGTAGTGTTTTACATCAATCTAAAAATAGCTTTTAAAATTTGAATTTTGAAAATCCCGCCAAATTTTGTATTTTATAAAAATGTTTCTTTGGATCAAAATATGAAACTAGAAGTTATTTGTAGTATTTTAAGATGTATTTGATCAACTTAAGTATTTCACATCATTTTAAAAACTATCTTCAAAATTTGAAAATTCCGCCAAACTTGGCATTCTGTTATAATTCAATTTTTGATTAAAACTCTAACAATAAAAGCGAAATATAAACTTTTCAATCCATCTTAAACTTTCCAAAGCAATATTTAACAACTTTTTGATAAGTTAAGTCTAGTAACGTCATCATTTTTCATTTCTTTAAGCACATCATGTAGTTAAACTTTTTTTTGGTTATCAGTTAAATATTGTTATTACACCCGGTGTGCCTTATAACTTTTTTTTTAATCAGGAGTTTTTTCTTGTGATATTTGTTTTTGGCAGGAAAAATTTTGAGGGGGTTGGGGAGAGGTGTTGATAATCAAAAGTGTCACAAATAGACCTGTAAAGAGACGGGCCGGCCTTAACTTTTTAGCCCGATCCACGGGGGGATTGGTTTGGTTTGGGACCTGGCCTTTGGGAGCACATGTGCCGGTCCGGTCTGTCTCATATTTACTTTGGGCTAGCCTTTTATAGAGACTAAACTATAAAATAAACAAATCAAATTTTTCGTTGTGGGACCTAAGTTGAGCTATGGGGTTTTTGTGTAAACTCGGCCCCTCGGGGTCACATGTACGTACTGGTTCGGCCCAGCTTTTTCACTGGCTGGACTAGAATAGGCTGCTTTGGACAGGCTAGGACTAAGGCTGAGGGGGCTAAAGTTAGGGCTAAAGCTAAGGCTTTATATAATACAGTATCCTTATATAAGCCTAAAAAGTATTTTTTAAAACTAATTGCCTATCAAAACGCGTCTGAAGATTAAAATTCTTTAAAAAAGCGGTAAAACCCTTTGATTTATTGAATTTCATTATCTTGGCCGACCAAATTAGTCTTTTGTTTTAATTTGCGGTAACTTTTTTTGATTTTTCAATTCACTTTTTTAACTTTTATATACCTAAAATTTCAAAAAAATCTTAAACAAGGCAAAAAACCAATTTGCACGGTGCAGAAGAAGTTCTGCACGGTGCAGTCTGTTATATAATCTGCCATAACGCTGTTCCAACATTTTTTGCACTGTGCAAATTTACAAATTTTGGAGTTTGCACCGTGCAATCGTTATACATAAAAACAGCTTTTATTTGTTATATGCCATTTTGCAATACCTCACATGTTTTTTTTGCTTTACCCACGTCAGCCAGAGCTGTTTAACTCTACTTTAACAGCAATGTGAACTCAGAACCGCTGATAATCGCCGCAGGCACTATTGTAGTTTGCAATCAAAAACGTAAGCTTATATGGTCACGGCGAACGCCAAAACAATTCGAAAAGAGTAGGTGAGGTACGGTTGGTGATAAGAGGCTTCAGCGTTTGTTAAACGTTCACATTTCGTTATCGAATTGTGAAATTTTGGTAAAAACTTTTTGAGAAGGCGGTTTTCGCCTTTAATTAACGTTTTAACTAACGTAAACAGTAAAATAGTTGTTGTTAAAGAACACATGAGTCTTTAACTGACGTAGGTGGGGCTAATCATATGATAATTTGTGTTTATGCACCATATTGAAAAATTTATTTGAATTTTGAAATCCCGCCAAATTTGGCATTGAGCTATAAAGCTTATTTGTCTTATTTTATAAAAATAGGAGGTCTACTTAACATTTTTAAAGGAAATTTTATAAATTTTGGTACCATATATCGTCATAAAATGACCTTCTACAATTCAAATTTTCAAAATTCCGCCAAATTTGGCATTGTGAAATAAAACAATTTTTTGCTTAAATTATAGTAAAATGAAGTACTTTAGGTACAATGGCATTTGTTTTACAAATTTTAGGTTTTTATCTCGTGATAAAACGAACTTTTAAAATTTGAATTTTTAAAATCTCGCCAAAATTGGCATTGTGGTATAAGACAATTTTTCTCTGTAAGGGGGGTAAAATGATGTATTTTAAGTTTAGTGACGTGTCTTTTAGAATTTTTGAATCATGATCTTGTTGTAAAATGACTTTTTAAAATTTAAATTTTCCAAAATCCCGCTAAATTTGGCGTTCTGTTTAGAACCGGTTTTTAACAATTTTTAGGCTTAAAATTAAGAATATGGTGTTTATGTAATGTTTTAGTGTACTTTTAACCAATTTTTGTAGTTTTTGATATTCGTGTTTACACATAATGTCATATTGTTTACCATTTCTAAATGGACTGTTTACTAGTTATTGATCTGAACCAATGAACGTAACACTACCTTTAACTGATAAAGCTCAATGTTCTTATGACAATTGAGTATTACGTCTTTAGCAGTGCATTAAAAAACAATGTTAAACAAAAAAAAATTTTATTGTTTTTTATTGAAACGCGAGCCGCGCCCTTGCCATTATCATTCACCGGAAATACAGCAACCACAATAAAATAGGCTTGAATAGTGTCTTATCAGAGTAGATGTAGAGAGAAGTGATTATAGAGTTTTTTTGTGATAATGATAATGGCATTAATGTTACCATATAATTTTAGGTGACAATATAATTTTTTTTGGAGTTATGACAAAGCATAATGTATGTAACTAAAGATATTGTTTTTAAATGTCAAAAAATTGAAATTAAAAGAAGAAAAATAAACAAAAAAGGTTCTGCACGGTGCAGTCTTCACAATTTATACTGCACGGTGCAACACATTTTAAAACTGCCATTACTTAACGTATGACAAGCTTTGAAACTTTTATAGTTAGTCTGTATTTAAATAATGTAACAAAGCTCAATTTAAATCAATTTTTATTAATTTCAGTCAAAGGTCAATAAAGTTATGGCACATCGTTTAACTGACTGCACGGTGCAAAATTAAATAAAACAAACTCTACACCGTGCAAATCAATTCTACTTCTAGATACTGTAATAAAGCTCAATTTAAACTAATTTTTCATGATTTCAGTTAAAGGTCAATATAGTTATAGAACATTTTTTAACTGACTGCACCGTGCAAAACCCAAAATTTATAAGTCTGCACGGTGCAACCAATTAAAAAACGGCCATTATTAACCTTGTTTTCAATTTTTTTTATTTTTATATAGTCTACTGTTAAATACAGTATAACAAAGCTCAATTTAAACCCATTTTCAATAATTTCAGTTAAAGGTCAATAAAATTATGGCACATTTTTTAACTGACTGCACGGTGCAAAATTTGATAAAATAGGGGCTGCACCGTGCAAATCGGGTTTTCCTTTGTTTTTATATTTTTTTTGAAATTTTAAGTGAATAAAAGTTGAAAAAATCAATCGAAAAGACAAAAAAAAGTTACCGCAAATTAAAACAAAAGACTAATTTTGGACGGCCAAGATAATGAAATTCAATAAATCAAAGGGTTTTACCGCTTTTTTTAAAGAATTTTAATCTTTAGACTCGTTTTGATAAGAATTACATTAGAAAAAAAAAGTTTTAGGCTTGTATAGAATACTGTATTACCTAAAACACTTTTTTTGAAAGAAGCCTTAGCCGTAGCCAGAGAGCCCAAGCCTAGAGCCCTACCCCCAGAGCCCTAGCCCAGAGCCCTAGCCCAGAGCCCTAGCCCAGAGCCCTAGCCCAGAGCCCTAGCCCAGAGGCCTAGCCCAGAGCCCTAGACCAGAGCCTTAGCCCAGAGTCCTAGCCCAGAGCTCTAGCCCAGAGCCTTAGCCCAGAGCCCTAGTCCAGAGCCCTAGCCCAGAGCCCTAGCCCAGAGCCCAATTGCTAGCCCTTTTCTTAGTCCTGGTTCTGCTTCTACCTTTATTTTTACCATTATCGCTACCCCTGCTTCTGCTTCTGTTTATCCTTATTCTACTTCCCCCCCCCCCCCCCACCAATTTCCGTGCCCTCCCCCCCCTTCTCCTCTTCTTGCCAACGTTACCTTACCCCTAGCTCTAGCTATCTTCCTACCTCTATTTTTATTTTAAAAGCTCTAAGCTAGCTCTACCTTACTCTGCCTTTCATTTAACATAACCTACAATTACCTAAATCAATATCATCATTATTTTCAAAACTTTTTTGTTTTTTAAGCCAAAACTCCAATTAAAACCCCAAAAACTCTTTTTCAAAGCTGATAAAAGTGCATTTCCAATCAATTCGGGCAGCCATACCTTACAGTATCCTTTCTTTCGTTTTCGACAAAAAACTTCAAAAAACTTTTGAAATGGACTCGAAAAGGAGAGCGTTCATTGGCTTGTCAGCCGGCTGTTAGACGCTTTTCGGAAGAGGAATCGAATTGAAATTGATAGAAGTTATAAGGAAGTGAACTGAAAAACCGTTTTTAAAGTTTGGATGATTTACTGGGGATAGTAAAATGGGTAGAAATTGAGAGTTTCGGGGTGGTTTTTGGGAAAAACGGTGGATATTATCATAGGTATAGGTATAAATTTTAAAAATTTTACATTTTTTTGTTTTTTCTTACTTTTTCGACCGTTTTTTTCAATATTTTAAAGCTCATAAGTTTTTAAATTCTTTAAAAATAGCCTAAAATTAAAAAAAGTGAAAAAATCAGTTGCACGGTGCAGTTACAATTTTATAAAATTAAGACTGCACTGTGCAAGAAATTAAAAAAGTGTTCATAACTTTAATGGCCTTGGACTGAAATAATTAAAAACTAGGTTGTAATTTAGCATTTTTATTCTATTTTAACTTTATCAAAATAAAATGTTTTTAAAATTTGAAAGAAATTTAATATTCAACCTTACAAAGTTTTTGGCACCGTGCAATGAATTAAAAAATTGATTATACGTTAGACTTAAATGGCTAAAAATAAGCCTTAATTTAGCATTTTTAATGTATTTTTATTTTACCAAATTAAAAATTTTTTAAAATTTAAAAGAAATTTAATATTCAACCTTTCAAAGTTTTTTGCACCGTGCAGTTTTATAAAGTTTTAGATTGCACAGCGCAAAATTTTTTTATTTATTAAACGTTTAAAATAACTGCCCTGCCCTGTTTTTTCATAGATCTTCCCTGCCTTGCTCTGCTTTGCTTTGACCTGAGCAGTGTTTTGCCGGACCGGTCCGGTCCGGATTTTCAAAAATTGCAAAATTGAAAATAACTTTTTAGCTTATGTTTGAAGTTTTAAAAAATAAATAACTTTTGTGAAGGTCCGTCTTTGGCTTTCAAGTTATTACCGAAATGGACCACCCGGACCGGCAAGACCGATTCGGTCCGGCCGGTCCAAATGTTTAGCGAGGAACTTGTATGAGACGGACCTTCACAAAAGTTATTTATTTTTTTAAAGCTTCAAATTATAAGCTCAAAAGTTGTTTTCAATTTTGCAATTTTTGAAAATCCGGACCGGACCGGACCCGGTCCGGCAAAACACTGGACCTAAGCTGCCCAAGTCTACCCTATTCTATCCTACCCTACTTTTAATTTTTTTATCTTATCCGATCCCATCCTTGATTTTTTCGTTCTGCCCTATCCTACTCTTCATTTTTTTCCTTAGCCTGCTCTACTTTTCCTTTTTTTTACTTTACCCTGCCCTACTTTTTCTTCCCTCCCCCCCCTCCCCCTTCTCCACTAATTTTACCCGTCCTTCACCCAATCCCAACCCAATCGTACAACCAATAATATAAACATATATACCCTATACAAGCCTACAATTACCCACCAACATGAATATTTTCAGGCCTACCGCCCCAGCCCGTCGAATTTCCGCGTGAAGGATGAGCCCCACAACCCGACCGGCGCCCGAATGAGTCAAGATTTCGGGTTTCAGGAAGACAGTTCCATGCAAATTCATCACGATTTAATGTTCCGCCGCATTATGCAGGACATTTTCACCACCTGTTCCAGCCTTTGTCTGCCCACCGGTAAGCCGATTTGATGCGTGAAAGTTGAAAATTTTGATTTTTAGGTAACAAAATTTAAAAATTTATTGGTTTTAAAAAAGAAAAAAGTCTTTTTTTTCAAATTTTTATTTTTAAATTACCATAAATTTCATTTAAAAACCTGAAAAAAGCTAAAGAATTGACTGCACTGTGCAAAAATTATATTTGCACTGTGCAGTCAGACCAATTTTTAATCATATCTTTTTCAATCCAAAACTAAAATTTTCTATACTAGGCTAAAATACACCTTAGTACCGTCCCTAAATACTGACTATATTTCAAAATTTAAAAAAATTTGAAATAAGGTATGTAATGGCACTGTTAAAATGTTTTGCACAGTGCAATTTTTTTAAATTTTGCGAACTGCACCGTGCATATAGTTAACTTAATGGTCATAACTTTGACAGAAATACAGATTTTTTTTGAAAAATGGCAAAATTAAAGCTTACTTTATTACCTAAATATTAATTTTAAATAATTTGTAAATTTTGATATATGGTTGATAATGGCAGTTTGAAAATTTTTTTCACTGTGCAGTTTTATAAATAGTGATGAATGCACTGTGCAAATTATAAAAATGTTTTGAAATGATCTTATTTTTGAATATGAAAAAAAAATTTTTTAAATTTAAATTTTTCGAAATTTTAAAATTAAAAAAAAATTTTTTGGCCAAGATTTTATATTTTTTAAAATTGTATTTAAAAATGAAAAAAACTTAAAATGCCAGACTTAAATGGCATTTTCAGACCCCCTCCCAATGGACAGTGGACCATTGTAACAATTGGATTAGCGAAATGTGTCAACAGTTTCATTACCCACGCCCGAATCGAATCAACGTGATTGGAAAGGACTTGATTAATATGTCGGTCAATCAAATGAATCGACTCATTCCCAATGGTGGAGATCAAATCCATGCCCAGTTTCAGGTTTGGCGAATTGGTAAGGGTAGTTTTTTATATATATAGAGGAGGGGGGGGGGTGGAGAAGAAAAAAATTTTTGGATTTTGAAAAGTAAAAAGGGAGAGGGTGAAACAATAGGCAGGGTAAAATACGAGTATTAAAGTTGGCATAGTAATATGACGAGAAAGATGAAAGAATGGGCATGGTAAAATACAGGGCAGAGTAAACTAGTGGGAGAGGTAAAACAGCGGGCCGGGTAGTATATTGGGCAGGGTAAAATGGTCTCTGTGGTAGAAAAAACAGTGGGTAAGGTGAAGTCTTGTAAGGTATGGTAGGATAGGGAAGGGTAGGGTAGGGTAGGGTAGGGGTAGGATAGGGTAGGGGTAGAGTAGGGTCTGGTAGGGTAGAGTAGGGTACGGTAGGGTAGGATAATGCATGGTAGGGTAAAAATACGGAAGTAGAGCCACGAATAAGAGGGTGGGGGTGAGTTTGGTAAGGGGGTAAAAAAATTCTAATGCCCTGCCCTGCTATTCTTTCTTGTTCCTACCCAGCTCGACCTTGCCCCTCTTTTCTTTCTCTCTTCCCCCCTCCCCCCCCTCCCTCACTCCCTTCTCCTCCCTTTCTATCAGGTTTTGCTTTTACCCCTCCCTTATTCTCCGTTACCCTTCTTTACCCTACCTAACTCTTCATTACCTTTTCTTACCCTACCTTGCCCTCCTATCTAGTTGTAATTAGACGTAGACGTAATGACTCATGCCAACACCTGAAAAGAAGCTATTGTACCTTCTTAACTTTCTAACAGAACCTTCCCCCCCCTACTCCAATTAAGGGTACAGTAAGGGTAAAGTAAGATTGAAACCAGCCCACCCCAAAAAAAAATTTTCGAAAAAAGTTGAACGTGGCCCCCCTGTGGATTTTTTGGAAAAAAATTTTTTCGACCCCCGCCCCCCAGAACAAAAGTCCCCGCCCGGCACTGATTGCAACGGTCAATAAAAAAAATTTGAAAATGAAAAAATGGGTGCAAAATGCAATAAAATTTCAAAAAAAATCTCAAGGAAAGGGCATGTAACTATGTGTTTACAAACAAAGCTGCTTATTTCGAGGAATTTGGTTTACCACAAATGTTCGTATGTTTGTTTTGAATATAGTCGTTATCACTTTTCGGCGGTGACTCATCGGAATGCGAGGTTTAGCAGCTTATTTTTAGAGTTTTTAATGGGTTTACGGTAGGCGTGGGTTAGGGTCGTTAAAGTCTGATTTAGGCCGTTGGGTTGTTTTCAGTGGAGAGAGAGAGAAAAGGGTAGGGGGGGGAGTAGTTTTTGTTAGAAGGTGGGGGAAGGGGTGTAATAATGTTTGTTAAAAGGTGAAGGGGGTGTGGTAATTTTTATTGGGGGGGGGGAGATCAAAATTTTTGTTTTATTAGCAGGGGGGGCTTAAAATCAAATTTTTAAAAAAATTTTGCATGAGTCACCTCCCTCCCCTTTGACACCTTTCCCCCGCTTTTTTTCACTTTGCACCTCCCCCCCCTTCCTTCTCTTTTTTGTCTCTCTAATTTTGTATATTACCCCTACCTTATCTACCCTATCTTATCCAACCCTTCTCTGCTTTACCTTACCCTACACTACTCCCCCCCCTCCCCTCCCACTCAAAAACAATTTAAAAAAACGTTTGGTATTGGCACCAAAATGTCCAAATTTGAGTACCAATAGTACTAAAGTCCCCAAAAAGCAAGTACCGAAGCCTTAGAAAGTTTAGTGCCAAGAAAATGATTTTTAAAACTTTGATCACATCGACTAGAACGTTAGGATTGGGCGTGTTAAGCACAATTGTTTGCCCAAGTTTTTACCGTAACTCGCTGATTAGGGTTATCAGTTAATAAACAACTATTAAATTGGGTATATAAGCCTTTGCGAGGTTTTTCAGCGTTAGTAATGATTGTTACAAGGTTGATTAAATATTCAAGTATTGAGTTACTATAGTATTCTACTTTTCCTTTACGTACATGGGTAAAATTATAAGCGTTGAAAACTCAACTTTGTGGAAATGTGTCTGCAATGCAATCGTAGGTAGCCTAAATTAGTAAAAAGTGAACCCTAGTCTTAGCCCTAGCCTAAGCCCTAGCATATTCCCAGGAACTAGCATTAGCTTTCAGCCATTAGCCTTTAGCCTTAGCTTTAGCTTAGCCTAAACCTAAGCCCTAGCCTTAGACTAAGCTCTAGACTTAGACTAAGCCCTCGCCTTAAACTAAGCCTTAGCCTTAGACTAAACCCTAGCCTAAGCCCTAGCTCTAGCCCAAGCTTTAGTCCAGAGGCCTAGCCGAGAGCCCGAGCCTAGAGCCCTAGCTTAGAGCTCTATTCCTAGTACCCTAGCTCTAGCCGCAACGCTAAATTTGGAGTTTGATCTAGTTTTAGCCTAAACCCTAGCCTAATCGTAAGCGTTAATTCTACCTTAAACCTAAGCTCTAGCCTAAGCCTTAAATTAAACTTTAACTTAAATTCCTACTTTTAGACTAAGCCACGGTTGAATTCCTAACCAAAGCATAAGCCCCTGTCATAGCTTTAGCACAAGCAGTTCCAGGCTTAGTCTAAGTCCAAGTTTTAATATAAGCCTAGTGTTAATTTGTGTTCTAGTTTTACCCATAGTCCTAGAACTATCTGTAGCCTTAGATTTCTTTTTCTTACCTGACCCTATTTACTCTTAAAAATTTATCACCCCCCCCCGCCTTTTTAGTCCTTTCACTTTACCTGCCCTCCCCTCTCCCTTCCATATATTGATTTAACAGTCAATATTAACAATTAACAAGCCCTAAAGCTAAGTTCATTTTAAATTTAAAAAAATAATTTGACTTTTTTCAGCCTTCGACTCCTACCAATCCCAACACCCATGCCAGCCAACCACCGCCACCCCCACCCATCACAACATGCACATGCCCATGTCTACCTCATTAATGTCCACACCGCCGCCCGTACCCACCGCCACCGACTTCCTCAACACCTACAACCCGGACGCCACGCAGAACGGGTTCTACAACAACATGAACAAGTTCGGTGATGACATGAACAACATGACCAAGTTCAGGGAGGACAACATGAAGTACAACGAGATGGCCAAGTACAACGAGCAGAACAAGTACAACGAGTACAGCATGGTGAAGAACGAGTACTACGAGCATAATCAGATGCCTCAGGAGATATACTCACCGTCAGCCAGCTCGTCGGAGAGTATAACTGATGACGAGACTCAACATGATCTACAGTTTGAGCATCATGAAGGTCAGGGGCAGGTTCCGATGTGTGTACCTCAACAAATGGTAGGGTTTTGGGTTGTTATTTTGGGTAGGGTAGAGTTTGGGTTATAATTTGAGTTAGGGGTGGATTGTAATTTAGGGCAAGGTTAGGCTATGAATAATGGGCCGAGCTTATTTTATAGTAGGGTAGGCTTTAGGGCCAAGTAAGGCTTTGAGCACAATGAGGTACAGGAGACAAGAGAATCTTAGGTACGGTAGAGCTCAGGGTAAACTCGAGCTTTAGGTACGATAGGTTCTTGGATGCGGTAAAACTTAAGGTGACGGTAGGGGTACGACATAGCTAAGGGCATGGTAGTGTATTAGTTACGGTAGTGCTTAAAGTATGGTGGGACTTTAGATACGGTAAAGCCTAGGGTACGGTAGGTTTAAAGAATAATAGAGCCTAAAGTACAGTAGGGCCAAGTGTATAATTCCAAAATACGGCAAGGCTTTCGGCACTATAGAGCTAAGAGTACGTTAGAGCCTAGGGCACAGTAGGGCCTAGGGTACGGTAGGGATTAGGGTACGGTAGGGCCTAGGGTACGGTAGGGATTAGGGTACGGTAGGGCCTAGGGTACGGTAGGGAATAGGGTACAGTAGGGCCTAGGGTACGGTAGGCCTTCGGGTACGGTAGGCCTAAGGTACGGTAAAGCCTAAGATACGGTATAACCTAGGGTACGGTAGGGCCTATGATAGAATAGGGCAAGGTTATATTTTTGATCTAAAAACTTAATTTTAATTATTTCAGATGAGCTACCAACAGCAATGTCAACAACGTTTCTCGTACATGAATGTGACTCCACAGCACAGTCATTTTCAACAACCTAACTTTATGCAACACCATCAGTTTCCAGCGCCAGCTCAGCCCGATTTCAACGCCAAACAAGGCATAAATCAAGCGAATAGTGGTCGGACAGTCCATTTATGGCATTTTATCAAAGAATTACTCGAGAATCCAACAGAATACAGTACTTGTGTACGATGGGTGGATCGGGAGGAAGGTGAGATTACACTACTCTATCTTACTTTACCCTACCATACCCTACCTTACCCCACCCTACCCTATCCTACCCTACCTTACCGTATCATCTCCTACGGTACCCTACCCTTACCCTATCCTACCCTACCTTACCGTATCATCTCCTACATTACCATAAGCCTTAACACGTCTTATGCCCTACCGTATTCTAGGTCTGACCGTATTTTTTCTTCCCTAACCTCTGCCGTAATATACCCTAGACCTTACTGTACCCTAACTAGGTTCTACCGTACCTTTTCCTACATTCCCCTATGACTAACTATCCAAACGTAGGCCCTAACGTCCCCTAGGTCCTATCGTACCCTATCCTAAGCCTTACCGTACCTTACTCTAGGCCCCACCCTAACCTACTATATAATGCCATATTAATGTTCTCACTTCCAGGCACATTCAAAATCGAGTCCTCAATGCAATTGGCACGTTACTGGGGAATCCGAAAGCATCGTGAGAAGATGAACTATGACAAACTCAGTCGTTCACTTCGACAGTACTACAAGAAGGGCATAATTCAGAAGCCGGAGAAGAAGCAACGTCTGGTCTACAAGTTTCTGCCACCTTATAGTCATTGGCGACCACAGCTGAGCTAGATTTATAACTGATACTACTTAGGCTTCTATTCTCTTTTTTCATACTTAGCCCTACCGTATTTTAGGTCCTACCGTACTCTAGACCTCACTTTACTCTAGGCCTTACTGTACCTTAGGTTCTATTGTACCCTGGGTTTTACGGTACGTTAGACCCTACCGTATCTTAGGCCCTACCGTACCCTAGGCTCTACCGTATCCTAGGCCCTACCGTACCCTATGCCCTACCGTACCCTAGGCCCTGTCGTACCCTAAGCCTTACTGTACATTAGGTCCTATTTTACACAGGGTCCTACCTTACCCTAGGCTCTACCGTACCCTAAGTTCAAAATTATATGTTCTACCGTACCCTCCCTACTGTACCATAGGCTACGGCTTCCAGATTACTTAGAAACATAATCTGTATTTAAATTTTAAATTATTGTCATCCTTTTAAGTTATAACAAAATAGTTGCCCTAAGGGCATTCTCACTTTTAAATTTTATTCTACAAAGCTGTTTCAAGTACAGTACTCTTATTTATACTGTAACATATAACTTTTTTTTGTTGTATTAATAGAAGCATTGATGCCCAATGTAATATACATTACCATATCCTGTTACTAACATTGCTACTGCAATATAATTTATTCTGTTCTCTGTAACATATACCTTATTTATAGTATCATAAAGATATATTTATAGTACTGTAGTATCACAAATATATTTATAGTACTGTATTGTGTATTTAAGCCTAATTTTAACTCAATAAGCCTAATTATTAGATGCATTTTCACCTTGGCCAAAGCCTTCTTGCAATAGTAATATGATAATATTGTTTTAGGTTTTAATTGTAGCAAATCACTATTATATTATTTATACTTCGTCTTGTCCTACTCATATATATCCCTAACCGTGTATATCTTGTTGTGCAATATGCAAAACTTTGTGTGCAATAAACTGTAATACTATAATTGGAAAGCCTCTCCACCCTACCCTACCTTACCTTAACTTACCTTCTCTTACCTTATTTTAACTTATCTTACCCTACTATACCTTACCCCACTTTACCTTACCTTACCCTAACCTACCCTACTCTACCTTACCATAACATATCTTATCCTACCCTACTCAACCTTAACTTACTCCTACCTTACCCTTTCCTGCCTTGCCTCACTCTACGTTATCCTGCTTTGCCTTACCTTACCATAAATTATCCTACCCTACTGTATAGTGACCTTCGCTATCTTTCTGTACCTTTCCCCAACCTATCCTACTTTAACATACAATAATGTAAATAAAAGTAAAGTATTAGGTGCCGACATAAAGAACCCGTCATTTTTTACAGGAAATTACAGGTAAAATATGGCGGGTTCATTATGTCGGCACCTAATATACATTAGTTCTTTAAAGCGAAGTTAATTCTGTGGCTTATTGTGAGGTTAAACCTTGAGCTAAGGCTAAGGCTGCCCTATGCTTAAGGCTATGCCCAGGACCGGGCGGGGGCTTTTGGTTTGGGGGCGAGAGTCGAAAAAATCGGCATGGGTAGCTGGGGGTTCTCCCCCACCCAGCGCCCGGCCCTAGCTATGCTCCAAACCAAGGCTAACGCTAAGAGTAGAACACAGCAATAATAAAAGTTAAGTATAAGGCTAGAACCGAAAAATCTAAATATATATTATATACCAACATTTCGTCAATAAATCTTTACTTCAGTTCAATATCAACAAATAAAATTATCAAATTCCTATTAACAAACACGTTTAACATTATTAGGAAAAGAGAGAATTAATAACCAAAAAGTTAGTCAAAATCAAATAAAAGTACTTACTTATCTCGTTAAACTATTATACAGTGAAACTCCAATATAACGAACTTCCCGTATTACAAACAAATTTTGAATCCGATTCGTTATACAAGAGTTCCACTGTAGTTAAAACAAAATCCCTGAATTCAAATCAAAGAGTGTGAGACCAATTCGTAATTCAAGTTAAATTTTTTAAAATGTTGAGGTTAGTGCCTATAAAAAGAGTCAGAAACGGAGGTTAACATGGTTAAAAGTTAATGAATTTTGAACAAAAAGATGCTTAAACTAATGAAAATCATCAACAACACAAAAAGTCATCAAGAAAAAAGAACAACGAAAAGAAAATAACAAACAATAACAACAACAAGAACCGCTTGTAAATGATGAAAACGATCAAAAATATGACAAAAATCATGAACAATATCAAGAAAATCATGAAAAACAGCAACAAGATGATGAAAATAATAAACAATATCAAGAAGATCATGAAAAACACCAACATAATAATGAAAATCATAACAACATTAAGAAAAACATCAACAAGATGATAAAAATCAAAAAAATATCAAAAAGAAAATTAAAAACAACAAGAAGATGATAAACATCATGAACAAGACTAAGAAGATCATAAAAAAGATCAACAAGATGATGAAAAACATCAAGAAGATGATAAAGACTATAAAAAGAGAATAAAAAAGGTGCCAAAAACCAAAGAAAGAACCTCAAAATGACAACAAAGATCAAAAAGTACTACCTCAAACAACCTATCACTACATACATGAACCCCTATATCACTTTCAACTATCAGATCTAAACCACATTCCACTATCAGGCCCACACTACTTTCCATTGTCCAACCTACATCCCTTTCTACCGCCTAGAATCGCCACCCACGTCCTTTCCATGTACTTTTGGACCATTCCCTTCACTCGAGTCCCCTCTTCCAGGCACCAACCTTCTTAGTCCAGACGCTGCTTCCAGGGCTTGGCTCACTTCCTGTCTGGTGCACTTCCTTCGCTGATAGCCGGCTTTCTCTCGAGCATTTCGTTCTTCGTTCATGCCTTTCATCAGTTCGACCAGGTACGCGTTGTAGTCCAATGGTGGGGCTTTCAAAGGTTGGCGTGGCGTTAGGATTGCAGTCCGGGTTTCGGTCGCCGCTTTTTGGGGATTGAAGTAAGGTGATGAAAGTTTCTAAAAAAATAATTTAAATTTTGGACTTTTTTAAATTTCGAGTTTAATTTCTATGACTAGAGAAAGCCTCGTTATCCTAAGGTTAAAAAGCCTAACGAATGTAAGACAATTAAATCAAAGCTTACCCGCCTTAAGCCTACTAACAAGTAAAGTTGTAAATCAAACCAAACTAAGCCTAAGCCTACTATCTCTAAGCATACTAAGCCTACTATGTCTAAGCTTGCTAAGCCTAAACAAACTATATCTAAGCCTACCAAGTCTAAGCCCACAAATCCTAATCCACTAAGCCTAATACTACTCAGCATAAGCCTACTAAGTCTAAGCATACTAAGCCTAAGCCTACTAAGCCCCAACCTACAAAGCTTAAGCCTACGAATCCTAAGCCTAATAAACCTCAGCATAACAAGGCTAAACCTACTAAAAAAAGCCTACTAAGGCCAAGCCTAAGCCCACCGAGGATAAGCCTAAGTCCACCAAGGCTACTAAGCTCAACTCTACTAACCCTAAGCCTACTACATATGTAACTCTGAGTCTACTACTGAATCTAAAATAACCCAACTAATCGTATGTCTAAGCTCGCCATGCCTCCCTTCCCCCCTTCCCCCCCCCCCCCGCCCGCCTTTTTTAAAAATAAAAGAATACAAAACCAAATTTCAACCTACCATATAATCCGGAATGGCGTGAGTCCAACTTCTTGGTGGAGGCTTTATAACTCTTGACTCAACTCGATCTCGTACTACTCCAGGTTCATTACTAGTATTTCCTGAGACTGCAACTTGTCCTGTAGCAGCCAATAAAGGTCGATTCTCCACGTTATCGGTCGGTGAAGTTGGGTCTTGAATTCGATTCATTGAAAACGCATATCTTGGGTCAGAATTAGTTAATCTTGGCCTTCTTGGATCAGAAGCAGTCGCTGTTGGCATTCTTGGGTCAGAATTAATCGCTGTCGGTCTTCTTGGATCAGTGCGAGCTCCTGACGTTCCTGGTAGACCTGACACCGGTCTTCTTGGGTCACTAGAAGCCAATGAGGCCGGCTGTTGATCTAGAATCGGCCTTTTTAGATCACTCGAACCCAACGAAGCCGGCTGTTGATGTGGCACCGGTCTTCTCGGGTCACTCGAAGCCAATGAAGCCGGCTGTTGATTTAAAAATGACCTCTTCAGAAGATTAGTCGCTTCTGGAGCTCTATCAGTTGTTGAATTGGCCATAGGTACAGTAGATTGAGGCCAAATGCCAGTAGAAGCCAAGTTTTCACGATTAGCTCCAGTAGCCGTTTTTGGATTCTTTCTGAAGCCAGCAGTAGTCGTAGATTCCTTCCTGAAGCCAGTAGAAGATCCAGAATCCTGTCTCAAGCCTGCAGAAGCTTCAGAATTCCTCCTAAATCCAGTAGCGGCGGTCGATCCCTGTCCAAAGGCAGTAGAAGCAGCAGAATCCTGTCCGGAACCAGTGGAAGCCATAGACTCCTTCCTGGACCCAATAGAAGCTGCTTGAGGCCAAATGCCAGTAGAAGCCAAGGGTTCACCATTAGCTCCAGTAGCTGTTTTTGGATTCTTTCTGAAGCCAGTAGAAGCTCCAGAATCCTTTCTGAAGCCAGTAGAAGCTCCAGAATCCTTTCTGAAGCCAGTAGAAGCTCCAGAATTCCCCCTAAATCCAGTATTGTCCATAGGTCCTCTAGAATCTGATCCTGTAGCTGACTTCAATTTACCATCTGGTGTTCGTGTAGAATCACTTCTAATGGCTCTTCTCGACTCAGAACTCTTCCTGGACGATGGTCTTAAATTCTGGGTTTCTTGTCGGCCTGTAGCTGCAGTTTCTGATGCGAAACTTTCTGTTACACCATGATCGGTCGAGTACATACCCAAAATGGATCCGAAATCAGGCATTCCTAAGCCTTCAGGATTATGTAGCTGTGCTGAACCACCTTCTGAAGCTCTGTTGATCGTGGTTGTAGCTTCTGACGCCGAGGACTTTTGGTTTTTGCCTCCGGAGGCTAGATTTGGTACTGTAGGAGATCGTACTCGAGGATTAGATACTGCCGATAATAGTACTCGAGGGTCGGAGACATTAGATGATAGTACTTGAGGGTCTGATACTGTAGGTGATGGTACGCCAGGATTGGGTACGGTAGGTAGTCGTACTCGAGGGTCTGATACAGTAGATGATAGTATCCGAGGGACAGGTACTGTATACGCTCTTGATCCAGAATTCGCTACAGTATTCGCCCATACGTCCCTATCGGCTACTGTAGCTGACGTTAGACCTCCATCTGGTCTTGTAGTCAACCATACATCAACACCTGACCTTGCAGCCAAACCTACATCATCAGTAGGCCTTGTAGCTGATAGTAGACCACCTCCTGGACCTGTAGCCAAATTTATACCACCACCTGGCCTTGTAACCGATTGCACATTCGAATTCAACCCAAACCAAGCCTGTGCTCCAAATGGGAACATCGTTGGGGCTTCAGTAGCCGCTGCTGCTGATTCCATTTGGATTCTACTTGCCCAGGCCATGTTATCAGCTGTAGACGGTGCTGATTCTGAAGATGTAGCAGATATTGGAGTAACTTTTGAAGATGTAGCAGGTATTGGAGTAACTTTTGAAGATGTAGCAGGTATTGGAGTGACTTCTGGTAACAACCTTGAAGGATGTAAGGTGACCTAGAATCAAAATGGCATTACCTTTGAATTTTCATTATAAAACATACTTTAAAATTCAAAAATTAAAAAAAATTTTGTCCGAAAACTGCTAAATCGACCTTAAGAAAAACCTTATTTTACCCATTCAAACCCGTACAAAGCTCAATCCCCTATAGGTAACATTACAAAGTGGCGCTTTATCTTTTGTAAAGGACGCCAGAGTCTTTTGTCAGTCATTACACAACAAAACCTCTTTATTATGACCCAATATGCCACCTTATAATACCAGCTTCTTTACCGCCCTTTGTAATAATAGAACCCTATCAAAAAGTATTATACAGAGGAAATTCTGTATAACGAAAGTCCTTTATAACGAACAAATTGCAAGTGCTCGAGCGACTATCGTTAAACAGCAGTATCACTGTACCTGACGTCCTGACTATAAGAAAAAGTTATTCACTAGAAGTGAAATAGTAGACCAGTTCATTCAGTGTCATACTAAAGTTTCACTGTATTGAGATTGTTATTAAAAAATTTTAAAAATTAAAAAACTTTACAAAAGCAGTTGAAATCCTAAAAAAAATTCCCAAAATGACTTTTTTAACTATAAATTTAAAAAAATGCCCTAAAACATTAAAACTTTATAAAATCTTACGCTTTTTGATATAAAAACTAGAAAAACCGTAATTTTCACATTTAAAAATGCCCAAAAACAGTACTTGTTGAGCTACAAAATGTGAAAATCACCCAAAAACAAAACTTTTTGGCCTATAAAATTTGAAAAAATGCCCCAAAACATTAAAATTTTTAAAAATTTTGCTATTTTTTAATATAAGAACTATATAAAAATATTTTTTTCATTTAAAATTCTCAAAAACAAAGCTTTTTAGACTATAATTTAATAAAAACCAAAAAAAAAATTTTTTTAAATATTACTCCTTCTATTAACAAAAATAGGTAAAATATCGCTTTCCTTATCATAAAGTGCCCAAAACTTTCTAAAAATCAATTTCGTAATACCTAAAAAGCCATAAGAACTATCAAAAACATACCGGTCGCGCGTCCTCCACATCCCAACCCTTGGGCCTGTCCTTTGCTAGTCGAGCACTTTTCGGCATCTTCGGCAGTTTCAGTTTCAATGGTTTTACAACCTTTGCTGTTGTCTAAAAATACAGAATTAGATCTTCAAATATTCAAATCCTTGTAAAATTTTTTACGTATCCTTAATTAGTTTTGGGCAAGGTCATTTCGGTGGAGGGAAAGGTGAGGCCGGGGTAAGGTAAAGTGAGGTATGATAGGGCAAGGTAAGATACGGTAGAATAATGTAAAGTAAGGGCAAGATAGGGTTAGGTAGGAAAAGGTAGGTGGGGTAAGGTGAGGCAGGGTGAAAGAAAAACATTTTCAAAACCCCCACCCCAAAACCAAATTTTTTTGAAATTTACACCACTCAAAATAAAAATGCACACTACCTCCTCTTCTCCTTCGTCCAATCCTCGCTTCATTCCTTTATTGGCTTGTTCATCTTTTCCTTTTTTCTTTTCTTTATCATCCTTTTCTTGTTCATCTTCTCGTTCTTTCTTCTTCTTTTTGTGTTTCTTCTTCTTCTCATTACCTTCTGTTTCATTATTTTCTACTTCCTTTTCATTATCACCTTTCTTTTCTTTCTTATTCTTCTTACTTTTCTTTTCTTTATCATCCTCTTCTTCATCTTCTCTTTCCTTTTTCTTCTTTTTATCTTGCTTTTTCTTCTTTTCATTATTTTCTGCTTCATTCTGTTCTTCATCATCTTTCTGTTTTTCCTTCTTTTCCTTATCTTCATTCTTTTCAACATTCTGTTCTACTTCCTCTTCATTATCATCCTTCTTTTCTTTCATATTCTTCTTCTTTTTGACCTCACTTCTACTACTGGGATAGCTATACGCACTGTCCTGACTCGATTGACTAGAGTAGTCATCCCAATCCTTCGTATTCTTCATCGATTCTCGTTGTTCTTTAGTCGAATTAGGTATTACCGGTCCTTTTTTAGCAGCCTTTGTTGCCGTATTCAGTCCAGACGTACTTGGCTGATCATATTCTTCCATGGACGAGACTTCTGAGCATTCTTGAGTACTGGTTGTGAAGATATCATCGTCGTCGTCAATGTAGGCCTTGGGTTTACCTGCGTTTTGGAGTTTTAACGCTAAGTTCTCACTTTTCTTCCTAAAAGTAGGTGTTTTACGGTGATATAGAACAAGATTTTGAACTTTTTGATATTTTTAAGTAACAAAAAAAAATTAAATTTAAAATTTAGGTAACAAAAACCATACAGTGATATTTTAGGTAACAAAAACAATAAAATTTAAAGTTTAGGTAAAAAAAAGCGAAAAAGTGACATTTTAGGTAACAAAACCACTAAAAATTCCAAAAAACCTTCAAAAACATACAAGTTCCAAGCTCGTTGTTCTGCATCTGATAGTACCTCATTATTCTTCACTTTTCGGCCAAAGTTCTGCTTCTGGTACTCGCGTAGCATCTTCTTGCACCCCTGAGTGACCTTGAATTAAAATGGGCATAGCACGCACGTTTCTGTTAGAAAATTGACCATCCCTTGAGCTTAAGGTACACCAGGACATAGTTGAGGTTAATTTTTGACTATTATTTATGTGTTTTTTAATTTTTAGGTAACAAATTTTAAAAATATTAATATATTAGCCCCACTTTTATTAATAATATTGATATATAATGCAAATTCCTTACAATCTTGCGGGTGACAAGTTATACGACATATGCAATTCTACGTTTTGTAAAGATAGTTATTGTCATTTTATGTTTTGTAAACAAAGTTCTTGCTGTTTGGAATATGTTGAAGTTGAAATGTTTGAAACTTTTAAAATTTTTAAAACTTACCATAATTTTAAAAAATCATACATTCAAAAATCCTTAATAGTTTTAAAAAATCACTTAAAATTTCGAAAACGTATGTCCCGGTCCTAACACGCGATTTACCTGTTACCGGTCCTACCTCCAAATTCGAAGCCGGCTCCCATGTGTCTTCATCCGTGCCATAGTTCTCCCATCGTATCCGATACCTGTACTTTCTCGTTCTGTCCTTCTCTTCCGACGCCGGCACAATCTTATGGTCAACAATAAAATCGACTTCATACTCCTCTTTATATGACATTATTTAATTGAACTCGAATTAGCATTACCTGAGAATGAAAGGTTTGTTACCTAAAACAACATAAATTATATAAATCATAATAAAGTTTACAAATTGCACGCAAAAACTACCTAAAACAGCTAAAGATCAATCAAAAGCTGACCAAAACATCTAAAACACGTCTTTCAAATCAATTTTCTAAAAAATGCCATAGCCAAAAAATCCGATATTTTTACACAATGATCCCACTTGTATTACCTTAATCCTAAATGTCATAAAGATCTAATTACCACAAGTTGAGTTACATCAACTTAAAGTATGTTAACATAGTCATCTAACCCTCTTCTGGTTTAACAAGCCGTAAAATAGAGAAAAACATATAAAACAAAATTCATTTTTAACAAAAAGGTATCAAAAGCTTTCTTAAATCATATAAAAACCAAGAAACCCAATATTAAAACCATCAAACACATTAAAACGATAAAACAGACAAGCATAGCTTAATTGACCTATAACAATATAACCAGCCGTTTTGAGCAAAAACGCAACAATAGAAGCCTTCAAAATAAATATCCTAAGATCCTCCATTAAATTCTACATATAAAAACAAAATTTACCACCTGTTTGATTAAGAACATCACAGTGGAACGATCAATATTAAGAGTTTTATCAGAATAACCATGTATAACATCATAGTTCTTAAAGAAAACAGAAGAAAATAATTCAAAAATTAAAGCAAAATAAACGTAAATTACTCTAAAAAACGTTCCTGTGTTTTCCTCAAAATTTCAGCCGTTAAACCATCGAAAAACGTAACATTATAAAACAAACACCATTGTTTCACCAGTTTTTCCACAAAAACGCCAAAAAATCGATTTAAAACAAAGATAACTATACGTAATTAAACTTCTAACATAACTTAAAACATTAATAAAGCAATAAAAAATAAAATTTAATCAAAAAAAACTGTTAAATTTCACTAAAAACCGTCAATTTTAACAGTTCGAAGCCTTAAAAAAAAGATTTTTCAAAGAATTATTTTCATGCGCCCGAACGAAGTGTCACTATTGATTTATTCGGCCGTCGGTTGTTTTTCAAAGTTTTGCTTTATGCAACGTGGAAAAAGGGATTGGCCATCAAATTGGCAGTAAATATTGGCGTTTTTATATAGTAGTTTTTGTATAATCCACCGGTCATATGTTATTTTTGCACAAAATTTGATATTTTTCTAAAAATTGTGTTTGAAAAGGTAGTCAAAGTTAATATATTTGTCATATTTTAGTGGATATGCGAAATTATAGCCTGTAATTTTTAGGAAATAGCATACGATGTATTAGCTTCATTTTGAGAGTAAATTTGATATGTTTTATAATGCCAGTTTTTTTTTAAATGTTCTTTGTTGCGCGGCAACTTGCTGTGATGGATAATATAATTTTGGCTCATAATGCTGTTGTTATCAAGTTTATTTGTTATAATTACTATTAAATAGTTACTCTGATATCTTCACGCTATTTTAAAACCATTATCATAAAGGTTTTCATTTCAGACACATCAATTTTATCTAAAACAATATGGCCGCCACCCCTTTATTGACACCAAAGCCAGAGATAGATTCTCCAGAGTCCAGTAAAGCAAAGCTCAAGGAAATTCGAGTATCATCTAATATACTACGAGCTCTCCGTGCACATCAAATAGTTTCTCGAGCATTAGAATCATTTCTTCGTGTCGTCCCAGTTAAAGCTGATGTCCCAGAAGCCAAAGCTGATGTTGATGGTAACAATAATCGACCGAATGAGGTTACATGTGTACCAGCAGTCTACTACGAACATTTTGTTTGCATTTTGATTAAATTGGCAACAACTTTAAGTAGAGACGTGAGTTGATTCGATTTTTGGGGAAAGGTCATGGATAATATGGTGTTTAGGCTAAATTGAAGTGGTTTTAAATTCTTGTTAAAATTTGTTAATTTGAATATGTAAAGGATGGATTTGTTAATCTTTTTGTCAATTTTCAATAAGCTGGGTTTTTTTTGAGAAAGATATGGCTTTTTGTTGGCACTGACTTCAGTTGGTCATGGATAATATTACGTTTTTGATTAAATATGAACTGAATTTGATATTAAGTTGAAGGTTTTAGGTTTGTGTACATAGAGAATCTAATACTGAACATTTTTTAGTTAATTAATTTATTTTTAGGTCATTTTTACCTATAGTAATATCAATTTTACTGTGAGGTACAGCAAACTTTTTGAAATAAATCCTTTTTTATCCATTTTTGGGTAATAATTGTTGTTTTTGATATTAAAATGATGTCTAAAATTAAAATACAAGTATTTCAAGTTAATTTATAGGTAATAACCTCAATTTTTTCAGCAAGTCCAGCTAAAAACCGAGATATTCGACCTAGTCAAGACCATCTTAACTGAAGGATTTCATCGAGATTCGATCAAAATCAAGTCAGAATGGTTCGAACATCTGATCGACCAGTCGAAAAGTTTGCCGGAAACGGACGAAAAGGCTCAAATCATGTCGGAATTGTACTATACCTTGTACTTCTTCGTGGAATTGTTTGACAAAACAGATGACAGTCACATTATTCGAGTCTTGATCAGAGCTATGGAGCCGATCTTGACGAATATATTTGAGCACAAAATTGTGGCTGTAAGTTTAATTGGGGCGTCTTTTTGAAGTTTTTATTTGGTTTTTGGGTTTGTTGAGATATTTGTTACCTAAAAGTTAAAATTTTGGGTGTGGAAAGAAAGTTTTTGCTATTTTATGTTTTGTAAAGAAAGTTCTTGCCATTTTATACTTTGTAAATAAAGTTCATGCCATTTTAGGTTTTGTAAAAAAAAGTTCTTGTCATTTTATACTTTGTAAAGAAAGTTCTTGCCATATTATGCTTTGTAAAGAAAGTTATTGCCATTTTACGATAAAAAGTCAAAGGTTAGTCTTTCGCAGTCTGCGGTTGCCAAGTTATACGATACATAGCACTTTTATGTTTTGTAAACAAAGTTATTGCCATTTTAATCTAAAACATTCATTTTCAGGTATACCCAACAGCATTCCTCCTCACAGCCAAGATATTCGAATTCGACAACAACAAGAACGGCCTAACCGTCGCTCCCCACCTATATCAACATGTAATGGGCTTCTTTCGTCTATTCTTCAACAAATTAAGCGATGGATGCATGACAATCGACTCCAAGTTCCTGGTCCAAGTCCGCATCGTGACCAACTTCCTGGCCACCATCTCCAAGTATCAACCAGAATTCATCAGAGGCGTCTCAATGAACTTCTTCCTAAAGGCTGGAAACAAAGTTGCTGCGCTTTTTCAAAAACACATTGAGAATAATGCGAACGATGAGAAGATCTTCGAAAACTCGGATTATCAAAATTTGTTGAGGAGTGTAACATCAATTGTCAGGGTGATCACACCTTGTCTACATAATGCTACACAGGTGGGTATTTTTTAAATTTTTGAAATGTGATGAAGATTTTTGAAAGATTATGGTAGAAAGCACTATAATGCCAAGAACTTTCTTTACAAAACACAAAATGGCAAGAACTTTCTTTACAAAACGGGAAATGGCATTCATCGTATAAGTTGTCACACGCAGACTGCGAAATGTGAAAACTTTCTTTACAAATCATAAAATGGCAAAAACGTTCTTTACAAAACATAAAATGGCAAGAACTTTCTTTACAAAACATAAAAAGGCAAGAACTTTCTTTACAAAACATAAATTATCAAACATCGTATAACTTGTCACCCGCAGGCTGCAACTAAACCAGAAGTTTCAGGAAGTCAGTCGAAACGTAGCCCAAGCAATCCTAATGCCAGCCGTACCAGTAGGACTACCTTCACACCTAGTAGACGATGATCTCCTGACCCATGTTACAGTAACCCTAATACCACTGTTACGAGGTCCAGCAGCACCATCCTATTGTGTACCACTACTAGCACGACTCTGCGTTTTCAGACACAAACTACTAAAACCACCCCTTAAAATGTTGTTCAACCGGATCGAAGTCTACATTGAAACCACTCCTAATTTGAAACAGACTAGGCTAGGCCAGGAGCTGGAACTTATCATGGTGGTGGAGAAGTTCAAAGATGATTTGAAGAAGATTCAGAAGATGGAGAAGGAAATGGTCGAGCTGGAAGGGAACCTAGATGAACAGGAAAAGCTTAACAGTAAGAGGTTTGGGTTTTTTAAGCTTGGGTTTGGTTAAAAAATTTAGCGGTTTTTGGCCATTTTTTTGGAAAAAATGAGGTTTTAAGTCATTGTTTGATAAAAATGTAAAAGTAGAAGGTATATAAAGTATAGTGCAGTAAGTTACCGATGAGTTGAAACATTAAAAATTCATTTTTGAATGGAGTTTTAACTAAAAAAGGTCGCAAAAAGCAATTCGATCAGGATGAGATTCGAACTCACGCGGGGAAACCCCAATGGATTAGCAGTCCATCGCCTTAACCACTCGGCCACCTGATCACGGCGGCTCGGGACGCTAAAAATGGATTGGAAAGGGGCGGGATTAGGCTAGCTAGAATGAAATTGGGGGTGGATTTGAGTTTTTTCTAAATAATATTTTTTTGGAATTTTCTTATTATTTTTGAACTTTAGAAAATTTTTTTGAGTTTTCAAAATTTTTCGATTTTTAAAAATATTTTTAAATTACATTTTAGGCCTCCGAGAGACAGTTCAACAGATCCTGGAGAAACATTTGAATTTTCAAATACCAAGTAATGTGTCACCGCCGAATATGTACGAAGTACCGACTCTAATTGCCCTCAGGGCATTGGCCATGGAGTATCTGGAGAAATCGAGGTTTGGGTAAGTGGAAAATTTGCTCGGGGACAGGGCACATAATTTTTTGAACAACGTAATAAGCGATTTCTTGGTTTTGAAATGAAAATTTTTTAAACGAAAAATTTTTTTGAGTTTTAAAATTGAAAAAATTTTAATTTCGAAGCAAGATTTTATAAATTTTCGAAAGTTAATACAGTCATTTTTACAGCAATTTTAGTTTCATCAACGAACAGTTTCTAATGGCCATTCACATCATCGAAGAAACGAAAAAACAGCCTCAGGCAGCGATGCAAAGGATACGAGAAGAAGAGCGAAAAGTCTTCAAATACTACTCGGTTTTCTTGGAAAAATCGCTTCAAATCCAGATTTCAAAGGTTAAAGCTGGAGAGACTGTGTAAGTGGCAAAGTGTGGGTGTTAATATTGGGAACTTTTTGAGTTTTTTTCGTTTTTTTTTACAGTATTAGGTAACAATTTTAAGTTTTTTAGGGGTTATTTAGGTCTTTTTTTATTTTGGGTAACAAATACATTATTTTTTGGATTCAAGAATTCATTTATTGATTTTTTAAATTTTTAGGTATTAATTCTTAGTTTTTTTTGAAAAGTGGCAAGAACTTTCTTTAAAAACCATATAATGGCAAGAACTTTCTTTACATAACATAAAATGGCAAAAACTTTCTTTACAAAACATAGAATGGCAAGAACTTTCTTTACATAACAGAAAATGAAAGGTGTTGTATAACTTGTCATCCGCAGGCTGCAGAACATTTAATTCATTCATTTTTTGTTTAAATTTTGAGTTTTAGGTAACAATTCAATGTTTTTTTTATTTTAGGTTGTATTTAAGCCACTTTTTAAAATTTAGGCAACAATTTTGCTGTTTTTTTTTAGTTTTAAGTATTAAAATGGCACTTTTTTCATTTTTTAGATAACACCTTAGCTTATTTTTATTTAGATATCATTTGAGTGAATTTTTTGAATTTTGGGTAATAGTTTTTATCTTTAAGCCATTTTTACTAATCTTATCATCAATTTCCAGGTGGAACGTAGTAGACGTCTTGGACTCGGCCAATCTTCTCTTAGTCACAGCCAGAGCTCTAAGATATGCCAATGCGAAACAAGGCACTCAACTGGTCGAAAGGTTCATCCGCACCGGTCGCGTAATGCTCGACGCGAAAGCAGCGACCACTTGCGAGATCTCGAAATGGATGAATTATATTACCATAGCCTTGTCCGAGGTCCCCATCGAGCATTGGACCCCGGCGCTGGACAAACTGGTACAGGAAATGAGCCGAGACGCACAGAATTTCGATGCAGATGACATCAAATGCATGACTTGAGGTGGGGAATGGTAGGGATTTTGTCTACAGGCTTTGGGATTGCATGAATTTTCTTTACAAAACGTTAAATGGCAAGAACTTTCTTTACAGAACATAAAATGGCAAGAACTTTCTTTACAGAACATAAAATGGCAAGAACTTTCTTTACAGAACATAAAATGGCAAGAACTTTCTTTACAGAACATAAAATGGCAAGAACTTTCTTTACAGAACATAAAATGGCAAGAACTTTCTTTACAGAACATAAAATGGCAAGAACTTTCTTTACAGAACATAAAATGGCAAGAACTTTCTTTACAGAACATAAAATGGCAAGAACTTTCTTTACAGAACATAAAATGGCAAGAACTTTCTTTACAGAACATAAAATGGCAAGAACTTTCTTTACAGAACATAAAATGGCAAGAACTTTTTTTACAAAACTTAAAATAGCAAGAACTTTATTTACAGGTGGGAACAATTTGATTTACCGTATAACTTATCGCTCAGGCTGCGGGACATAAAATATTTTTAGTATATGAAGAAGTGGCAATAACTTTCTTTACAAATCAAAAAATGGCAAGAACTTTCTTTACAGAATTTAAAATGGAATGAACTTTCTTTACTGTACGAAAAATTTTGTTCTTTGTATAACTTGTCACTCGCGGGCTGCAGAGCATAAAATTTTAGTATTTTATGAAAAAATGGCAAGAACTTTCTTTACAAAATTTGGAACGGCACTTATCGTATAACTTGCCACCTGCGGCCTGCAGAACACAAAATTTTTTTTTTGTGAAAAAAAACAAAAAACATCGCTTTCAATCTTTAAAATTTTTACTTTTTCAGGAATCAACGACAAATTATAATACAAGCCTCCTTGACCTCTTTTCCAAAATGAAGATGATAAATGGCACTGATTTTATGGCCGTCACCTTTTGCCTTTGCTTTAAACTGAGAGAGTCAACTGCTTTTCTCCTTTTGACTTGTTTTCGAAGCCTTTTTTTCAATTTTTCTTTTGAATACCTTGTTGTTTTGTTACCTATCTTGTTTTATATTGTTTTTAAAGGATAATATCGGAACTGATTTGTATTTATTGGTAGTGTTGTTGTGGGAACGGTGGGGTTCTTTGTAACGAATCCTTTTAAAAAAGCTTTGAGATCGAATGTGATATGATGTTTTGTGTAAGTATTTCTATTTTGTTTTGTTACTGTACTTATTGGTTAAATTTTTATTTTGTTTCTTTTCATTTTTTTAAAAATAAATTTTAGCTAATACTTGTTATTATTTAATAATTACATGTTCAAAGCATCAAATTGAGTTATTTTACGGAGAAATGGCAAGAACTTTCTTTACAAAACGTAAAATGGCAAGAACTCTCTTTACAACACGTAAAATGGCAAGAACTTTCTTTAGAAATCAAAAATTGGCAAGAACTTTGTTTACAAAACCTAGAATGGCAAAAACTTTCTTTACAAAACACAAAATGGCAAGAACTTTTTTACACTCAAATATATCGTATGCCCTTTCAATATACCTCAAAAACATCAAAATTAGTATAACCCATGCCTCCCTGAAGTCATTAATCAGATAACTTACCTATACAAAGCTATGTCTTCTGTTGTTGACTTGTAGAGTTTTATTTCAAAGCTAGGAGATGATTAATTCGCTGTTGTGACAGCTTTACGTTTTTTCATTGTTCTCATTCGACTATAGGCTACATTTCGAAAAACAGCTGGGCCGAACTGAAAAAAAAAGAACGACGGCCGAACGCCGAGTACGAACGGTGTCTCGGTTACTTTTAGTTTTTGAACGTTTGGGAGGGGGGGGTTTTAATTTTTGAAAGTGAGAAAGATCATAAAATGAGAAGATTTGTCTTCTGAAACCTGCAGGTGACAAGTTATACGGCTGATGACATTTTTTTAATCAACTGTGCAAAATTTTCTTGCCTTATGTTTTGTAAAGAAAGTTCTTACCATTTTATTATTTGTAAAGAAATTTCTTGCGATTTTAAAGCATAAATAGCAATTGTTGGATTCAGCTAAATTTTTTAAATTTAAATTTTTATAAATTATATATTTTTTTTAATGAATTTTTTCATTAATTTAAAATTTTGATTGATATTAGTTTAATTTATTGTGAGATAGAATTGTTTATCTGGAATTATTTTTTTTTACTTTATTTTGTTAACAAAACAAGAATCTAACAATAATAATAATGAAGTAGGTAAAAGTCAAAAACTTAAATTGTTAAAGTGGGGATCTCTCTTTTTTTATTTTGGATTTTTTTATTATTGAAAATATAAATATTTTAGTTTTATTTTGATTTTTGTTACAAGTTATACGCTGAATGCAATTTTATTTTTCGGAAAGAAAGTTATTGCCATTTTATATCTTGTAAAGAAAATTCTTGCCGTTTCGAGTTTTGTAAAGGAAGTTCTTGCAAATTAATGTTTTGAAAGTTCTTGCCATTTTGTGTTTTGTAAAGCAAGTTCATGCCATTTCCAATAAAAATAACAAACATGTTTGTGTTTGCAGCCTGCGGGAGACAAGTTATACGACGAGTTACTTTTAGTCACATCATAACGTTTAGGTTAACAATATGTTTATGAAAACGATTAATGACGTAGCCAATTTGACATAGACAATAAAAAACATTATCATCACATGGCTATTGGATAATATCAAAGAAACTTTTAAAATCGAAAATCTTTGTTGTTTTGAAATTGGAAATGTCAAATCAGACATCACATTCTTTTTCTAATCTTTGGGTATTTTTCGGTCAAAAAGTTTATAGAAAGATAAAAAATTTATCTAGCTTTTCACAACAGGTGTAATTTTATATCGTTTTTGAGCTTTTTTTGTATTTTCTATGAATTTTTTGACTATAAAGGTTTTTTTAGAACGCGTAGTTGTTTGTCGTATAATTTGTCACGGCAGGCTGCAGAATATCGATATTGGTTTTTTAGTTCAATAAATGGCGAGAACTTTCTTTACAAAACATAAAACGGCAAGAACTTTCTTTACAAACCATATAGTTACAAAAACTTTCTTTACAAAACATAAAATTGCAAGAACTTTCTTTAAAAAACATAAAATGGCAAGAACTTCCTTTACAAACCATAAAGTGGCAATAACTTTCTTTACAAAGTTTCTTTGGAACGTTTTTAGAGCCCGGGGGCATATCAGACGGGGGTAATTAGTTATCAATCGTAGGACATTCCACACGGTTTCTACTCGGAATCCTGCAGCTGCTTTCGACATTTGATTGAATTTTTACAATTGACATGATTTTTTTCGGTTTGAATGTTGCATGTCTTGGGCTTTTTTCAAATTTAGTTTGGTTTGTCTGGCGGTTTTTGAACTTTTGCTTTCAATTTTTGATCTGTGAAGATAATATACATGGGAAAGAAATTTCTTGCTATTTTATGTTTTGTAAAGAAAGTTCTTGTCATTTCTTCACATAAAGCCTGGTTTTGTAGTTTGCAGCTTGCGGATGACAAGTTACATGTAATTTTTTGTATTGTAAACAAAGTTTTTCCATTTTATGTTGTTTAAAAAAAGTGCTTGCCATTTTTTGTTTTGTAAAAAAAGTTCTTTTCATTTTATGTTTATTGAAGAAAGTTCTTGCTTTATAAATCTTGAAAATTTAAAAATTCTATCTACTTTTTGACCGTTGTGAATTTCTACGTATTTCTTGACCGTTTTTTAAAATTTTTTTTTTATTTTTTGATTTCACTGTTAATTTTCTTCTTTGTTTCCCTTTTTTTATTTCTGCTTATTTTTTGACCAAACATTGAACCTTCTATGTGTTTGTTGACCGTGTGACTACGTTTCAACTGATTCACAATTTGTTTTTAAAATTTGTATTACTTTTTGAATTTTAAATCGAGTTTTAAATTCAAATTCGAAAACAGTTCCCATCTCTAATCCAGCCCCACAAAGCTCTTTGTTCTCCAAACCTTTTGGCATTTTTTGCGATTCTAATTAATATTATACTTGTGCCTGATGGGGCCAAGAGAAAAGTTGAAATCGCGAAGCGAAACCCCCCCCCCCCCTATTTCCACTTCCGGTGGAGAGCTCCGTTTGCGATTAAAACAAGGCCGGAACAACTGTCGAATTTGTAGTAATATAACTCGGGATCAGACTCAAAAAAGTAGGCGGAAGACTGTTTTCGTCAAGTTTCCATTCCTTCGCTGGGGTTTGATGCATCAACTTGTGGGCTGCGTGTTTTGGTGGCATTCGGTGATTAATATGATACTAATCAGCTTCGGATTAAAATCAATATTATATTAATCAGCATGAGATGGAATGATAGCGGGTGCGGGTTTTTGTAATGATTTTTTGGAGGAAAGGGGAGAGGAAAGAAAGTTATTGACGTTTTATAGTTTGTAAAGAAATTTTTTGCAATTTTTTGTTGTGTAAAGAAAGTTATTGCTATTTTTTCAAAAACTATGAAAGTTTACTATTCCCTAGCCTGTCGGTTACAATTTGTACAACGAAACTTCTGTTTCGTAAAGAAAGTTCTTGCCACTTTATATTTTGTAATGAAAGTTCTTGCCATTTTTTGTTTTGTAAAGAAAGTTCTTGCTTTTTTTAAACTTTGAAATTCTGCAGTCTGTAGATGAGACTTTTTTATGCCATTTTATTATTTGTAAAGAAAGTTCTTGCTATTGTAACCCCTGTATAACGTGCTGTTTACCATAACCTCTGTATAAGAAACATATTTTTTAAAAATCTCCAACTAGTTTGTTATGCAAGAATTTTACTGTGCCTTACACGTTCTTTTAAGTATATCATTATCTAAATTTTACATTTTTAAAAATTTACCGTTGTTCTAACGTTTACTGTGACTGTTTACTTATTAACCTTTTGGTGATATTGATTAAAACGGCCTGTTTAAGTGCCGTCCGGTGCTCTGCTTTTTGCTGAAATTTCCGGAACAAAAAAGACAAACCTTGATCGGAGGGGGGTTTTTGCTATAGTTTTTCGAAAACCCGTGCCATATGCCATGTTTACTGTTATTGTTTGAGGTCGTTTCGGGTACTGCCGACTAGACCGCTTTGTGGGCTGGACTGGGTTAAAGCGTCTTTGTTTTTTAGTCTGGACTAGGTTCGGAAGGAGTTGTTTTGTAGTCTGGACTAGGTATGCGAAGGGTTATTTGGTAGGCTGGACTGAGTTTTGCAAGGGTTTTTTTTCTAGTCTGGACTTGGTATGGGAGAGGTTATTTTGTAGTCTGGACTGGGCTTTTGTGAAGCAGTTTTGTAGTCTGGACTGGGCTTAAATGAAGCACTTTTGTAGTTTGGACTAGGTATGGCAGGGGTTGCTTTATAGTCGGTACTGGATTTGGGTGAGCCAGTTTGATGGTCTGAACAGGGCTTTGTGGAGCTATTTTGTAGCCTGGACTCGGTTTTGCAGGGGTTGTTTTGTAGTCTGGACTAGGTATAGAAAGGGAAGTTTTGTGGTCTTGGCTGGGCCCAGATAAGGCAGATCTATAGTGGACTGGGCTCAGGTGATACAGTTTGGTATATTGGACTAGGTTCAGAAGAAGAAGTTCTGTTGTCTGGACTGGTCTTAGAAGTTTAATTTGTGTAGTCTAGACGAGGCTAGGTGGATGCAGTTTTGTAGGAGTCTAGACTGTATATGGGGGTTACTTTTGAAGCTGTAAAGAAAGTTATTGCTATTTTTTCATAAAATAACAAAATTTACTGGCTTGCAGCCTGCGTGTGTCAAGTTATACGATGAATGCCATTTTAGGTTTTGTAAGGAAAGTTCTTGCCGTTTTAGGTTTTGTAAAGAAAGTTATTGCCATTTTTTGCTTTGTAAAGAAAATTCTGGCCGTTTTACGTTTTGGAAAGAAAGTTTCTGCAAAATCTGACATTTTAAAAATTTTTTCGAATTTTTCAACTTTTTTGCACTTTTAAAAATTCAAATCTATCCCTAATTTTGCAATCAAGTTGAACTTTTATTGCTAACCTATCACGTTGTGGAACGGTGAAGCACGGTCGTAAAAGATGTTGTGTTAAAGTTGAGGAAAAGTGCAAAGCCGGTCGGAATCAAAGAAACGTTTTCAGATTAGCCAGATGTTCTTAACGAGCTTAATTTGCTTCGGGGACTAATTTTTTCGGTCATTTTAGTTTTGAGTTTGAAATTTGGGGTGAGGTGGGTTGGATTGGGGATGGAAACAAAGTTCTTGCCGTTTTATGTTTTTTAAAGAAAATTATTGTCAATTCTACATAAAACGGCATGATTTGTGTTTTGCAAACTGCGGTTGACAAGTTATTCGAAAAGTTTCATTGTAAAGAAAGTTCTTGCTACTTTGTGTTATGGAAAGAAAGTTTTTGCCATTTTATATTTTGTAAAGAAAGTTTTTGTCATTTTACTATTTGTAAAGAAAGTTCTTGCCATTTCACGTTTTGTAAAGAAAGTTTTTGCGATTTTGTGATTTGTAAAGAAAGTTCTTGCCATTTATTTTTAAAATAACAGCGTCTACTGTTTTCAACCTGCGGGTGACAATTTATACGATAAATAACACGTTGTGTTCTGTAAACTAAATTTTAGTTACTTTATGACTTGTAAAGAAACTTATTGCCATTTGTTCACAAAATTATTCCTTTTTCTGCTCTGCAGCCTGCGGGTGACAAGTTATACGAATAGCAATTTATATTTTGTAAAGAAAATTCTTGCTATTTATGCTCTGTAAAGTAAGTTCTTGCAATTTAAATAAATAGTTCTTTATCTTGGTATTCCTCAGCGTGTTCGTGACATTATATTTGATGAATTCTACTTTATGCTTTGTAAAATTTTTTTTAATTTTTATATATGTTAACTAAATGAAGCTCATATAGAACATGTCGTATTTTACTTGTTCTTGTATGTATTTTTACCTGACGCTATTTCAGACCCTCCTTTAGTGTAAGGTGTGGCCAAACTGCAAATCCTGGTCTGGAGCACAATCTCAGTACCAGTTCAGCGCTTCGGCGCACTCACACTACAAACCGATCTCTTTATCGTATATCACCCGAGAGTACAATAGGTGATTCTACAGTATTGTTAGAGTACAAATGACAGCCATACTGTCACTGTTGTGCTCCGACCCACTTGTAGCATCGTGCTCGCCACGAAGAAGTGGGGATTCTGGAGACGAAAACTACCTTCTCGATTCGGATTCATGGGACTTGTGTACGGAGTCGACCTCCAGGGATTGTCATGAAAACAAGGTGTTGACGAGAAGTGTCACCGTTTGGTCGGATGACAGTGGCAAAGGCGAGGTGAAGAGGACCAGGAAGTTTAAAAGGCTTATGGTAAGTTTGATTTTAAAGAAAAAGATAGGGGGGGATGAAGGAGGTAGAGGAGAACTCCTGTATAACGAAGTTTTCAAGGATTTCAAATTTGTTTGTCCGGTGAGGGCAAAGGTATAGTAACAGCTATGATAAAGGTAAAGGCAGAGATAGGAGTAGAGGTAGGGTCATATGGGCTAAGGTAGGTGTAGGTGTACTGATAAGGGTAGGGGCAGTAAGGGTAAGGAACGTAGGTAGAAGTTGGAGTAGTAGAGGCAGGGTATTTTTACTACTAGAGCTAGGGCGAGAGTTAAAACAAGCGCTAGGGCTCTGGGCTAGGGCTCTGGTCTAGGGCTCTGGGCTTGGGCTAGGGCCAGGGCTCTGGGCTAGGACTCTGGGCTAGGGCTTTGGCCTAGAGTTTTGGGCTAGGGCTGTGGGCTAGGACTCTGAGCTAAAGCTCTGAGTTAGGGCTCTGGGCTAGGGTTTTAAATCTGAAAAACTAGTTCAAAGTACAATACGAACAAAGTCTAATTTTAAAAATATAACACTGAGTCATGTTATTCAATGCTCTAATGGTTCAAAGATTGGTCAGCACTTGTCTAAGATCAGGTGACTCCGGCCGAATTTGTTTTATTTTTACTTACAATTTGTTGTTTTAGAACATGGTAGGCTCAGCACTAAACCCATTAAAATGGTCGAGGGAATGGAGTACGGATTCGGTTGATTCTGGCTATTATGGTTATCAACCTCATCGACCAGGCCAAGCTGGACCTTCAAGAACTGTTAGTTTTGCTGATCGGCCTTCTACTCGATACCGGATCTTGAGTGAGGTAAGAGGGTTTTTAATTTTATAAGTTTTGGTAAAATACGGGTTTTTTTATTTTGCACTTTTAAGTTTAAAAACTGTAAAAAAAATTTTTTTAATTTGAATTTTGATTTCCGCGCCAAATTTGGCATTATATTTTATAGTCAAAATAGGCTTTAATTAATATTAAAGGGCTCAAATTAATTTTAAAAAACTGTTTTTAGCTTATAAAAACTAAACTTCACTATTCTTTATACTTTTTGTAAAAATTTTTTGAACTTATGTTTTGGCGCCAAATTTGGCATTATGTTTTAAGTTCAAAATGAGGTTGAATAAATTTTAAGAACCCTTTGTTTTAGCTTATAATAACTAAATTTACTATTTTTCAACTTTTCTTCTTTTGAAATTATATTTTGGCGCTAAATTTGGCATAATGTTTTGTGTGGGAAATAGGCTTTGATTAATCTTAAAAACCCTTTGTTTTAGCTTATAATACGTAAATTTTAACTATTTAATTTTCAACTTTTTTTGTAAAAAGTATTTGAATTCGTATTTTGGCGCTAAGTTTGGCATTACGTTTTTTGGCCGTAATAAGCTGTTAAAAGTCATGAAAAATAATTTTATTTTTTTAGTTAAAAATTGATTACTATTTTTTGAACTTTTGCGTCATATTTGGATTTTTCGTATTTTAAGGCTTTTAAAAATCTAAAAAAAATTAAAAATACGTAATAATTTTTAAAATATGCTTAAAAATAGAAAATAAAATTGTTTTTAAATTTTACTTTTAAATTTTTAGACTGAAAACTCATCGGACGAAGACTCAGAAGTTCAGCACTTTGCCATAGTTGATATAGGAAAGAAGCCCAAATGGATATCAGATGCCAACAAACTGGAAGATCGTGGTCGATGGACGAAAGACAAGAAGCCACACAGTTTTGACTCAACTCTACAACGACGTCGAAGCATATCAGCTCAACGTACCTGTCGCTTGAACCGACGTGCTTACAGTTTGAACCGAGTTATCGAGTTAAATGCTGCTGTCAGGAGGAATGAATACGCTTCTAAAATGGCGAAACGACCGGAGAGCTCGTATCTTGGTGAGTCTTGAAGGGTAGTATTCAGAATATAGGAGTTTGATAAGAAGGTCAGAGGTACGACTGATTAGGGTAATACTAGAGAAGAGGTACGTTAACGTAATAATGAAGTAGAGATAGATCAAGATGATATTAAGGTAGGGTACTTTTAAACAATAATACACTAGGGTAGACTAGAGTAATACTAAGTCGGTGCCTACGATGAGGATAAGGGTGAGGTAGAGTAGAATCATACTTGGGTGAGGGTAGACCAGAATAATGATAGGATGACAGGGTAGAATAGGGAAAGGTAGGATAGGATAGGGTAGGGTAGGGCACGGTAGGGTAGGGTAGGGTAGGGTAGGGTAGGGTAGGGTAGGGTGGGATGGGGTAGGGTAAGGTAGGGTAGGGTAGGGTAGGGTAAGACTTTATTGATTTTTTTCATTTTTAGAAAACTCGACCCACCTGATGAGAGACTATGCTGAATATAGAGACTACAAAGAGCCCATTTTCTATTCAAACGCTGATGATGACTATGGTGATGTAGAACTATATGAAGATAATCAAACTTATAATTAGTGAGTTTTTGGGCTTAAAAATTTCATTTTGAAAAATTTTTCAATTTTAAAAATTTTAAAATTTTCAGCCCCTCCCGCCTCCAACTAGAACAAGAAAATGAGGTTCCGCCACGACCTCCAAAGCCACGTTCTTTGCATCAAAGTCAAGATACGAACAGTTACTATATCAATGAAGTAATGGCACCACCAAGACCACCAAAGCGTACTAACACGACTAGTGTTGTGTGCACGCAACCAACGCAACTTCGGCAACTTCGACGCCAAAATCACACTGAAATTATGTAAATTTCTAGCTTTTTAAAAATTTGAGGCTGCAGTGGCTTACTGTAACACTTACAGTAACTTTTTTTAAGAGTACTGTAACAGTTACAGTAATAGCGATACTGTAGCAAAAAAAATTAGACGTAGTGCGGTAGGTAGTACTGGTTTTCAAAAATCCATCCCGCTCTGTGAAAACGTGCAGAGGGTACAAGATTTTACAGTACGACCACAGTACCGTACTCTGTGCAAAAACCATCAAAACAAGTACGGTAAACAGTACTTTTTGTTACAAATTTCGGTGTAATTTATTGTTAACATTCCTTATTATAATAATATAAACGTATTAGTTGTATATTTTTGAAATATTTTTATATTTTTAAGTTTTTTAAATCTTATTATATTATTGATGATGATTATTATATGGACAATAAACTGGATTTGAGATACTGTAACTACTTGGTGCTAAAATTTTATTTACTATCCTACCCTACCCTATCCCACCCATCTCTACCCTACCATACCCTACCCTACCCTACCTTATCCTTCCCTACCCTATTCTATCCTACCGTGCTTTACCCTACCATATCCTTCTCTTCCCTAGATACCCTATATTATTTTATTTTACGCTACCTTACACTGTCTTACTTTACCCTGCCTTGCACTACCTTACCCTACCCTATACTATCTCCTTTTGTCCTACACTGTTTTATTCTACCCCGTCCTATCCTACCTTATAACCTCTTATTTTACCGTACTCTATCTTATAGTTAGTTTCTTATTTTATTCGACCCTACCCTATAATGTCTTATTAATATTTACCCCGCCTTACTCTACTCTGTACAATCTTATTTTACCCGGCTCTACCCTACTTTCCCCATACAATCGTATTTTATCCTGCTTTGCCTTATAAAAGCTTACCTTACCCTATACTACCCTCTACTATTTTATGTTATCCTCACCTGCAATATCTTATTTTGCCGTACCCTGACCTCTTATTTTGCCGTACCCTGACCTATACTATTTTAGTTTACCATACCTTATTCTACCTTATAATATCTTTTTTTACTCAACCCTGTCCCGCAATATCTTACCCTACTCTATACTATCTTATTTTACCTTACCCTACTCTATAATATCATACCCTTTCTTACCCTGCTTTGCCCTACTTTAAAAAAATTGTGGCCCATTCAATTTTCCCACTATTTTGTAATCTTTTTTCACGTTTTTTGGCGCTAAAAACCAAAAAACGGGTTCCGGAAAGTCGAAAAATCAGAAAAAGATGGCTTTTTCAAAACAAAACATAATTCAACTGATTGGTTTTTACTTTTTGGAGGTGTCTTTGGGGTTTTTATGTGGTTTAGGTTGATCTATTAGAGTTGGAGCTTTGGGTTTTAATAATTTTAAAATTACAACTGACAAGGAAGGTACCCAAACTGCAACGCCCAGATTAAAAATTTTTTAATTAAAAGTAAGAAAATATTATTCGAAATTCTAACAATTGTAAGTTGCGGTTTGCAGCCAAAGTTCAGAAAATCGAGATAAAAAAATTGCATTTTGAATTTCTCGCCAAATTGACATAGTGTTTCAAGCTTTTAACTTTGTTACTTTTGGACATCTAACGATTTTTCTTTAATATAAAAAGCTTCAAATCAACCTGCAATTTTAAGTTTGTAAGGCGCTAGGACAAATGCGGTTTTTAGACACTTGCGGATCTTCGGTTTTTGGACACTTGCGGATTTTGGACATTTGCGGATTTTTTAAAGGGGTTTTTTTTTATTTTTTATTTAATTTAGTTGTAGTATGGTACTAAATGGTACTAAAGTTTAAATTGGCACTGTCTTAATATTTCGTAATGTTAAATACTACTAATTTTTAATCGATACTGTTTTTATATTTTTGGTAATAAATAGTACTAAAAGCCCAAAAAGGTACTGTTATGTTAAAACTGTACCAATTCAAACTTTAGTATAATTTAGTACCATAATACAACTAAATTAACTAAAAAATTTAAAAAAACCTTTAAAAAATCCGCAAATTTCCAAAATCCGCAAGTGTCCAAAAACCGCATTTGTCCTAGCGCCGTTTGTAAGCCTATGTTTTCTGAAACATCAACAAAGCGCTTGTAACACAACGTCAAATTTGCCAAATTGGCGGAAAATTTAAATATATTAATTTTAAAACTTAAAACAGCAGTTTAAGATTTTTTATGTGTGCTATTGGTACTACGAAGAACCCGTATAAAAATTTTGAGCTATAGTTGAAAAATTAATGAAAAGTGTCCTACTACTTTTGAGCCAACCTAATAGTTTTGGGAGTTGCAGTTTGGGTAATTCCCTTGTGAGTTTTTTTCAGTTTTTGCACTGAAAAATGGGCAAATATTGCACTTTCTACGTCAAGTATTCTACAATTTGTAGGGTAGAACTATTTTTAAATTAACTTTTGTGAGATACTAAAGTTATAATTGACGAAACAGGTCCCCCTCCCCCCTTCCCAGATGTCGCTAAATTCAAATTAGCGAAAATTCCCATTCGCATATGAAAAGAAGAGTAAGAACATTACTAATTGTTTCTATTCTTCCCCGTCATGTATCACCCTTACTATTCTTTCCCATCATGTATCACCCTTTCTATAAACTATAAAAACACTTCATTGTCTTCAAGAAGGGAACGCCCTAATCATTGTCCTCAGTTCTCTTGTAGATCATCTTATTATTACCCGAAACTTATCCTAATAAACTTTGTAACTATTTGTTGGCGATTCGGAGCAACAAATTTGTGGTGACCCCGACGTTCAACCCTCGAACCCGACGTTCAACCCTCGAACTCCACCGTACACACACGAAGGTAGGTAACCAATTTTCCGATTTTTAAAAATTTTGTTTGAAATTTTCGCGTTAAAATTTTTCGAAATTTTTAAAATTTTTTTTCCTTTTGCATATTTCCATTTTATTGCAAAATTTTGTTCGGTTAGTATTTTTCCGCCCCCCCCCCATTACGCACAAGAGTGCGAAAAATGTTTAAGAAAGTTTAGGTAGGTACCCCTAAAATCCTAAACAGAGTATAGGACCACAGAACATTTTTGGGTAATTTAGTTGAAGACTAAACCTCATAAGTTAGGTAATACTCTAAAACACCTCAAGTTTTAAAATATTTGACCTTTTCTCTCTCCCTATAGTGCAAATAAAAGTCAAAAAACTATGTCTAGTAAAATCCGGCGAGTTATAGGGACCACTAAGCGTAGGCTTAAGGATAATTTAGTTAGGTACAATGGTATTAAAGCATCTTTAAACTATGAGACTGACGAAATAAATGACGATGAACTTTATGATATCTTAGAACGTTCCACTGATATTTTTGATAAATTGTCTAAAAATGTTCAAATCCTAGAACAAAATCATCATGATTAATTAGATATCATAAGTCAAAATCCCGCTGAGAATGAGGTTTTCCATGAATATACCAAAAAATACGGCGATTATTTTGAAGTTTTAGAAAATGCGAAAAATGCTATAGATGACCTTGCGCGCCATATACCTAAGTTTAAAGAAGTGGCTGTACTAAGATTAGAATTTAGTAGGACCAGCCAGCGATCAACCACATCCCCGTACCACCTGCGTCCCGCCACGAAATCAAGCCGGCCTTGGCGTTCTGCCTCTCTGGATCCAATACGGTCAACGACGTGGACAGCGAGAGGAGTAGTGGGTCACATATTCAGGAGTTGGACAAAGTTACACTCGCTTACCGGTCGTATCGTCAACGCTTTCCGACCGTATTATCCCTTTATAGTTATATTGTGTTATTTATATCGTTTGGTTGAGGTAAATCGTGTTATTATCTATTTGTGGGCTGTTGGAGATTGTTTCCGAAGTTTGTAACCTATTACGATATCTGTAGAGCTACTGACTGGCTCGAACCGATCCCACACACTTACGCCCGAACTACGCCCGCTTAGTATTGACCGAAACCCATTTATAACACCAAACCCTATCCCCAATCCAATTCCAACAGTTCAAGCACCAGCCTCGATGGGAGGCTGGACTGATATGCTTTTCCTCCCACCCGTCACAATCCCACAGTTTGACGGTAATCCCTCAAAATGGACTGAGTTTTGGGACCTTTTCACCGCAATGATAGATAAAAGAGGCCTAGACAAATGTATTAAACTATTCCACTTAAAGTCGCATTTAGAAGGCGAGGCTAAAAATTCCTTATCCCACTTAGGTAACTCCAGCGCAGATTACGATATACTGTTACCACATTAATTGATTTATACGGAGATCCGGTTCGTGTAACTAGGAAACCGCAAATAATGGAAATCGAGTTATAACTAGTGGTATATATATAAACGTAGAGCAAAAAATTCTAAGACTCATGGTGTAAATTTTTTTTGTCAACAATCTCTAGTTTTTGAGATATGGCAGGTCAAAGTTTGGTTTTTCAAATACTTTTGTCTCATGTTCGCTTTTTGAGCGAAAAGCACAGGTGCTTCAATGGTAGCGAGCGAGTGAGCCCGACTTGGACTCGAAAGCTCCGGGGTGCGGTTCCCGCCGGCTTCCAACGGCTGAAAGGCCTCAAAAAAGTTTTTATTTTTTTAATTTTAAAATTAATAATTACAGTCTTAAAACAACATAAGTAACCTTTTTGACATAAGAAAAAAATATAACAAAATTTCAAGCAAAATAATTAATAAAAAAAGAAAATTTCAACAATATTTGTACATAACATTTTTATTATTTCACTTTCACCGTATGGTGGACATTGTCACCAATGAAAATCTGTGTCGCAGAGACGGAACGTAAGCAAATAAGTACCGCGCTTACCCGATTTTGGGCTCTAGAACATGTCGGAATATTAGATGATCCTACAAGAAATGACAATGACTGTGCGATGGAAGCCTTTATGAAAACTGTTAGAAGGGACGAGGAAGGGCGTTAAATATGCAGATGGCCATGGAAAATGTCCACAGCCACACTGTTACCCAACTATGGTCGAGTAATTGGTAGATTACGATCCACCATCCGTAAACTTAACCACGATCCAGAATTATTACAAAAATATGATGCCATATTCAAAGAACAGCTAACCCTCGAAATTATTGAAGAAGCTCCTAAAATTCCAGGTGGACCTATCCACTTAATCCCGCACCAAGCAGTAGTAACACCCCAAAAGACTACAACCAAGGTTAGAATAGTATTCGACGCTAGTTGCCCAACTTCCAATGGGAAAAGCTTGAATGACCACTTGTTCCGTGGACCAGTCATGTTACCTGATCTGTTAGGCATGTTACTGAGATTTCGAGCTACACCAATCCCACTATTAGCTGATGTTGAAAAAGCTTTCTTACAACTAACCCTCGACAAAAGAGATCGCGATGTAACTCGCTTCTTATGGCTTAAAGACCTCTCTAAACCTCCAGAACCCGACAATATAATTACCTATCGATTTCGAAGAGTATGCTTTGGTGTAGTGTCCTCTCCATTCCTCTTAGCCGCATGTATTGATCACCACTTGTTGAATTACCCACATCCGTTGGCAAAAAACATGCGTAGAAATCCTTATGTCGATAATATCCTCATTGAGAACGATACTCCACAGGACGCTATTGAAGCTTACTCCACTTCAAAATCGATTTTTCAAGAAGCAAAAATGAACCTCCGTGAATATCAGACAAATGATTCTACAGTCAACGAATTCCTTCGCACAAAAGGCGAAATCACTCCGGAAAAGACAAAAGTACTTGGTGTTACATGGATACCCGCTGCTGATACGATAACCTTACCCTCATAGTCTTCCGAAAAGATAAAGTCACCCGTAACAAAACGTACTATATTGGTTACGGTAGCAAGCCTTTTCGACCCACTTGGCTTTTGTGCACCAATTATCATCCACGCTAAGATATTTTTACAACAATTATGGCAATCCGGAAAAGACTGGGACACTCCACTGAATGATGACGAAATGAATGAGTGGAATATCATCTCAGAAGACCTCAACACTCTTCCAGGACCACCAATTCCCAGACTTATTTGTCCATATCGTCCAGCTACCACCCAACTACTTATCTTCTGTGACGCTTCTCCTAAAGCATATTGTGCAGTTGCTTATCTACGAGCATCATCCGTTGGATCCACACACGTATCGTTTCTTATGGGAAAAACAAGAGTTGCACCAGTTAAAGACCTTACCATTCCCCGTTCAGAACTCCCTGGAGTTCACCTCGGCTCGGTTCTCGTTAAAACTATTTTACGAGAATTAACTTCACTTCCGCCTAGTGAAGTCTACATTTGGACAGATTCTTTAATTGTTCTCTCATGGCTTAAGACTCAACGCACTCTACCCATCTTTGTCCGTAATCGCATTAACGCAATCCAAAGCAACATCAACCAATCCGACATCAAATATGTACCTACATTAGACAATCCAGCCGATTACGCCACCAAACGAACACCTTCAGTCCAAAGCACACAAAGTAAATGGCTTGCTGGGCCCTCATGGATTTCATCACCACCAGAATCCTGGCCCACCCAACCTCAAACTTTACCTTCAGCACCAGAAGACCTTACTGTTGCTACAGATGCAGTTGTTGAAGATAAATTCACCAATCATCGATTTCTCAAGATTTAGTCGATGGATTACTTTGGTCAATATGATGGTATTTATGTTACGATATATCCAAAGATGTGTGCCAAAATTTTTGTCATCGACCATCTTCACCTCGTTTGACACAACCAATTGCCAAACTACTCAATTCCACACAGCTGAATTGCTTGCCTTTCGTATGATGCAAAATGCTTTTCCACCTTCAAGGGACCAAATTAAGCATCTACACTTGTTTCAAGATAAGGACTTATTGTGGAGATGTCAAACTCGTTTGCAAATGGCAAACCTTCCGTATGAGGCAAGATACCCCATATATCTACCCTCCAAAGCCTGGGGAACTAAATTATATGTTCTGCACATCCACCGATTACTACAACACTCATCTCCAGAAACCACGTTAGCTCAACTTTGCCTCAGAGTATGGATTCCTCATGCTAGAACCTTGATTAAGCAAGTACAAAAAACCTTATACTTTTGTCGGACGTTACAACCATTCCACCTTCCACCATTTCCATCTCTACCAACCTCACGTGTCACGGCCAATCCACCTTTTCATTTTACGTCTGGATTACGGCGGACCAATCACCATTGCCTTATCTAATGACCAATCCATTAAAGGATGGATATGCTTATTCACGTGCCTCACCGTTCGAGCAGTTCACCTAGAATTAGTACTCGACCTCAGCACATTGTCCTTTCTTCAAGCTCTGGATACTACGAGCGACTTATGAGTATTACAAAAAAATCACTTAAGAAAGCTAAGCTATAGTAAATACTCGACCACTAACACATATCGCAGCTAACGATTTTGATGACATTATTCGTCCAATTGATCTTATTCAACCTGGAGCAAAAATAGGAGTTCCCACGTTAGATACTTGGTGCCCAGAAGATGGTACTTTTGAACCAACCCCCTCCACAGCTACTCGACTGATTGATTTATGGAGACGTCAACAAAAAACACTGAATAGTTTCTGGCGCATCTGGCAGTCGCAATATCTCCTCGGACTTACAGCAAGATATCAGACTGAACATAATCAAAGTCGATCTACCATCACTAGACCTCCTATACCTGGGGAAATAGTGCATGTTCAGGATGAAGGAGAATTGATTAGAGGAAAATGGAGATTAGCCAAAATATTAGAAGTGGAAAAGCCCACGAGAATAAAGATACAAATGGCAGCAAAACCACATGCTATATCCTACCGTTCACCCAAACATTTATATCCTCTAGAACTGGACCCTCAGATTAAGACTGACACAGCAAAAGAACCAGTTAGTGCTCAGCCCCCTAGAAAACCGCATACTAGTAGTAAGAAAGTCCTCCTAAACTATGTTAGTATACTATGTTTATTACCACTAGCCTTAGCAGATAATGAGACAACTTACGAAGAAACCACAAGAACACCTAAGGTCCCAGATTGCACTTTAGACCACTGTGCTCCATGGGCATGGGAATGTTGTTCTGCTTTACAAAAGACAGGTACAATATTGTGGTTATGTGTGATAGTAGCTTTATTACCTACTATTATGATGATCATAAAATTGCTTCTTGGCGTAATCCACTTTATATTTAACTTAATCCACAAGTTATATAAAAAAGCCATCCGACGACGTCGGAGTTCCTCTACCTATACAAGAAGACGTAATATTAAACGACTTTTAAGTAAAGCCAGTGTGTTGATGGTTATCGTAACTTTGATAACAAAAACTGAAAGTTGTTCTGAAGTAAAATCTGTTTTGGTTCCTCAAGAATATTGTACACTTGATGATACCACTGGACTATAAACTTGTAGTATAAAACAAACAGTACAATTAACGTTACTACCTATCAACGAGACAATCTGCCTAAAAGTAACCACTCCCACAAATACCACGTACTTACTACAATTTACCGCCACAGAAATCCAATACAAATGTAATTTCCATGAATGGTACTACACTCGAGATTACATTGCTGATACCGAGAGTGTCCACAGATGCGACCACACTTCTTCTTGTTATGAAAGTACATGTGAAGAAGTAGACCTCGACGATGAAATCGATGAATTTTCTAAATCAGTACGGAAAGCGCCTAGTTATTCTCATTGTACACGAGCTTGTGGTGGATTAGTTTGTGGATGCTTCTTCCTAACACCAGCGTGCAACTTTTGGAGATTGTACGCTTCTCCCAATTTGACATATATCTACCGGGTAGGACAATGCCCCACTTGGACTCCAGTTGTACACTTAATTGTTCAACAACAGAACACTACCATTCCTCTAACCCTATCTAATGGGGAATCATACAATCATGAAGGAATTACTTTTACTCTACAATCTACTTCCCAACCACAATTACCAATTCTACAGCTACCGTTAATAATAAACGACGATAAGGCACAGGCTATTATGACTGCCGCCTCTACACTTGGTCAACCCATCGTAGGAAGTGTAGGTACTATGCAATGTGATGAAAAAAGTGCTAGAAACTTTCGATGTACATTCCCTCATGAGATATGTAACTGTATACCAAGTGATTTTGATACGAAATGCACTTGCACTTATACCAATCCAATGGAATTGTGGGATTTACCGGAAGTCCGTCTACCACTTTCGTCAGGACCAGTTACTATTAATTATCTCGACAAAGAAATTACCAACAACAATCCTCAATCTTACTACATGCAAAACTAGAAAACGTCAGTGTATCAGCATACGAATATCTCAAAAAATGTGACGTTTTTCTCACAAAACCACTAGAAGGCTGCCGATCATGTAATCAAGGAGCCGTAGGGTCTATCACCTGTTCTAGCCATTTACCAACTACCTTAAATCTACAATGCGACGAACAAAATACATTCTCATTGAAGTGTGACAATAACCCTCAAGAATTCAGAATTATGACAACGGATTCGACATACTCCAGCAATTGTAGTTTTCAATGTTCAAAAACCAATGGAACTTTGAAATTATACGGTGAATTAACCACAAATACCGTACCAAATATCGACCCAAAAGAAATTGGATATGAATGGGCTAAACCCGCCACATCAATAAATCTACCAGAAATTATACAACAAATTTCAAAATTAATGAGCAATTACCTCATGGCCTTCCTCAGTATCTTTTCTGGTCCACTAACAATTGCTGGGATTATATTCCTAATTATTGTTATTGGGTACTGGTTTCTGACCAATAGAAGCTACAAAATTACGTTAAATCCTACTCATCGTCCCATATTACCCTATGCGGCTGTAAAACCGTACAGATATAAACCACATACGCATTAAATTAAAAAATATTGTTACTTCCTCAATCTTTAATTAATCTTGTCACAAAAATCGTATATCACCTAACCTCATAAAATTATACCATACAAATTAAATCCCTCTTAATTTGTGTAACTTATGGCATTAGAGTTAACCTCAAAATGGATCACGAAGAAGTCATTGACACCACAGACATTATCCTCATCCTCATTCATGTCTGTAGCATTGACCTTTCGGCCGACAACTTTGGAACATGGCGAAAGACGTATCACAACATGGCATTGAAATACCACTCAGACAAAAACCACGTTCTACCGTATGCCACGCTGTTTATGCAGAAGCTTAATGGGGCTAATAGCTACCTCAAGAACTTGTCATCAGAAGGATACCACGCTTTCATTGTAGACAATCGGCATTTAGCCTACACGATGTCGTTCTATGATTTCATTCGCTATCGAGACCTCGAGAATGCCATAAACTCCCACACCCAGAGTCTTTCTAACCTCGTTCAAGATAAAGATGAAGAACTCCACTGTAAGCGAGAAGCTATAAAGTTGTTGAATAATCTACAAAATGAAGCCAAAGCCCAGAAGGATGAAATGGAGCTCGAGATCAACAGATTAAGAAGACGACTAATAGAAGAACAAGAAGAGTCAGCTAGATTACAAGCACAACTGGAAGAACTACAAAAAACTCAATCCACAAACCAACACCAAGCTAAAACGTCAACCTCCAGTAACTTCGATGAATATGTAAATGACGCTCCGAGCACCTCTCGTCAAATGTACAATTCTGGTACATCCAGAGAAGGTGATGTTGACTATGGAAACTGCTACTCCACATACCAGGGATCTACCAGGCCGACCCACGATACTTCATCCACCTCCACAAATAACATAAGATGCAGTTTTTGTGATAGGAACCACTACTCAGCTTCTTGCGAAAACGTTACGAGAAGAGACGAAAGGCTAAGTATATTAAATTATTGGAGACTTTGCCACAACTGTTTGGGATTTCATCCCACACCAAAGTGCCAAAGCACGAAACGATGCCGAGCATTGACGGATTCCACAACTTGATTATATGTCCCACGATGTTCGACGAACAGGGAAAAAGCAAACCGTTTTCATTGCCCACTCCCTATAAAAGGCAAATCTGCATGATCTGTTTGGACGGTGTACGAGCCCACCGTACTCAAACCACTTCCTGTGGGCATTTGTTCCACAAAAAATGCATTGTAGAATGGTTCAACCACAATCCACAACACACATGCCCTACATGCCGCACGTCGCAAAGCCATATCAATTCCACGGCGGAAATGGAATTCCTCGACGAACTTACAACGACGTCCCAGACTTTGAGTAAAGGAAAATTATAATTTTTTATAAGTTACCTCCTATCCACTATATTATAACTTTGTCATAACCTTTATCCTCAATTGTAATCTATTTCCACTACCCTCGCCGCCGGAATGTCGCTAAATTCAAATTAGCGAAAATTCCCATTCGCATATGAAAAGAAGAGTAAGAACATTACTAATTGTTTCTATTCTTCCCCGTCATGTATCACCCTTACTATTCTTTCCCATCATGTATCACCCTTTCTATAAACTATAAAAACACTTCATTGTCTTCAAGAAGGGAACGCCCTAATCATTGTCCTCAGTTCTCTTGTAGATCATCTTATTATTACCCGAAACTTATCCTAATAAACTTTGTAACTATTTGTTGGCGATTCGGAGCAACACCAGAAGAATGTTTGCAAAAAGTTGAACGTGTCCCCCCCTGTGTTCTTTTAAAAAAATTTTCCGGCCGTGCTAGAGCTGTAAGGGGTCGGGCCGGGCTAATTTTACGTGCAAACGGGCCTGGCTTTTCTGGAATTTTCGGGCCGAGTCTGGCTTTACCGGTCTTTTTCAGGACCGATCTAACCTAAATTTTGTTTAGAATCTGCCGGTCCGTTCTCCATGTCTAACTGTTGTAAGTAGTTACTTATTTTTACTTCTATTATCAAATGGTTTCTATTTATAGTATATTGCCTTGTTTAGTTTCTTAATTTAGTTTTATATATTATGTATTTTTAAAAATGCAAACGATCCTAAACTTATGGCAAAATAACCTTTATCGTAAAAAATTAAGAGAGGTATATACTCAAAACTACGTTTAGAGTTAAATCCTGCTCGAATTATATACTAAATATATATTATGACATAACATATCATATACTACATATATATTTATAATTATCAGTTTGTCCGGAAAAGAATGTTAGAAAATCGCACTGTGCAATTTGGAGGAATCGCTGTCGCGCCGAGAATTCGGCGACAAGCGACAAGGTCTGCGACAGTCGCTTGCACCTTGCGACATCCCAATGGGAATCGCAATGTCGCAAAGTGCAAAGCTTTGCGACAAACTGTTGCGTCGCGATTTGAAAGGCGATGCGACAGCGTCTCGCGGTTAGAGAGATTGAGGGGCCCCCCGTCCAAATTCTGCTTTCCCTATATCCCCGACACTCTCTCGCAAGTCGCTCTGACTGCGAACAGAGGAGAGAGTGCGGGTCGGGGGAGGGCACAGAATTTGGACGGGGGGGGCCCGTCTCGTTGCGGGTATAGAAAACCAGGGACGCATCTTTCGAAGGCACTTGCCTGAAAAAAAGCACAGTTAAAAGTTTATGTTGTCCAAAACGTTATACAAAATCGAAATAAAAACTATAAAAATCAAAACCTGGTATGATACCGAAAAAATATAATAAAATCAACAAAAACAAAATTGAATGTGTTAAAAAGTGGAGAATGAATAAAACTTCTCGGTGACAGAAAAAATTAATAAAGCAAGTTTTGTTGCCCAAACCGTTATACAAAATCAAAAGAAAAACTATAAAAATTAAAATCTGTAATGATAAGTGGAAAAATATAATTAAATCAAAAAACAAAATGATTGTATTAAAAATACTCTAGAGACTAGATAAAACTTCTCGCTGACAGTAAAAACAGGTAATAAAGCAAAACTATTACTGATCTGACCCCCCCCCCCCTACGCGCCTAAAACATCCAGGTTGGTTATAAATCAATGATTAGTCAGATTTATCATTCTTTGCTACGGGATTTTTTAACAATATTAAGGCAAACAAAACAACCACGGAATCTCTGTATTTTATATAACTAAGCTGGACATTTTAAAAACGAAAAAAAAAAAGTATTAATAACCTTCAGAAAGGAGGTGATAGAGTAGAGCCCGCCCACTAAAACATAATATAAAAAAGGAATGTTTCAGTATAGATGGTATTAAAGATTAGTATAATGTATTATGGAATTTATTGAATCATCGATATTATAAATAAATAATATTTAAATGGAAGGCCCGTATTAATAAACATTGTTTAACTTAATAGGGATTTGATAAGAAAACAGCGCCATCTCTCAACCTATATTCCCTCAGATGCAGCCCGGAGGACAACGTAGAAATCATAATGTGAGACCAAAGCTGTATAGAAATACTCGTAACCCCTTTGGGCCGCCTTCTAGAAATCTGCGTAGGTCTAAAAATGTTAAACAATAAAAATAAATTTTGAATAATGAATCTTGTTAGTTTAGAAAAAAACTATTGGCCGAAAAAACCTGCCCAAATCAATAAAATCGTGGGAATAATTGGAAAGGATTTAAAAATTTGGTAAAAAAGGTGGAAAACGTACCGCCCCTTGATGACGCCGACCGCGCGTTTTATATCGTAGTAGGGCTCATGCAGAAGTTGAAATGAGCTTTGGGTGATTTAGGGCAAGATTTGGGGGAGTAAGGGTAAGGAGCATACACTGCCACGCAGGGAGTTTTTACACGGGGTTGGCTACCTCTTTGCTTGACTTCTTCTTGAAATCTTGTTTAACTATTATTAATTATATGATCCAGTGACGTAACTGCACTGAATAGGGTTTATTTACAAGTAGATTCCTCTAGAAATCTTACTGAAATCGACCACGGGCATCGTCAGAAAGGCACATTCTCAATCGCTTGATGGTGTTTTTATCGTCCCAGGACGTGCCGCTGATTTTTAAAATCTTCAAACTTTTGTAGCCATTTAGGGAATGTAATATCACCGTTACTATTAAAAAGACTTAAAAAAGTTGTTTGCTTAAAATGACGTTGCTACCGGTTTTAGGAGATGGAGATTTGTTTGTGCCAGATGAAGAAGCCAACCGCCAAAAACAGCTGGAGGCGCGGCTAAGTTTGATGGTTGTTGACTCAGTGGTCAATATAAACGGACGGCGGGTTAACAAAAAAAACCCTGGACGACTGGATGAAGCCGAGAAGCCGAGAAGCAGTTCTACATCGACTCTGTGTAGTAAGTGTTAATTTGGTGGATGAGGGTTTCGGTGATTGAGGGTTAAGTGGAGGTAAGGTAAAAAAACGAGAGGAAAGAAGGAAAACCGTGGAGTGCCTAAGTTGTTGGCTTTTCAGGACGGGCCTTTGACGAGCGCATGATGACTGCTTACTCGCTGCACTACAATCGTCAGCCACCAACTCTGTCATCCCTAATGGGAGGCCGCGTCAGCAAACCGGTCTCCAATTTATTAAGTAGCATCTATCGCTGCGGCAAGGTTTACTATAGAGTGATGCATCGGCACGGGCAAAGGATTCTGGAGTCGGAACAACTGAGAGAACTGGCCGCCAATGGTGACTCGGACTAGGTGAATTTCAACGGCCAGGGAAGACAAGTGGAGCTGGAGAATATGCCGGGTCCGAGTGGGTACAGACGACCTGTTCAACCTCAAACCAGATCCTCTGCCGAGCCAGCCAAGAAGAAGGACTCTGCAGAAGGCAAAGGGGAAGACAAGTAGGATGAAGATGGAAAACAAGTAATTTGAAACTAAAGTCTACAAAAATAATGTTTTAATTACTCATGACTTGTACATGCATCTGTTGAATCCAGTGTTCAAAGACTTCGTAACTTGCAAACTTGTTAGAAAGTTTTTTCATTGACACTTTGGACCAGTCGGTGAGACCTCTTGGAAAGTTCTTGATGGTTGGATCATTTAGCGCCGACAAGCAATATTTCTTTGATGGCTAAAAAATGATTACAATAGACGAATTTTCATATGTGCGTCATGGTAAAGATTTGGGATTTAATTGTCTACCTATTTTCGTAAGTAACTGCCAATATTAGTCCATTTTTGAACTTAGGAGCCTAAAAGATCACGAAATTGACCAAAAAATATTACAGGTAGGATGTCGGATGACAGGCTTCGATGCAGTTATGTGAAACAGTACGTAGTACCGGCAGAGTATTGTGTCCCCCGTGTGGCAAAGAAAAAGCTAGTGAGTGTGGGAAAAAATACATCTGAAAAGACAGAAATTTTAGTCATCGCAATCAGTTGTATGCGTTTGGGCCAGGAGAACTATTGTTTTTATTATTGCTTTTGCCGATTTTTATATGTTATTTAATTTTTGTTGTTAAATTTTACATTTTAGGATGGAGCTAAGCCTAGGAAACGAACTTTTAACTCCAGGCAAGAAGCCATTTCTTCGCCTCCACATCATAAACGTCGAAACAAATCGTACTGGAAAGAAGACACGATCATATGGTATGATCAGAGGCAGAGAACCTGACATCGCAATAAGATTCGTTGCTTGGAAAAAATCGGCCCTCAAGTTGGAAAACAACACGTGAACGGTACGTCATCGGTAGACCCACGACTTCATGGAGCCAGAGAACGATGGACCCAAGCCACGCAGCGAAGCTGCTATCAGAACTGTGATGTATGGCTGCGGTTAACAAACGTAGTGGAGGAGTGGGCCATCACGGCGGCTAATTAAACAGCCTTGATAATAGATCCATCAACAGAATGATCCCAATGGGACGGCCGAGGTCCCCTGGCTCCAGGCGAGGCTGGAAGGCTCGAACTGATAACTAGAACTCTGCTAGAGAGAAAACCCAAGTTCTATTTACTTTTGGACCGGTTAAAATATAAAGGGAGTAAGTCTGAAGAAAACAGGCTGAAATAAATATTTAGAATGCATCGTTGCATTATAAGCAAAAACTAGAGCCGGAAGTACGTAATCAAAATCAAGCCCGGGGCTTAACGCTTTAGAGATCACACTATGAAAGGTTCTAAACGACCGTTCTACCGTGCCATTTCCGATAGAATAATGAGGAACGGTTGTTAAGTGTTGAATTCCAAAGCGCTCAGTTAGAAGATAACTTGAGATCAAAGCTACGAAACCGGTCAAAAACGGTTTTTAAACAAGCAATATGATCATCTAAGAATGGGGATTTAGAGAAAACTAAAACGTCATCAACATAGGAGATGGCTTGATCATTAAGACCGGTGAGGACTTGAGTCATAACCCTGGAAAAGAAATAGTAGCATTGACAAGGCCGAACGGCATTCTTGTCATCTCATAGACGCCTTTATACGTTATAACACCACACTTTTTTATGGCATCGTCAGACAAAGGAAGCTGCCAGTAGTTATCGGACTATTGACGCCGTATCTGCGGGTACCACCACGACTTGCAAGGAAATACGGTACCAGAACGTTAAAGCACACAAGTCGACTGCGTCTTTTTCCATAAGGAGAAGGCAAAGAACGCTAATAAGGAGAAAGCGGCCGGATCGGGCAGATCGTGTGCTGGCCACAGTCCGTTAAAATAACGGACTATTTAAAGCGCTAATGCCGATCACTTGAGGTCGACCCAGCGCCTGCTCAGACGCTGTTTTGTGAAGGGGTATCTGTCGCCAGCGAACGGCGAAAGGACGGCGGACCCAAGCCCTAGATCGACACCGTCGCCCAGCCCCAGCCCCGAACCAGTGGGGATTCAGTAACGACCAGCCTCCTAAAATCGTCTTACAATTAGTCAGGCCCAATGTGATTTTTGGCCCCAGGCCCTTATAAAAGGACAAAAATCGCTTCCAAATTCATTATTACTAATTCGTTTTCCTTCGCTATACATTGGAATATTATTGTTGTTTGGCTAACGATAAATCCGCTAACTGGCGATATTCGGCTAACTTGATAATTCAAGGCCACCAGTTGACCTTGACAGTATCCGTGGCCAACGACACCACGAAGGTCTTCGGGGAGAAGACGTAACAAGTGCACACATGTTAATGGACGCTTTCAGGTGGAATTTTAGGAAATTGGACTGGGCCTTTCAGGCGTACTAACTAAGGTCTGCCAAGATCGAGTTAGTTTTGAAGAGGGAATTGTAAGCAAGGCTAGGCCAGCCTATGCGCCGGTGCAGTCTAGCCTTGGTCGCAAACCCTGGGCTCATGCCAAGGAGGCTCTATTTTTCAATGTTTTGACAGTAAGGAAACGAGAGAAAAAGGTGGTGAAATCAGGCTCCGCTCCTGACGGAGCGGAGGCCAAGTCTGATCCACAACTGAAGCGTACAGTCTTTGACGAAAATGATATTTACATTAACGCTTCAACTTAAGGTTGAGATTTGTAAAGAAGACGTAATCAGACTCCGCTACGGCCGGAGCGTAGGCGGGGCACGACACCAAATTTTATAATCGTAATAGTAATTACGTAAATTTGCTGGAAGTTAATCTACAGTCTAGTGCTCCCAAGAGGGTCAGATAAGCAGTTGCTGCCGTCACCTTGCAGTCTAGTCTGGACCTCAAGGGGTACGAATACTCAGAAAGTTTTAAGCATGGAAACGGAGCTCTTTTTTCTAAGCCCGGAACCTTGAAGGCCAAGCCCCCAACGCCTGTCAGAGTTTGAACTGTTTTCAGAACGAAATTCTGGCCATAAAACCTGGCCTCAACCCAAGCGACCAAATCCTTCGGAAGCTAAGCCAGTAGAGAATGAGGCTCTAGCAAGCCGTACCGCTCCTGCACAGACGGCAAGACGAGAAGTACTTCACTATCAGGTTGGACCAAAAGTAGTGCGACACTTTCCATATTTTTCAATTGGAAAGTGTCCCAATACTTTTGATTCAACCTATTATAATATACAGACCACTCGTTTCTTTCCATAAACTTTTTTTTAAAAATCAAAATTATGCCAAAAGACGAAATTAGGATAACTGCTTTATTGCTATAAGTAAAAATTTAAAATTTCATTTTCAGAAAAAAAAACTTTAAGCACAGACACACTTCTTTCCTCCAATATCAACGCATTTAGAATATTCAGAGTATGCACATGAAACGTCAGCACAATCCGCATCTGTCTCACATGCATGAGAACCAGCAGCCATAGCTGAAGCAAACAAAGCCATGAAGAAGCAGAGAACGTACAACAACTTCATTTTTTAATTTTGTGATTGAAACGAAACAAAATGAAGTTTTATGATGTTTTATAGGCTTATATTGGTGTTAAAAACCCATAAATTAGGCATGTATTAGTGTTGAAAGGCAATAAATTAGGCTTACATTGGTGTTAAAATGGCCATAAATCGAAAAAAATTACATTTAAAGAGCTGATTGATAATTTTATAGATAAAACAACATTATTTTTATTAGAAAATGCGTGTTCCCAGCTTAATTATCCATAAATTTTAAAATAAATTGAATTGGAAAGGAAATCAGTCGTTACCAAGCACTATGTGATCGTTTTGCGGTCAAAAAATACGTAGAAATGCATCAAATTTCAAAAAATGGAAATGAAAAGGAAAGATCAATCCATAATAACAAGGAATTCACAAAAAAAATTTTTTAAAGTTTTAACATTTCAAACTTATGTTGGCCCAACCACGATTGATTTTTAACACCAAAATCTGGCGTTTTGCCCAAGAAAACATAGAAAATAGTGAAAAATAATGTTTTTGAACTGTAAAATAACCGGTTAGCCTTTATAAAGTTAATGTTTTATGAAAATTGATTTACTTCTTCATTTTTGTATTAACTTCAACTCCGTTATATTAAACTTGATCCCCGATGCTCAAAAGGAAGTTAACGATGAAGGTTGGCCCGACCAAGGATAGGGTTTATGTGCCAAGTTCAGATCCTCCTTTCAAGTACTCTAATTGTACTTATGTAAGTTTTTTTGACGTTTTTTATTTTTGGCGGCTTATATTATTTTTCAAAAATTTTTGATTTTTATTGCTTAATGTAGTGCATCTTGTTTTTGCCATATCTTTTTTGTCAAGTCTGTTAGTACTTTGAAATTTGCAGTAATGATAGATTAATTATTGAGTCCAACTATAGCAAGAAAGAAATTTTTGAAATGGGCATGGGTTTTGAAATTACATCTAGTTTCCCGTACTGTTTTAGATTGAAAATTCAAAAAAGTCGGTAACGCTTGGAAGTTTTTGTGATATCTTGTTTCAACATTAATCTAACAAAACTAAATAACATACGGTTTGTAAAGCATAAAATGTAGTATATATCCAATAAGTTTTATAATTATATCTTGTTTTATCAAAAAGTTATGATTATCTGAAAAAACGCGAATTTTCGAAAATCCAGAAAAGTTCGATTCCGCTTGGAAGCTGGACCATTCTTTTTCTGTTTGATACCTTGTAGCTATATCATAACAAGAGGTATTAATATGAAATAGTGGTTATATGGACAACAAACTATGCTTTATCAAATACATTTTAAAGTTTGTCGAAAAATTTGCATAAAAGTTTTAAAAATGCTTTTTTCAAAGGGAATTGACCCTCTTTTCGGTTTTTTTGCCATTTTTGATCTATTTTACTCTTCTAACACAAGAAATTTGTAAAATACGAAGCGATTAAAATTTTAATCTTTTTAGGAAAGCCACATTTCATCGGTATATGGTTGTATGTTCAATCCGTTTTCCGATCCAGAAGATGGGTATCAGTTGGCGACTTGTGGTGCGAATCAGATTCATATCTACTATCTGGAAGCTGATGGGGACAAACTTGAACCTCGATTACGTTTGCGAGATAAGAACGTATGTTATTTTTGATTTTCTTGGGGTTTTAGGTAGCAATTGGGTATGTTTTAGAAGTTTTTAGAAGTTTAGGTGACATTTTGGGAATTTTTTTATTCTTTCTTCGTTTTTAGGTCATATTTGGGCAATTTCGTGATGTTTAGGTAATACTTTTGCACTTTTTTTTGGGTTTTTCTTTATTTTTTATGTAACACTTTTTGCTTTTTATTGTGTTTTAGGTAATGTTGGATTTTTTTTTATTTTTTAGGTAATATTTTAGGAACTTCTCGAATCTTCTCAATTTTTAGGTAAAAAAATTTTTATATTTTATTAATTTTTTAGAAAAAGGAAAGTTACTATGCGTTAACATGGGCTATTGATGATGTTCGAGGACTTACTGTGCTGATTGTTGGCGGAGTAACTGGCTTAATGAGGGTTATTGATCCGGCTACTGAGCAAATTGTTGGGGTAAGTTTTTTTTGTTTATATTAATTTTTAGGTAATAAAGAAATTTATGATGGCATTTTTGGTTGATTTATATACCTAAGCTGACATTTTTGTTGATTTTCGTACCTAAATTGACATTTTAAGCTTAAAAATTTGTTTTTTTTTAATTTTAGGTAACAAACTTGTTTAAAATGTCATTTTATGTGATTTAGGTACCTAAAACTTTCATTTTTATGTTTTTTAGTACCTCCGAGGTCACGGCGATTCAGTGAATGAAATCAGAACATTTCCTGAGAATCCGATGATAGTAGTGTCAGCTTCAAAGGACAAGACGGCTAGAATATGGAACGTTGGTCTTCAACATTGTCTGGCAATCTATGGTGGTGGTGAGGGTCATGCGGATGAAATTATTTCTTGCGTAGGTTTTCTCTATTACTATCAGTACTTGTACCCCTATTACCTTACTTTAGCTCACTTTACTCTACCCTAGCTTACTTTACCTTATCCTACCCTACCGTACTTTCCCATACTTTAACTTACTTTATCCTACCCTACTATGCCCTAGCTCACTGGGTTTTACCCTAACCTACTCTATTGTAATTTACTCTGCCGTACTCTACCTGATTCTATCTTAACTTATCTTACTAATACTTCCAGGACCTCCACGTCGACCAAACCTACCTAGTGACCGCTTCGGTTGATCACAGTATTAAACTTTGGGATTGTCGACCAGAAACTGCAGTTGCTCAAAGAATCAATGACAGTCTCGACCGGTCGAAACGTGAAGAAATCATCACTCTCCCACCAATCGAGACCCACTTCCCAGTGGCTGATACGAATGATATACACACTAATTATGTTGATTGTGTCAGATTCATTGGCAAGTTCATCATGTCAAAGTCATGCGAACATCAAATGGCACTGTGGAAGTTTGGCACGTTTGAGACTGGGCCAGATGGTGAGGGGGATATGGTTACTCCGGAGAGTTATGTTGTGGATTATGCTAGCTTCGACATACCTGACAGTTCGGTGTGGTTCAACAAGTTTGACATTTGCAGTGAGAACAAGGTGAGTTAAGAGTTATTGATAAGGAGGGTAGTGTAGAGTATAGTGGGTAGGGCAGGGTAATGAGATAAAACAGGGTGGGGTAAGATAAAAAATGAAAAGTAGGGTAGAGTCTTTACTGCTAAGTTCAGTATTATGACCAGGGGTGTCGCTAGGGGGTGGGTCCACCCCCCCGAGAGCCGATCCGAAAAAATTCCACAGGTAGGTCGCGAAAAATCGAAAAAAAATTTTTTTTGAAAAATCGGCTCACAGGTAGCTTAATCTAATTTAAAAAAATTGTAGTACCTAGCAGTAGGCAACTCTCAAGGCACGGTACAACTACTAGACCTCGAAAAAGTCACCCCTTCCAACAACAAAATGACTTACATACTGGATGGTCCCAACACGAAAATCTGCACAAGACAAATGGCATTCAGCCCGGATGGCAAGATTCTGATTGCTGCATGTGAAGCTGGACTCATTTCGAGGTATGACAAGGTAGAACAAGGTCATTCATCTTCGTGTATCGTGAAAAATGTGAAGGAGATTAATATATGATAGGAAATGGCAGGGAACTTTTGTAAAATACGACGGAGGTGGCATGTTGATGTTTCATAGAATGTGGTGAGGTATGACAAGATGAAGTTTTATATGATATAACCAGGGGTGTCGTTAGGGGAGGGGATGGGTGGTGGTAGATTTACCCTTCCTTCATCTTAGAAAATAAGTCTGTAGCGACGTCCTTGTTTATGACAATATACGAATATAATATCTAATACTAAATGACATTTGACAACATTCATATATCTATTTTTTCATTTTTTAAACTATATATTAATGCGTAATAAAGACTTATTTTAAAAATAGGGCAAGTAAAAACAGGGTAGGGTAATGTAAAAAACAAAAGAATGCAAGGGAGGGGGCTGCGTTTAAATTTAATTTTTTTGTTAGGGTGTGGAGACGGGTTTTTAAACATTTTTGAAGTTGGGAACCATTTTTAACTTTTCGTATCTTATAGTAGTAGAAGGGGGGGGCGTCAATTAAAAAAATCAAGGAGGGAGGGGGTACAAGTTGGACTTTTAAAAGCGGATGCCGTAAGCAAATTTTTTTTTGGCTTTTAGCTACCCCCTCTTAAAAACAACACAAATTGGTAACGACGTTTTAGACATCTATTAACATTATCATTACAATATCTTTTCCCAGACTAATCTTTTTCATAATTAAATTTTAATTTTAAATGTAGTCTAGCATTTTTCTACATTCAGTCTAAACTATGGCTAAAAATGGTAATCTTTACTCTCTAATTTTTAACGCTAGCCTAATTAATGCTATTTTCATCTAGTTTATTATCATTTTAATTTAATTATTGCATCCTTACCATACTTATTATCATGTTAAGCCCAAAAACCATAATGTAAACCAAATTATTGCCATTTTAAGCCCATTAATGACCGTCTGATACCCTTTCTTTTATCTCTATATAAACCTGCTACTGCCACTTAACCATATCATACCAAAATGAAATTGTTGTTAGTGTTGTGCCTCTTCCTGGTTACCATTTCTTCAGCCTTTGCCGGTACTGATGGTGATCCATGCGAAACTCCTAAAGACTGCCGTCAAGTGATTTGTCATCGTGAACCTGAATGCAGGGATCATAAGTGCTTCTGTGATTGGACGCCGTTTACTGAAAGATCTGTAATCAAAGATGATAAGGATAAGCAGTGATAGAGTATGAAATAAATTGATTTATAAGATTACTTAAAATTTTTTAACTCTACCCCAAACTCGATTTCTACCCCTAGCCTCTACGTTAGCTTTGCTCTAGCCCTTCGTTAGCCTTGCCCTAGCCCTGCTTTAGCCCTGCCCTAGTCCAGATCCCTAGCTCAGAGCCTAGCCTTCACCTAGCCTTAGCCTAGAGCTCTAACTCAGAGCCATAGCCTAGATCCCTAGCCCAGCTTTAATTCTGCCCTAGCCCCGTCCTAGCCATAGCTTTAGCCCTATCTTAGTCCTACCACACCCCCCCCCCTACAGCTTTACATTAATTCAATTTAGCTATATGATACCTTATTTAGGGTTCATTTCACAACCTTTGGCCTAAAAACTAATTTTAAAATTTAATTTTGATCCAATTTTTTAATAAATACAAAACTATTGGCTTGGAATCTTAATTAAAAACTTAATTTAGCTCTAAAAGGCTGTTTATTGGCCAACTAAATCCGTTTTATCATCAAATTTGCCATTTTTAATAATTTAAATCATCAAATTTGCCATTTTAATGAAATTTTAATAATTAAAAAATCAAAAACAAAGGGTATAAAAGGTACACTCAAATTCACTTCGACAACAACTCACTACAATATTTTCATACCTACTGTAAGATTTTCAAATTCTTCAAAGTTTGAAAAATGAATCCACTTGTGTATGCCACCTTGTTTATGATACTGATCATCACTGTACTGTCTCAACAAATCATTCAAATTCCTGACCCCTCGAAATGTAGTGCTACAGATGATTGTCAAAGTTATTGCACTCAAAAAGGTCTAGTACTATACAGATGTATTTGTGATGGACACTGTTCTTGTGCATGAGTTAATTTTCGCTTTTTTGGAAATTTAATAAATTTGTTGAAAAAATTTTTTTTTATTTTTGAAATTTTTTCAATTTTTTAAAATTTAAAAAAAATCATGATTTTTTTTGAATTTTAAAAAAGCCTTAGGTCTTTAAAATAAATTTCAAAAAGTTTTGTCATTTTTTAATGGTTAAAAAAGTTTTGTCGCTTTTAAACATGAAAAACAGCGTAAATTTGCGACAAGACTTTTTTTTAGCAATAATCCTGCCCTTAAGGCTATAAAATTTGGCCTCCAAACAAGAGAGGCACATTTTTTTCAAAAAAGTTCATTTTTAAAATAATAAAACAAAAAAAAAACTTTTGAACTAAAAAATTTAATTAAAAGATCCATTGAAAATGGCAGAAAACGCAACTTTTACCCGGATACAGTCAATTACTCAGTTTTTACGGCGTTCCTTGGGAATGAAATTGGTAAAAGCAAAGGAAAAACATATGTTTTGGTATGAAAAGGTCAAGGAATGACATGATTACCCATCTGCCACTTATTACCCTTACCCACTGTGAGTTTTATTACTATTTTGACACAAGTTTTTCTTAATGGAGGGTAGGGTAGGGGTAGGCTTGGGTTAAGGTAATGCTAGAGCAGGACTAGGCCGGGACTGAAAGTGATTTTACAGTCATGGGTAGATTTTAGAGGTAGGAATAGGGGTAGAGATAGATTTTAGGGGTAGGAGTACTTTTAGGGGTAGAGGTAGATTTTAGAGGTAGGGGTAGATTTTAGGGGTAGGGGTAGATTTTACAGGTAGGGGTAAATCTTGAGGTAGAAGTAGATTTTAAAGTGAGAGGTAAATTTCAGGCGTAGGGGTAGAAGCGGAGGTAAACTTTAGCGGCAGGGGTAGATTTTAGAGGCAGGCGTAAATTTTTGAAATTTGAAATTTTTTTTATTTTTAGACTTTTTGACCCTTGAGAACGTGTAAAATTTAACATGATGGTGAACTTATTACCTAAAAATACTTTTTTTCAAGTTTTAAAAATTTTAAAAAATTTCAAAATTTTAAATAAAAAAAAATCACAAAAATAATCCGCAAAACAGTTTCAGCTCAGATAGCCATCGCCTTTTTATGTAAACATTGATGCCGCTGTCAAGTGTTTTGACACATTGTATGAAGCGACCTTGACAGTTCCGTCTCGGCTTTTGGTAACGGAACATTGCGCTCGATTCGGTTGTTCCGACCGGCTTTTTATGTAAATTCTGATTAAAAGCGAACACTGAGTGGGTTTTGGGTTCTAAAGAACTTTTTGGGTGATTCAAATTTGTTTTATGGGCTTTTGGACATTAAAACCTACTTTTGACAACGTTTTATAGGAAGTCCAGAAAATGTGTCTTGATGACATATTAATGACGCGTACCATTTCTTAATAAAACCGCATTTTTATCAGCGAATAATAGGTGTTAGAAGGTTAAAACAAAGAAAAAGATATTTATTTTCAAAATTTTTATTTGAATAAAGTTATAATTCACGTTATAATGACGGATTTTCTGGAATTATTTGCCGATTTTCTGCAAAAAATGTTTTTGCCATTTTTTATAAACGATTGTCGCAAAGGTAGTAAAATTGTATTGTAATATGTTCATAATCTACTTCTAACGCTTCTTAGTTTTGTCTTATGTGGTATGTCCTTAAAATTTTTGTTTTCTTCAATTTTTAGGTTGGCTGTCATGGATAATATAAAGCTTGATGTTTTTGTTAGAATCGATGTTAGTGAATGGTTCTTCTTGCTATATTTTGTTAGACTAGGTACTTTACTACGTGTTTATTATAAAAAGACTTTTTTTCTTGACATGTCTTACTTAAATATTCTTAGGCCATCAACTCAATTCTTTGTTATCAAGGATAACCTCACAATACCTCTTTCAAACCTCTTTTCTTCCCAAAAGCTTGATTAGATATCTTAATGCCATTAGGATAAATATGTTTTCAAGCTATTAATGTTCATATACATGCGCAATTTGGCTCGGAAATGGGGAAAGACTTGCGCGAAACCGGCTGCAATTCCCAAGATTTTGATATAAGTTGAGAAAACGGAGCCAGTGTTTGTCAATAAATAGAGTGCAGCTAATTAGTGGGATGCCATTAGGGGTGAAAATGCATGAAGAGACTATGTTACTTATTTTCATTTGGATTTAGAGTCTAGTTTTAGCTAATTTGTGAGGTTTATGTTAACCACGAGGGGTAGGATTGGGTTTATGTTAAAAACAATTTTTATGAGGATTTTTAGGTATATGTTGCTATGAAATTAGTTTGTAGATATTCTTTTGAGTTTTTTAAACTTAATGAAAGTAATTTTAGCTATCTTTTGTTATGTTATCGGGTTATTTTTTAATTTCTCGCTACCTGCTACGTAACTAAACCTAAATCAATTCTTATACCTATTGCAGACCTTGACAATGAAGTACTTTCTGCTGGTTTTAACGACGCTAGCTTTAGCTACTGAATACAAGCCTAAGAAGCAGGTGATAATTGAAATAGAAGACGTCAAAGTTAAGGAAGGCTGCTTGGACGACACTGTGTGTACCATCAAGGATTTACAGTTGTCTATGAACGCAAACTTGATGGATATGAGTGTATTTAGACGAAGTTATGATTCTGTCAAAAATGTAAGTGTTTTAGGCTTAAATCTTGAGTGGAGGAATGAGTTATGAAGTTTTGTAAGGGAACAGGTGGCCTGACGTCTAGTGTAATATAGTCTTTGCCTAAATTTTGAAAGTTTTTGGAATTTTTTGGGAATTTTATGAAAAGAATAAGTTAACGCACTACTTTTAACGTTGTTTAAGTTAAGTTCGATTTGAGTTTAAATCATATTTTATCTTCAGGGAGCTCTACAAACATTTGTCTTCACTTTATACGGCAATCAGCTCAAAACTTCTGATGTATCGTTTGTTTTTGGTGGCGTTGATCCTCAATTTGGATTTGACAGACCGTGTGACGAATCAGTCAAGCCTTACAAAGTTGATTTGGATAAGGTAAGTTGGTTTTTCGTAGCAAAAACTTATTTTTTACTAATTTTCTGTTGTTTTAGCTTTTTTTGCTGATTTTTGGTCTAATTGGATCTTTTTTGTTGAGAAAAACAGTAATATAGGTAATAACTTAGATTAATTTAGATAAAAATTTGAATTTATTATATATTTTCTCTTTCAGGCTAGATCCGACTCCATTCAGCTTCACGGAACATGCTTTACATTGACAACAAAGATCTCCGTGATCAATTTATTGAGCGAAGAGAAGCTACATTACGAATACTTGGTCAAAAATCAACATGATTCGAACTTCCAAATCCTGCTTATCAGTGGTGCCACTCTTGGCGCATTGTTAATCATGGTTACTGTTGCTTTAATCACAAGAAGAACCTGTGGATCAAGGGAGAAACCGCTGAAAGTCGAGGGTGGACGACCGGTAGGCGAGAATTTAATGGCTGCTGTATAGGAAATGGATGGTTAAAGGTGGTCGATAGTTTCAGATTAGTCTAGTTTAGCTTTCGAAAAGTTTAGGTTGAGTTTTATTTTTTTAACTTTAGCAAAAAATTAAAAATTGTACTTGTTTTGGTCTAAATTTCTCAATTTTCGGCCGAAAACTGCCAAAACTTATTGATTATGGTCTCGATTTTCATAAATCTTGACATTTTTTGATATAGAAAGATGAAAAATGGCATCATTTTACGGTTTAAAGTTTAAAAATATTGATTTTCAGCTACAAATCTTCAAAAAATATTGTTTTAGGTCCATTTTTTTGTGAGAGTTTTTGCCATTTTTTATTATTTATATTGTATAACAAAGCTGACCTGGTGTTTTTAATCAGTTTTATAGTCCTACGGGTTTTTATAACATTTCTTTTTGATATACTTTTGCAATTTTTATTTATTTTTGTACATACACACACATAATTCATAGCTTAACTTACTACAGTATTTAATTTCTTATTACTCATAGTATAGTGTGATTACTTCTTTCTTAATTTTAGTATAGTGTGAGTTGTTCTTACTTTACTTTACTTTTTTAAACTTTACTACGTTATATTTTCAACTCGTTTTAATATATCTTATTATACCTCAATAATGTATTGTAATATACTATAATATTACAGTATTATACCTAATTTTTTGTAAGAATATTAATAAAAATGATTCTAAAATGAAAGTTTTGGTAGGTTGAAAAAGGTGATTAAAGTTTTTTGAACAAATAGATTGAGGCATTCAGGGGCGTCGTTTGGGGGGGGGGAGGTGGTTCTGGGTGACTCCCTCCCAGAGCCGATCCGAAAAAAAAATCCACAGGTAGGTCGTGTACGTAAAAAAACGAAAAAAAATTTTCGAAAAATCGGTCCACAGGTGGTACCTGTGAACCGAAAAACTTTTTTGGGTCTCCACCCCTCTCCCCCCCCAAGAGAAAAACCGTAGCGACCCCCTCGAGGCATTAATGTAGGAATGGCAATGAAATTTACGATTTTTTTGGTTATGATGATATATTTTTATTTTGCATGTTTCTGCTACTTCAAACGACTGGAGATAGGTTAAGTTGCACCTAATAGAGATAGTTTTGTGGTTATTAGTCATTTAAATTGCAGTTATCAAAGACGTTGTGGTAGGTATTGGACATATTTTACTGAAAGGTAGGAGTAATTTGGTCATAAATCTGTGAAACTAAGGATAGGTTGGTCAGAAAGTTTGTATAAATGCTAAAAAGAGGGTCTAAGTTAGGAGTATGGGTTTGAAATACATAAAATGACAAGAACTTTCTTTACAAGAGAAAGAATGGCAAGAACTTCCGTTACAATACAAAAAATAAAGTCGAAACGTGACTGTGTGTTTAGTTTGGTATAATTTCAAAGGAATTTTTAAAAAATTCAAAAAGTAAAAACAATTTTTTTCAACAAATTTATTAAAATTTCAAATATTAAAAAAAAAGCCAATATTAACTCAAATCACAAAGACACACTCCGTATTCACAAATCTTTGGTTTTCTATTGCAAATAAATCCAGCACAATCCGCCGGCCCGCTACATTTTACGGGGTCAGGAATATCATGGGGTTGAGACAGTACAGTGATGATCAGTACCATAAACAAGGTGGCATACATTAGTGGATTCATTTTTCAAACTCATTAGTGGATTCATTTTTCAAACTTTGAAGAATTTGAAAATCTTACAGTAGGTATGAAAATATTGTAGTGAGTTGTTGTAGAAATGAATTTGAGAGTGCCTTTTATACCTTTTGTTTTTGATTTTTAAATTATTAAAATTTCATTAAAATGGCAAATTTGATGATTTAAATTATTAAAAATGGCAAATTTGATGATAAAACAGGTTTAATTGGCAAAAATAATAGCTCTTTGAGGCTTAAAATTAGTTTTTAATCACGATTCCTAAACCAATAAAAAGTTTTATTTAAAAAATTGATTGAAATTAAATTTTAAAATTAGTTTTTAGCCAAAAGTCGTGAAATGAACCCTAAATAACGTATCGTAAGGCTCAAGTGAGTTAATGTAAAGGTTAAAATTACAGTTTTTAATATGACTCTCAAGCCAATAAAAATCTTTTATTTAAAAAATTAAATCAAAATTAAATTTTAAACTTGTTTTTTAAATGTTTGGTTATGGAAAAAACCCTAAATAACGTATCGTAGGGCTAAAGTGAGTTACGGTAAAGCTAGAGAAAGGCTTAGGTAGAGGTAAAAGTGACGGTGGGTAAAGATTAAGGTAGGAGAAGTGTCCTCGGAAAAGGGGGGGGGGGATTTTTCCGAGTCGAGGGTAGGGCTAAGACAAAGTGCGGCTAGTAAGATTGTGAGTATGGTAGAAGCTATGATATAGGTAGATGCACTAGTAAGGGTAGAGGTAAGGTCAGGGTATGGTAGGAGCTATAGTATTGGTAGACGTACTGGTAAGGACAAGGGTAGGGGTAAAGGTATGAGTTGAAACTATGGTAGGGGTAGGTGTACTGGTAAAAGTAAGGGTAGTTGGGGTAAGGGTAGAGGTAGAAGTTGGAGTAGCAGAGGTAGGGGAAATATAGGGGTTAGTATAAGATTTGGGATAGGGCTAAGGCAAGGCTAAAGCTAGGGCAGAGCCAGGGCAAAACTAAATCACAGCCAGGGTTGTGGGCTAAGGCAGATCTAGAACTCGGCTCTGGGCAAGGACTCTGAGCTAGGGCTTTGGGTTAGGCTCTGGGCTAGGACTCCGGGCTAGGGCTTTGGGATGCTTACGAGGCAGTTGCAACCATATATCTTCAAAGAGTAATTGGCTAACCAAAAATATCATAAACAATACAAAAACAAAAAACTTCATTTTTACGTGCAAAAAACGTTGTGATATTTGATATTAATTAAAAAATTTTGATTTGTATACTTTAATAAATTTTTAACTTAAAAATATTCCTTGTCCACATTTCAATATAGCGTTTTTTGATAAAACATAAACCTTCATATTGAAATTTGTAAAAATTGAAATTTAGTACACATATTGTGAACCTTTATTGCTGCACAATTCTCAAAATAATAATCCAATTTAAAGGGCAGAGCTAATTTGTCTAGCTCTATGTGAAAAACCAAATACGAAAAGAATGTTTTAAAATTATATTTATTTTTACATATTATATGTATATACAACTATAATACAATTATATAAACACAGAACCTATTGTTGTAGCCCCCTTTCCATTTCGTATGCTCCAATTTGGAGCTCCATCTCAGCCAGGAACGGGTCAAACGGCTCCTTCTTAATGCTCTTCATTATCACCGCCGGCGTTGGTACCGGTTCTTCCACCGGCTCCTCCTTGATACGCCTCATTATCACCGGAGGCTCGAGCAGTGGTTCCTCCGCCGGTTCCTGCTTCACCAGCATCATGGCCCTCTTCTTCTCTTTCTTTTCCTCTCTCATCTGGCGCCACTCGTCTTCGTTGAAGACCTCCTGCTTCACCGTGAACGGCTTCGGAACGGGCCGCGAAGGGAGCGTGAATGGCTCCGCTTGTTTCTTCGCCGCGATGGCCATCAGCTCTTCGAAACTGGGCCCCATCTTGGCTGGTGGCCTAGGCCTGGTTGGTTGACTGGGCTTGGCGGGCTGGTTTGGCTTGGTTGACCGGCTGGGTTTGGTGGACTGGTGCGGCTTGGTGGGCTGGCTGGCTTTGGTGGATGGGCGTGGGTTGGCAGGCTGGCGTTGGTTGGCTGCATGGCGGCGGTGGTTGGCAGGTTGGTTTGGCTGCCAACGAGAAGAACCGGTTTCTTCAAGACCCGGTTCCGTATTGATGAATTTCCGTGGAACCTGAGGCTCCACGGAGTTGAATGGCTTCTTCTGACCGCGGTCCCGGACTTCGTCGCGGCCACTTATGTTAGTCTGGTACGGCTGGCGACGGCTTGGTTCTGCACGGTGGCTAGAACAGCCGAGCTCTTGTTTCACCCAGCGCTCGGCTTTCACCTCACGCTTGATGTCACGGCCGCCGCAGAAGCCTGCACCACCGTGCTCCTTCTTAATGTAGGGGTCGGCCTTGACTTGGGGGTAGGGTTCTGGCTTTGGTTCAGCCTTTGGTGTCACTGAAATTAATTTAAATTGATTTTCGAAATTGTTGTAGTTTACTATGTTTAATTACTGTTTAACTTAATTTTGTTGATTAAAAGCTTATAAAAAGTAGTTTTGGATAGTACATACTATATACAGTAACATATATTGTTATTGTACGTTACGGCGACATCAAAGGGCTTTTTATTAGTATTATTTATTCATTATTGTACCGGGTTGTTCAGATAATTCTGTGCTCCTTTCTAAAGCATATTTTTGGAGTTATAGGGCTTAGAATTACTTGAACAACCTAATATTATATTGCTTTCAATTATCAATTTTGTTAACATTATCATTTTTTTTTCATTATTATTGTTATTATCAGTATTATTATTAACCTACCTTCTTCTTTATTTTCCTTGCCCAAGTTGGCCAGGATTTCGGCCCTTTCGGCCGGCGTGGTACGGAGGAATCCTCCGCCTGGCGTTAACTGAAAATAAATTTTTTTTTAAATTCAAAATTTAAAATTACATGTGTTAGTAATGTTAAAAATCAATTTTCGAAAGATTTGTGTTGTAAAGAATAATATTGCTATTCAATAGATATGCTTAAGAGTTGTTTGTTATACAGGAGCTTTGTTATACATGAGTTCCACTGTATTTAGAATCACGAACTTCATTATAACGAACAAATATCAAATTTTTGATTGATTCGTTATAAAAGAGTTTTAAATAGACTGTGTGACAATAGGTAGGGATTTAAGAGTTGTTTGTTATGCAAAGTTTTTGTTAAACAGAGTTTTTATACAGAATCGTCGTTATAAAGAAGTTCTAATCTATATATTTACGAACTCCTTTATAACAAAAAAATTTTTAATACTTGATTTATTTTGTTATACATGAGTTTTAAATAGACAGTTTAACAATAGATTGGGATGTAAGAGTTGTTTGTTATACAGAAGATTTGTTATACAGGAGTTTCACTGTGTTTAGATTAGAAAAACTCTTTTATAACGAACAAATTAAAAATTCTTGGTTAGTTCGTTATACAGGAGCTTAACTTTAGTTATTAATAGTACTGTAGTTATTAATAGTACAGTAATTATTAATAGTAAAGTTAATTATTAATAGTACAGTAAATTTAATATTAATTAATTATTAGTACCACAAGATTATTATTATTATTTATTATTATTAGACTTACCTTAAAATTCAGGCAAACGCCCATCTTTCTGGCCAATTCTTCTTTGTTGACCAACTCCTGTCCCATTCTCCTTAAGCTGCCTTGGTTCGACATCTTTATTTTTTTTCAAAAACACACCTTCGTACTTGACAAAATGTAAAGTGAAGTTTTCGATTGAGAAAAGCTCCTTTTATAGGGCTTGTACAAAATTTTTTGTGCGCGAGTGTATTATCGCGGGATATATGCGGGTTATGTAACTTTGTCTGTGCTGCTTTTTGAAAAACTTTTTGATCGCACCGACTATGTTAAGATATCGTGGAGTATGTAAGAGATGTCGAGGAGTATGTAAGATATATGAAATTTAACGTTTCAATTTTTTAGATCTGGACTTCGAACTGTGATATGATTGATTTTATGCAGTAGATTTGAAAATATGATAGCGTTTCCGCAGTAAATTTGAAAATACAGTAGAACTTCTGTATAATAAATTCCTGAGGGAATTTAAAATTTGTTCGTTATATAGGTTGATATAGACGTTTTTTTGTGTTATAATTTCAAAATTAAAATTTTTGAATTTTCAGTTTTTTCATTATACTGTGTCTTCAATATGTATTTTTATAAGTTTTTTAATATAATAAAATTAATATAATTTTTATTTTACAGTCAGATACGTCATCTGGGAGAGGGGATGAGGGGGGAGGGGAGGTACCCCTTCCAAAAAACTTTTTTGAAAAATCGGTTTACAGGTAGCAGCTAACTGTCGAAAAATTTTTTTCGACTTCTCTTTCCCCCTACCCTACCTTACCCTACCTTACCCTACCCTACCCTACTATATGTATACCTCGCCCTATCCGACTTATCATTAAAATACACGTGTCCAAGTGCAATTTTTCGCGAAATTACGTCTGAATTTTAAGCCGCGGAGATTAGCGATGTGGTTGTCGCGCGGCTGTTTGTGTTTGGCCGTGACTTGACCCATTCGCACTTTCTCCTGACCCGCCTTTAAGCACAAGCGATCGAGTGGTGCCTCACGTTTCCCCACACACCCCAACTTATTGTTTTTTTAAACTGTAATCTTGGAAATTGTAAACCACCAGGGCTAACAATAGCTTGTAGTGAGTATTGGTCAGCTACTTCAAGGTGTATATTTTTCGAAATTTTTGAATTTTTTTTGGTTTTTTGAGCTGATTTTTGGAATTTTGAAAGTGTCTAGCTTAGTCTAGAAGGCACTGGCTTTGATATTCGATACTGTTTTCTAATAGAAACGTACATTTATAGCAATTTTTTATTGTAAAATACGACAAAACTAAAAGGAAAGGCTTCATATAGCACTAGAGTTATTCTCCATTATTCTCTACTGCCATTCCTAAATCTAACCTACCTAAAAATTGAATTCCTAATAAGCAAAAGCTTTAAAAAGTCTTACAATTTGCTTTGAAAATACAGTACCCATGCCGTGGTGGACCGCTTGGTCGATAAAACGAATCGAAAACTTGTTGTTATTGTTGATTTTTGTTAACTGTAAGTTTGTTTTTTTCTTTTCATTTTATGTTTTGAGGATTTGATTTTAATTTTTTTTTGTAAAATACGTTGCCCATCAGCTTTTTTTTGTGGGGATAGGGATACGACTGGGGGTAGGGATGTGGGCAGGTCTGAGTAGCGTAGGAGAGGTAATATATTAGAAATCAAGCCTCTACTGTTAAAAATTTTGGGCGGGTAGCCAGGGCCGGGCGGGGACTTTTGGTCTGGGGGCAGGGGTCCAAAAAAATCGGCACAGGCCTACCTGTGCCGATTTTTTGCGAAATGTTTTTTCCGAAAATCCACAGCGGGAACACGTTCAACTTTTTTCAAAAATTTTTTTTCTGGAGGGGGGGGGGTACCCCCACCCTTGCGCCCGGCCCTGCGGGAAGCCTTATTCTTGGCCTGGAACTTTGCTTCCGGAGGGTAATTTTAATCAAGATGGGGGTAGACAAATTTTATTTTTTAAAAATTAAAAATTTTGGCATTATAAATCTAATAAATGCATTTCTAGTCTCAAAAATAGTTTTTTACGTAAATAAAAATGATTTTCTTCCGAAGTTTTGGCAGAAATTTTGATTTTCTTTTCAAAAGTTCATAATGGCATTCTTTTCGAACAAAAATTTTGAAATTGAAAATTTTTGAAAGATTATACTATGGACCTTATTTTTGTCAACTTTTATTTTTCTAGCTTTTAAAATAATTTTTAAATGGCATCTATAATGTGGCACCTCCTCTCCTATATGATGATATATTAGGTTGTTCAAATAATTCTGTGCTCTCTAATCTCGAAAGTTTGCCCTGATAGGGGTTTTTATTTTTCTAGCTTTTGGCTTAAAGAGGCACAGGATTATTTGAACCACCTAATAGCGCCTTATCACAATTTTTGAAAATTTAAATCAAAAAAAAATTTTTTTAAATTTAAAAATTATGAAAAATTTTGAATTTTTACAAGATTTATTAACATTTTTTAAAAATCTTGGTCGATAAATCCTTAGCTTTTCAATCGCACTTTTAATTTGATTTGATATAGTGACCAGCACGGTTTGTTTGCCTTCCGGGTCCTTTTGACACGTCTGATTAAACAATGTAAACGCGCGAAAACTTTGGACTTTTAAGCCGGGAAACACGCAGAAATTAACTTGATTATGATGATGATCTCAATTTGTCATAATTTAAAATTTTTTTCGAATTTTTTGAAAAGGTTGCCCCTATGGGTACAATAGGGCTGGGTAGGGAGTTAAAATTAAGAATTTGCTTTTATAGGGTATGGATAGGGTTAGGATTTGATTTTAGGATTAGGGGTAGATTTTAGGAATAGTGAGGTCATAGGGATAGATCTTAGGGGTAGATGTAGATTTTAAGGGTAGAGGGATCATGGGGGTAGATATAGGGCTTAGGACAGATTTTAGGGTTAGGGGTAGATTTCAGTAGCAGGGGTAAATTATATGGGTAAGGGTAGATTTTAGAAAAGGATTAGGGCTAGCTCTAGGGCTGATGATAGGGGTAGTATATGATGTAAAATATGACGTATTTTGAAGGCATATTTTACAATTTAAATTTTTTTTTCATAATTTGAAAATTAAAATTATTTCAAATTTAATTTAAAATTTCAGTTTTTTCACAAATTTTTGCTCGATGCACGATAGGACAAGACTGTAAAGATTGCGCTTTTCTGCGACTTGACCCAAAACCATGTACAAAGAATGGCAATCTAGAGCAGTTTTTGTTCTGTGATCAGCAGTTGAAGTAAGTTTGAGGGGCATTTAAGGCTTTTATCAGGTTAAAACTTAGTAGTTTATAAAAATATTTTTGAGTTTTAGGTACTAAATAGTCAGTAGTTTAACTTTTTTAAAAGATTTTTTATATAGGTCAGGTTTAAAATGGCAAAAATGCATTTTTTCTTCAAAACTTTTGATGTTTTTTGGCCGAAAATCTCAAATTTTTAGTTTTTTTTGGTTTTAAACCCTCAAAACTGCCATTTTTTAATCGACTTTTTCAAAAATTTAACTAAACTTGGATTCTCCATACCCTTATCACTTTAAAACCTCAATTTCAGAGTAGTCCGAACCGATCCGACCGCTTATTACGAGTGTTATAACAATGTCCTGAGGCTGGAAAGGTGTACTGATGGTTATGTTTTCAATCAACCTGAACAGAGATGTGAGCCGAGTGAAGACAGAATTGTCAAAAAGAGATCAAGTAAGGCTTTATTCATTTCATCTTTTTAAGGTAATATTGGTTTGATATGTTACCTAAACTATGCTGAAAATGGCAAAAGTAGGGGAAATTTGGGGGAAGTTAGGGTGTGGGTTTTGAAAAAAATTTGAATTTTTTGAAATTTTGAAATAGAAACCAATGGTTTGTATAGCTTAACTAAGGCTATTCTTAATTTTGTTTACTAGTTTTACTACTTTTTATTACCTAAAATACTAAAAAACGACTAAAAACTTTAAAAAAATGGGCAAAATTCCTTCCTTCACCTCCCTGTTCTCTCACCAAATCAAAAAAATTGAAATTTTAAAATTTAAAATTTTAAAATTAAAAAAATTGTTAAAAATAAGAAATAACTTACCAATTGTAGTGGGTGTAGCTGGAGCCTCACGTACTGGTGACATGTGTGCCTTCAATACGGACTGTCAAAGCGGAATGTACTGCTTCAATGGAGCTTGCACTTGCCTTTCCGACTATGTGGCTATTGCTGGGTATTGTTGGCAAAGTAAGTCTAGGGGTAAGAGTAAGATTACTATGATACTTCAGAAGTAAACCCTGGAGACTCAGGCTGTGTAGAAGACCTTCAATGTGACGCAGTCTGGCCCGGCTCGAAATGCTCACGTTCTGGTCTATGCGAATGTCCAGAACATACAGTACCAGCCAAAACCCGTGATGGTACTATGTGTGTATCAGCCGGAGTACCACCAGCCTGCCCGCTGCCAGAGCCAATCAACGCTGAACTGCCCAATCCAGCCACACTCCTAGCCAATCCCAGCACTCACCCCTTAGGGCCGGACTCATACATGCCAGTACTGTGCTTATCGACCTCAAGCGAGGTCATCAACAGTAACGGTGGGGACGGCTCGACATGGTGCATATACCCCGATGGTGACAATGACATCTACATTGCTGACCTCTACAACTGTGTACCACATCAGCAGGTGACGCCCGAGTTCTTCCCCGAGTACTCCGACACCATCGACGGTATATGTTGTCATAGTCGCGCGTTTGTATGTGTTCAGCCCATGGAGCAAGGCGAAGAACCAAGTGTACCACGCTGGTGGTACAACTCGGTCACTGGTACTTGCTCACAGTTTTTATGGGACCCAAATCAAAGCGATAACGTCTCACCCAACAACTTTAGAACGGTGGAACATTGCGAAAGTTACTGTAGAGATAGTAAGTGGACTTTTGGGGAATTGGAAATGATTTTTGGATTTGGGAAGGGAAATTGCAAGGACTTTATTTACAAAACATAAAATAGCAAGAACTTTCTTTACAAAACATAAAATGGCAAGAACTTTCTTTACAAAACATGAAATGGCAAGAACTTTCTTTACAAAACATGAAATGGCAAGAACTTTCTTTACAAAACATGAAATGGCAAGAACTTTCTTTACAAAACATGAAATGGCAAGAACTTTCTTTACAAAACATGAAATGGCAAGAACTTTCTTTACAAAACATGAAATGGCAAGAACTTTCCTTACAAAACATAAAATGGCAAGAACGTTCTTTAAAAAACACAAAGTTGCAAGAACTTTCTTTACAAAAGTAGAAATAGGGATTATCGTATAACTTGTCACCTGCAGACTGCAAAACACAAAATTAGGACTTTAAATGAAAAAATAGCAATTTACAAAACACTGCAAGCAAAAAACGTTGTCTTTCGTATAACTTGTTAACCGCAGGCTGCAAAACATATTATTTTTATTTTATGAGAAAATGACTTTTTTACATAACATAAAATGGCAAAAACTTTCTTTACAAAATTTAAAATTCAATTTCATAAAGTATTTTTACTAATAATGTCATTTCCAGCTTGTCGCCGTGGTCCAGTCCAATTCAATCAACATAACCGCGCTTCCATCCTGGAAGAGACCCCCATAACAAATTGCCTCCACCACGCAGGAGGCTGTGGCACAGAATTCCATTGTACCGTAATTGGCTCCCACCAGCACTGTTGTCCTACAGTAGCTCACATCTGTAGTGCAATGGGTGGTAGAGCTCACGATTACTCTCCAATGGAGAACTCTGATCGAGGCGTGGCAATCGCCGGTTATCGGCCGGTCAGTCGCTTCTACTATGATACGGAACAAGGCAGATGCACTAGTTTTGTGTATGATGGATTGGGCAACTACAACAACTTTTTCACTAAACAGGATTGCGAGAACTTTTGCTCGAAATGTAAGGAAGCGGTTTTGAAATTTTGAATTTTTTTTTAAATTGAAAAAAAATTAAGGTATGGTTTGGCTTCAGTAATTTAGAGGATATTAAGGTAGGGGATAGGGTTGTGCAGGGTAGGATCTGAAATAATAGAGCAGGGTAAGATATAGTAAGGTAGATTAAGGTAAGATTGAGTACGGTAGCATACGGTAAGGTGCGCTAAGGTAAGATAAGTTAAGATACAGTACAGTAAGGTAAGGCATGGTAGGGTAAGTCTAATTATCAAATCCTCGCCTTATTTCATTGCTGGGTACTGTAGGATACATTAAAAAGTACGGTAGGGTTGCAAGCAAACAGTATGGTAGGTAATATAGGGGGGGGGGTGGTGATATAGGGTATGGCTACCATAGTGACAGTAAAATTTAACTGATGAAAAGATACAGTATGTTGGAGTAGTGGGTGTGGTAGGGTAAGGTAGGGTAGGGTAGGGTAGAGTGGGAGATAATAGCTCACATTTCTAATTTTCAGTGGTATGTGAATACGGAAACCCACTACGAATCGGCGAAGATTGGCAGCGTTGCGAGACCAACAACGATTGTCCTTCAACTCATCAATGCGAATCTGGCCACAAAGTTTGTTGTCCAACCGCACAGAGCATTTGTACACAACCGAAACGGTTTGGCGACTGTACCAGTAGTGTGAGAAGGTTCTGGTACAATGCTGCTACGAGACAATGTGAACTGTTTCAATATACTGGATGCCAGGGCAATGATAACAACTTTGACACACTGATGGATTGTCAACAGAAATGTCGGAATATTGCTTGTAAGTACCGTACTCAAGGCCCTACTGTAGCTTAGGCCCTACCGCACCGTAGGCCCTACCGTACCCTAGACCCTACCGTACTCAAGGCCCTACTGTAGCTTAGGCCCTACCGCACCGTAGGCCCTACCGTACCCTAGACCCTACCGTACCCTAGGCCCTACAGTACCCTAGGCCCTGCCGTACCCTAGACCCTACTGTACCCTAGGCCCTGCCGTACCCTAGACCCTACTGTACCCTAGGCCCTGCCGTACCCTAGACCCTACCGTACATTAGGATCTACCATATTATAGACCCTATCGTACCTTGAGCCATATCGTACTCTAGAGTAACACGTTTTAAATTTTAGTAGAGCCCAAGTGCCCTCAAGGCCGTGCTCACCGTGACTCGAACGGTCACTTTTATCAGTGTTCGATGAAAGTGAATGGCAAAATGTGTCCGCCTAACTACCATTGCTATTTCGATGGTACCACTCATGGCTGTTGTCCTACCAAGGCCTACACATGTAGTTTGAGTCCAGACAAGGGTATTCAATGTGGGTCGGGCAGATCCTTTCGGTATTACTTCAACTCTCACAAACAAACTTGTGAAAGTTTCCAATATGAAGGTTGCGATGGCAACTCCAACAACTTTCAGAACGTCGAGGATTGCCAGGATTACTGTGGGGTCGGGGGTAGGTTTTGGTTTTTTGAAGGGTTGTAAATGATATGGTAGGGGGAGGTAGGTCAGGGTAGGGTTCTTTAGGGTATGGTAGGATTGATCAAGGTTGGGTTGTTTACAGTAGGATAGAGTAAGGTAAGGTAGGATATGACACGGTCGGGTAGAGTAGGGTTGGGTAGTTTTAAAATTAAAAAAATTATAGTAAGTTGGGGCCAGTACTGTAATGTTGGGTAAGATGGGGTACTGTAATGCAACAATATGATTGGGGGAAAGGAATGGTGGAGTAGGTGTAAGAATATACTATTCTGGCCTACAGTAGCAGTGTATTGTGTTAAGATACTGTATGAAAGAGTTGTATTTCTTTAGGTTCTACCGTATCGCACACTCTACCGTACTCTAGGCTCTACTGTACAAAAAAGTTACGGTAGGACAAGAGCAAAAGTAGGGCTTGAGTATGGGTAGAGTACAGTAGGGTAGAGTAGGGTAGGGTTGGGTAAGGTAGGGTAGGGTAGGGTAGGGTAGGGTAGGGTAGGGTAAGGTAGGGTAGGGTAGGGTAGGATAGAATAGGGGTAGGGTAGGGTAGGGTAGGGTAGGGTAGGGTAGGGTAGGGTAGGGTAGGGTAGGGTAGAGTAGGGTAGGGTAGTGTAGTGTAGGTTAATATAGTAGGTCAGGGTTGGGTAGAAATCTTAATTTGTTGTTTCCAGGATGTCCAAATGGAGGTCAACCCCTACGAGACCTACAGACGAATCAGTTTATTGCTTGTCAAAATGATGGTTCATCTTGTCCGCAAAGTCATGAGTGTGTTACTATCAATTTTAATGGGAATATTGCTCACAGGTGTTGCCCTACTAAAGGTATAGCAATATTTTTTTTAATTTGAAAATTTTTAAAAATTTTTTGATTTTTTAAAATGAATGACAATATTTTAGCTCACATCTGCACATTACCTCCACAACAAGGTAATCAATGCACGAAAATGTCAATTACAAGATATTACTTTAATATCGTCACGAAAGAGTGTGGTAAATTCAGTTACAATGGATGTAATGGCAACTTGAACAACTTTGCATCGCCCGATCAGTGCACAAACTTTTGTACCAGCTCTGGTGAGTAATTATATAGCCCTACTTTAGCTTCAGCCCTAGCACAGACCCCTAGCCCAGAGCTCTACCCTGTCCTAGCCCTGCCATAGACCAGAGCCATAGCCCAGAGCCCTAGCCCAGAGCCCTAGCCCAGAGCCCTAGCCCAGAGCCCTAGCCCAGAGCCCTAGCCCAGAGCCCTAGCCCAGAGCCCTAGCCCAGAGCCCTAGCCCAGAGCCCTAGCCCAGAGCCTTACAAGGGAAGGTACTTTAATCGCAGATGGACTTTGAGATGAGACCTATATATTCTGAAAGCTGAATTCACAGGTAGTACGGATCTGAAAACCGTTTTTCTGTGCGGCTTTTAGTTTTTGAGAAAATCGCCTTTAAAATATGGCAAGAATTTTGGCGAAACGAGCGCGCCGAAAAGAAGTGCGCAATTAATTCAAGGAAAACAAGTAGCGGCGTGGCCGAGTGGTGAGTCAGTTTTCTTTCGGATGTCGTTGGGGGAGTTCGATCTCGGCCTTGTGCAAGATTTTTGCAGCAGCTTGAAATTATGCATTTTGTATGCAAATATGTAAAAAAATAATTTTTTTTAATTTTCTTTTCTTTGTTTTGTAATTTTTTTAATAAATGCAACTTTTAAGCCATAGATAAATTAATTTTTCAATATAAATCATCAAAATGCCCAAGCTTATAAAATACTGTAAAAATTAAGTAAAAAATAATTTTAAGCCGCTGTAAAACTTTTGCACAAGGCTGAGATCGAACTCCCCCAACGACATCCGAAAAAAAACTAACTCACCACTCGGCCACGCCGCTACTTGTTTTCTTTGAATTAATTGCGCACTTCTTTTCGGCGCGCTCGTTTCGCCAAAATTCTTGCCATATTTTAAAGGCGATTTTCTCAAAAACTAAAAGCCTCACAGAAAAACGGTTTTCAGATCCGTACTACCTGTGAATTCAGCTTTCAGAATATATAGGTCTCATCCCAAAGTCCATCTGCGATTAAAGTATCTTCCCTTGTTAGTTCAGAGCCTTAGTTCAGAGCCTTAGTCCAGAGCGTTAGTCTAGAGCCCTAGCCCAGAGCCCTATCCCTGCCTTAGTCCTGCTTTAGTTTGGCCCTAGCTCTGCTCTAGCTTTAGCTCTAGCCTTAGCGCAGGATCTAGTTAGGCCTTAGCCCTAGCTTTAGCTCTAGCACATGTTAGCCTAGCTTTCCCTAGCCCGACTCAGCCCACAATAGCCCATCCTAGCCTGCCTATACTACTGTCTCTTTATTTTACAGTACTTTGCTTTTCACTTTAAATCTCATACTTTTTATTTTTACAGCCTGTCGCCCGGGTGAATCCACCTTCAAAGACATAAACACCAAGAAAGTGGTGGAATGCTCACCCAGTATTATGAACTCATGCCCATTGGACTACCAATGTAAACATGATCCATTGACCGGTCGACATGTTTGTTGTGGCACACCGCCTTCTGACGTGTGTCCAGAAGGCGAGAAGGCCTACGTGAATCCACTCGATGAATCTGTGAAGGAATGCACGATAAACATGGCTGGATCGTGCCCGGCTGACTACCTTTGTCGGTTCTCACCATCACACAATCGATATTATTGTTGTGCTAGCCGGACTGGAAGTAGGTTTGGGGTTATATTATGGTAGAGGGAGGGGGTGGGGCTTAGGGTGTTGTATTATACATAGTAGAGGTAGGTAAGAAAGGTAGGGTAAGGTAGGGTAGGGTAGGGTAGGGTAGTGTAGTGTAGGGTAGGGTAGGGTAGGGTAGGGTAGGATAGGGTAGGGTAGGGTAATGTAGGGTAGGTTAGGGTGACTTTTAAAGTCAAGGGTATGATTAAAAATGGCATAACGACTGTTCATTTCAGATATGTGCCCAGATGGTCGAGCCCTTTACCGTACTCCAAGAACCTTCCTACCTACAAGATGTACCTTATCTGAGGTCCAAAACACTTGTTCAGATGGATTTTCATGCCAAAGCAGAGTTGAAGGAGTACTTCAGGGTTATTGTTGTACTAGCAATAGTAAGTTTGATATTTTTTGGGTTTAATTTTAGTAGGCTTAGGCTTTGTAGGCTTAGGCTTAGTAGGTTTAGGCTTCTAGGATTAGCCGACTTAAGCTTAGGTTCAAGGATTAATTATCCTACTATAAAGCTAAAACATTGTATGTTTATAGACTTTTAGGTATTAAAAATTTTAAGTTTTTCAAAGCCAATAACGCGCAATCTCTCGTGGTAACATAGAGTAAGATCCTAGCACTCGCAGTCATTTGTTGGGTCGTTTTACATCGAGGCAAATATTATATAAATCCTAAATGTTGCATAAGAAAAAATTGCGTAACTTCATTTTTTGTAATTTCTCTAAGGCTATATAATGATATTATTGTTATGTAAACTGCCGCCAAAATGACGTTTTTCATTTTTACAGTACCATTTCAAGCTGAATTTTATCGTAATTTCGTTGTTTTGTGAAAAATGGCGAGAACTTTCTTTACAAAACGTGAAACTGCAAGAACTTTGTTTACAGAACGTGAAATGGCAAGAACTTTCTTTATGGATCATTAAATGACCATAACTTGCTTTACAAAAAATAAAATGTCAAAAACGTTCTTTACAGAACAAAAAATGGCAAGAACTTTCTTTACAAAACCTGGAATGGCAAGAATTTTTTTAAACAATTTTTTTTAACTTCAAAGCGTAGGCTTATTTTTAGGCTTTCAACATAAAAATATTTAAAAAAATATTATAATATATTTTCAGACGTATGCAAGAACGGAGCCGACTTCCTAATCGATGACAAAACCAAAATGCCCCAAGTCTGTATGCCCGGCGCCTTCGCCATGTGCCCCTCAGGCTACCGTTGCAACAAACCTCACAGTAGCGCCTCATCCGGCTACTGTTGCAAAGGCGAAATCAAAGCCGTCACCGAAGGATGTCCTCCAGGCGAGTATGCCTATACCAAGTCCAAAGAGATTGTCCAATGTGATCCATTCAACATGCAAGACAAGGGTTGTCCACCTCAATACACATGCCAATATGCCATCCAGTTCCAACGCTACCAATGCTGTGGCAAAGAACCCATCGACGAAGATACCATGGAATCAGAAGGCATCGACACCGGTTGTATGCATGACCAAGTGGCGTTCATCAATCAGATATCAAAAGAACCTCATACTTGCACTGTCAATGCGGAGAACCAATGCCCGTTGGGGTACTTCTGCCAGTTCAGCGACAAAAACAAACAATTTCAGTGCTGCGGCAAGCGGGGAGGTGAGTTTTTGAAAGTAAATTGTAGTGGTTATATATAGTTATGTAGGCAGTGGTGGGAGCGGGATTTTAGTCTAGGGGTGGGGGTGAGAAGTAAAAAATTTTTTTTGCAACGGGTTACTAATTCTTGTTTTGGAGTGGGCGGGTGATTTTGATTTGAGAAAAGGTAAAAAATTTTGGGGGGTGGGGCGTGGCAAAATTTTTTGGAGAGGGTGGAGGTCTAAATCTTTTTTTAAGGTTGAGCAGGTGATTTTAGTCTGGAGACGGAGTAAAAAAAATTTTTTTTTGGTGGGGTGGGGTTTAAAAAAATTTTTTTGAAGTAGGGGGGGGTAAGGTAAAATTTTGTTTGTAAATGTGAAAAGGTAGGGAGGGTCTGAAGTCATTCATTTTTCAAAAAATGTCATTTCTGGCCACACTTTTTATTTTTTTAGATCTCTTATTGTGCATGATTGCACGGTGCAAAAGTGAACATTATGTAGGCTGAATTGTGCGGTCGCGCACTGTCAGAGCGTTTTTATTATGGGAAAATGGGTAAAAAGCGGGATTTTTTTTAAAATGGGTAAAATTAAAACTGACATGATGATGTGAAAGCTGTTTTTTGAAAATTTTTCAAATTTTTCATTACAGTTCATGAGTGCAACAGTGAAAAATATAGAATGCACGGTGCAGTCGTGCACTGTGAGGTTTTTTATGAAAAACAAAAGGAATGACAAAGTTTATTGAGGGTAAAACAATTTTAAGCTAATTTTAAATTTTTTTTTGGTATTTTTAACAACGTTTTAAATTATATTTTTACATTTTTTGAAAAAAAAATTTTTTTGAAAATTTTAAAAATTTAACAGGGGGGGGGGACCAAGTTCAAGTTTTTGAAAAATATTTTTTAAATATGATTTAACTTTCTTAATATTTTTCATTTTTTATTTAATTTTAAGTTCCATTTCAAATTCCAGGCTGTCCAAATCAAAAAGTCGCCTACATAGGGCTCAGCGGTTCGGCTCAAACCTGTAAACCTGGCGTCCAACAACAATGTCCCAATGGTTATCTATGTGTTCGAGGCGATGAGAACACGTTTATTTGTTGTACAGCTGAAGACCCACTCTTACCTGGAGCCATAACAACAACTGAGCCTACAACTACAGAGTTGATTGATCCATCGACGGAATCGACCGAAAAACCACCGGAAAATGCGGTCGAAGGACAATACAGTAGGCATAACAGTCGAAGTTCGGCCGAAATTTCGATTTCCGTGGAGAAGCCGCGAGGTCACATGACTTGTAGACCTGATGAACACTTTACTAATGGGCAGTGCGTGTACGTTTGGGGGGGGGTGGGATGGGTAGGGGTAGGACCAGGGCTACTGTAGATTTGAATACTGTACCTACAGACTATCAAAATTAAATTTTCAGTACCAGACGGCTAGGCGAGCCTTGTATAACAACAGATCAATGCCCCAAGACCTCAGTATGTTCCGGCTTCATTTGTCGTTGTCCTGATGGTACGAAACGTGCTGGTGAACTGTGTATACCCGATCCAGATGACGAGGCTGATATTGTAGATGAACATGGTGAACCATACGTTGAGCCGGCTACTAGGACCTCACATTTGGCTACACATAAGGCTGGTCAGAATGGCAATTCAAATTTGGCGGGAACTTCAAATTTGGCGGGAAATTCAAATTTTGAAAATGGTCGAAATTCAAACTTTGGAATCGACCGAAACTCAAACCTCGAAAAAGGACCAACCTCCGCGACAAGTCAAACATCCACCCCCTTCCGCCCACCCGCCCTACCTGGCCAACGCCTTCGGCCCGAAGCCTTCGAAATCGACGATCGTGACCGCGAACTGAAGGCCCAGAAACGGTGTAAGCACGACGAGATCATGCACAAAGGTCACTGTCTCAAGAAAATGGACCTAGGCGGAGCCTGTATAACCAAAGATCAATGCGTCGGGGGCGCAGCCTGCTACCGCGGCAAGTGCCGCTGCCCCGCCAACAAGGCCGGCTTCATGGGCAAGTGCGAGGAGAACGTGTGCGGAGGAAACCAGTTCCGCCTACCCCAACTCGACCCCCAAACCTCGAGCGTCATCCAGTGTGCTCACGACAACTCCATCTGCCGTCAACCCTACAAATGTCAGTTCAGCAAGGTCCTGAAGGACTACATCTGCTGCAAGGCGGTCATGTCCCAGAAATGGACCGAAAACACCATGCCCACCATCCGCCCCATCACCATGGACCCCAACATACAGACCTTCAGTACGAGAGGGCCGGCTCGTGCTCGAACGACCACGTTGAAGTTACTGCCATTCAATAATGTAAAGATACGACGCGGTAAAAGGAAATGTCCGGATGGTACCATGCCACTGATGTTCACTCACACTGATCAACCAGTCAAATGCACACCACAACGCGTATGCCCCAAGGACTACTATTGTATGCATTCAATGTGCTGTCTTGGTACTCCAACTACGCCCACGTACGAGTGGGAGGACTAGGAAATTTGGCGGGAAATTTGAATTTTAAATTTGGCGGGAGATTTAAATTTGGAGCCAAATTTAAAATTCAAGCATGATTGTCTATTGTACTGTTTAGTACTATCTCATCTAGTATATTGTACTATATAGCATCATCTCATATTGCATAAACCTTTTCAGTTTTGATTATAGTGGTAATTACCATGGGCAGTACTACTTAGTACGAGCACTACTGGTACTGTTAAGTATAATCAATGGTACTAAATAGCATAATCCTTATGGTGCTGTTTAGTGTGGTCTTTTTGAGTACTGTTATGTACGATTGATAGTACTCTCATAGGTTATATGTCTTTCTCTGACGGTCTCTCAATTCCTCGTTGTCTCTCTCACATTCTGTTCGGTTTCAAATGCAGCGCATTCGTGAAACATTCCAAGCACGTTGAATGTTGTTAATTGTGATTTGCTCAATTTTTATAATAAATTGTTTTAAAATTTTTTGCTATAATGTTTTTGGTAACATTACCTTAATGCTATGACAAAGACAAGGTCTTTTACAAGTCTAAGCAATTTTAATTGTGAAAAAGTTTATTGATAACGTTGTACGATGAAAGACAATGGTAAAATAATTGTAAAAGCTTTGGTATAATGTACAATTGAAAGCGCAGAAAGTAATGTAGATTGGGTATTATGGTTACGTATGGGTAAGTACAATCGTTGAAAGTAAGTTTATATTGTCATAACTTCTTTGCTTCCAAAGATAAATCAACATTATTGACATATTCCACTTAAATTGACGGTTACATCAATATTATTGAGGTACCGCCCCAAAGCAAGAAGCCACAACAATATAACTCCTCAACCACTTCTCTGTACATCCACCGTAGCAGCGTTGGCGGTGCTTTCGATGTTACAGTGATTGTAGCCGCGGAGGATTCGGAAGAATCCATTTTCTCCCCATTGTGAACCCCAGGAGTTGGCCACGATCCAATATGGCAGGTTGTTCTGGGTACCCCAGCCAATCACTCGTACGGCGTGCAGTCCAATATAGCCTCCGGACATGTGCTATAATACGAAAAATGGTCATTTTGAAGCGTGTAAAGAATTTTTTTGCCATTTTACGTTTTGTAAAGAAAGTTCTTGTTATTTTATGTTTTGTAGAGAAATTTCTTGCCATTACCTGATAGACTCCACCTCTGTAGTACAAGAAGTCTTCGTACACTTCCATAGCGGCGAAGACAATTGGGCCGTTAGTCATGATTTCTTGTTGCATTGCCTGAGGGTTTTGACGGAATGACAGTGGAGTAAGAGCTAAAAATAAGTTCTTGCTACTTTTTGTTCTGTAAACAAAGTTCTTGCTATCTTCTGTTCTGTAAAGAAAGTTCTTGCTACTTTTTGTTATGTAAAGAAAGTTCTTGCCATTTTAACTTTTGTAAACAAAGTTATTGCAATTTTTTTCTACTGTAAAGAAAGTTCTAGCCAAACAACCGTACCAAATCTCTTATCCTGAGTATATTGTCTTCGGTAGCTTTGTTGACATTGGCTAGTGCATTGTGGAGCATTGAAATCACCCCCAAAGCCAACACATTGAGAGTAAGAGCTAGCCGCTGAGCCGGAACAAGGTGGGAAAGGATAAGGCATACAAGTGCTGTTATCATTGTAATCACCGCCAGATACCACACCATATTGCTTGATGTAGTTGAAGGCTTTGAATGGGTATCCTCCAGTGCAGCTGGAAAGCACATTTTATAGTAAATTTATGGTTTTCTATGAATTTTTTGACCGGAATTATAAGACTGTTATTCTCCACGGTACCCTAGACCCTACCTTACCCTATGTCCTACCGTACTCTAGACCTTACCGTACTCTAAGCCGTACTCTATCCGAGGTCGTACCGTACCCTAAGCCCTACTGTACCCTAGGCCTTACCGTACCCTAAGCCCTACTGTACCCTATGCCCTATCGTACTCTAGGCCCTACTGTACGTTATGCCCTACCGTACTATAAGCCCTACTGTACCTACTCTGCTTTATGGTAATTTACCCTGTATGAACTTACCTTACCCTCTCGTATCATACCCTATATTACTATCACTGCAGTATGCTAAACCTATTACTATACGACTTTTAAGCCTGCAGTAACCAAAATCAACCTACCCAACCCCACAGCCATTACAACAAGTCAACAGGTCGTCAGCACTTAAATTGACCACCTTTGAACCATTAGTCGCAATACACATACGATCAGAAAAGGCACCAGCCGAGGAGACAGCCCAACAACTGCCACATTTGCTTTGATCCGCAATTCTAGCGATCGTCTTGTTACATTGCGGCCATTGAGTTCTTGAATCGAACGATGATGGAATAGCAGTGTTACTGTAACCATAAACATCATTGGCAACTGGATGCTTGGCTTCGTATTCATCAACAATGTCATCATGGTCATCGGCTACGCCCAATGATTTTAGAATTTCGTCGACGTTGCGATTTTTGAAGCGGTGGTTAAGTTCAGCATGCCAGGATGAGTTTTGGCTCTTCAAGTCCTTGACTAGACCTTCACCTTGGATCGAGTTGGTGCGGCGAGGGTGGGGTTTGCGCTTGGCGTGACCTGATTTTGGTCTTTTGGCTTCGGTAAGGGTTGACAGTACGAGGATGGAGATGAGGGTGATGATGATGATTGACTTCATATTGGCAGTAGTACGAGCAGTGCAGTACAAAACAGTACCAAATAAAACAGTAGTACAAAATAGTACCAAAACCGAGAAACTTAAAATTAACTCCAAAATTCAATTTTACTTTGAAAAAGCAGTCAAAATCAAATTTCGTTGGTGACATTTAGACCCCAACCCTATCTTTATATACTATTTTACCTCGTACTAACCCCACCCTTTGTCCGGATCAAAGTATATTCAGTATGACATGTCAAATCATACATTTTCTTTGTTCCATTGTTAATTTTCTATTTTTGGCAGTCGTTTTTTAAAAATAAAACAATAACATCAGAAAGCAAAAAACGTCTGGCTTCGAACGTGATCAACACGGTTTATTTGAACAGATGGTTCTATTACAACAAAGTTGTATATGCAAAAGGTTACTCTTTCACAATTTATCATTTGTTTTATTCTCGTATATTACCATTTTTGAAGTTTAAACCTTTTTTTAATTTATTCAATATTTATGCTTTATTATAGCCCTGTGAGAGCTGTTTTAGCCTTGAAGAGGTCGGGGAGGTCCGAAAGTTTTTGTACAGAAGCTCCTTCATCTTCCTCACTACTATTTTTCTATAAAAAACGTGGATAAGATTCAAAAAGTTTGAAGCAAAGACAAAATTTTACGAAAAAATCAACTTTATAGCTAAACCTGAGCCTAAATTAATAAAAGAGCTAAGTAAATCCACCATTTTAAAAATGCAAATGTTATAATAAGATAGAAATATTAAATACCTAGCTTTGAAGCCTAAAATCAAGAAGAACAAGCTTCAACTTCAAACTTTAAAAATAAAAATCTTGCTCCAGACACAAAGACAATATATTTGGTCATTTTCTTCTCAAAACATGATTCAAAAAAAAGTTTAAAATCTAGAAACCTTGACACTAACCTAAAAGCCAATAAACATTAAATTCTTTCGAAAATCAGCAACTTGCACAAGGTTTCTCAATATATTTACCATCTAACACAATATCGCAGCTCAAAATTGACCTAAAACTCCGTGAAAAATAGCAAAAAAACTTACATTCACGTCGATTTTTTAATTGAGCGTAGTTTAACACTCAAAAGCGACGAAGTGAACAACCTTTTTTGGCTTCATAAACCATCTGACACATAATGGTAGTTCAAATTATACCTAAAAAATCAAGAAAAATAGCAAAAACATTACATTATGATCCGTTTTTTTAATTGCCACAGGGCAAATACTCAAATTTCAATAAGCTATACAACTTTCTTCGCTTTATCCGCCATCTAACACAACATAGCGGCTCAAAATACACCTAAAACCCCCAGAAAAACGGCAAAAACTTACGTTAATATACATTTTTCGTAAGCTGAAAGGTCTGGTGTAGCAAAATCTTTAGAATAGGTAAATAATCAAACATTCAGGCTCGGCCCGTTTCTCATACCTAACAAGAACGAAGCAAGGGAAATGATCGACCAAAAACAAGATTCTGTCGAGAAATGGTGTCATCTCTTCTTCTTCGGCCGCAAATTGTGTCAAGTTTTCTTTTTTACATTGATGTTGGCCGTAACTGTTGAATTGATGGATATGTATTTCGATAATTTTAATGTTTTTAATTGTAAAATATGGCTCAATGTGTTGAATGTAAGTTGATTTTATTAAAAAATAAATGGAAATACAATGTTATTAGGTTTTACATTGATTTACATGTCGAAATTTTATTTTTTTCCCTATTTTTTTAGTTTTTACGTCTACAATAATATTCTTGAGTGTTAACTAAATTTAAATTTAGCTTTATTATCTTTTCAGCATTTTCTTTTTTTTGGCAAACTATTTAAACATCAAAATTGGCGCGGAGGCATAAAAATTCAATCCTACAAGCTATGTTAATATCGGCGAAAAATAGGAAAAAACTTGGTCTTGGTCGAAGGTCGAATTGGCATGAAATGGAATCAGAAGGATCTGCTAAAGGTATGTTATTGAAGTTTAAAAAAATGTTATGCGTTACTCTTATCATAATGTTAAGTTTTATAATAGTTTAGGCCGTCGATTCAAAATTTTATTTTATTAGCACCTTAAGGTAGAAAATTAGTGAAAAACACGTTGTATATCAAATATTATTGCTTGTAGTTGTATATGAAGGCTAATGTTGAGACATTGGTTTAAGAAAAAATAAAACATTTTTGAAAAATCTACTGTAATATCAGCCAAACATCATATTGTAGTAGGTTTTTGATAAAAAATATATGAGAATAGACTTTGGATTTAAAATCTATGAGTCTAGGCTAAAAATATATGAAACTAGACATTTGATCATCGTCGTCTAACTTGAAACTCAGTCAAATGCCCATAAGAGTGGGGTAGTTCGTCAAGCAGTGTCATATTTCCATTGTGTTGAGCTCGAGCAGCTTCAGTCGCGTTGATTCGTATCTGTTTGTCCTCGACATCAGCTACGAACAGAATCACAAACAGTAAAATGAACGAACCATACAGGGCAAATAACGACAGAGCCAGATAGTGCATTCCATATAAGTTTTTGGGGTGGACGGTATGTTGTGGTAGAGTTGATTAACTGTAGAGGTATTAATGCATTTTTGGTGTGGATGACGGGTTGTTGAGCTGGAATTATGATTGATATAATTAAAGAATTAAAAATTGCGCGGTATAAAAAATAGGGTAAAGAGGGAAGGGCAAACCAAGGCATGGCAATGCACGTTAGGGCTGTACAGAGCAAGCCAAGGTAGGACGAAGCAAAGTAAGGCATGTTAGGGCAGGGTAAGGTACGCGAGGGTACTGTAGGGTTGTACAGAGCAAGGCAAGGTAAGGCATGTTAGGGTAGGATAAGGTAGCGTAGGGTATTGTAAGATAGGGTAGGGTACTGTAGGGTAGGGAAGGGCAAGTCAAGGCAAAACAAGTCAAAGCAGGGAAGGGTAAGACAAGGCAAAGATGAAGCAAGGAGTAGTGAAAAAAGCGGCAACGGCTTGGAAATATTGGGGCAAGAACAGAGCAAACTTAAAACAGGGTTATGACAAGGGTAAGATAGGTATAGCAAGAGCAGAGCTGGATAGTACAGGGTTTTGAGTACTAAAGTGGGGTAGTTCGGGGTAGATTAGAGAGCGATAGGGTAGGATAAAATAAGGTAGTGCCGGATTATATAGGGTAGTATAGGAAGGCTCAGGTTGAGGCCAAGACTAGGGTAATATTGTGGCATGTAACTATAAACTCTCACTCAGGTGATTTTTGCAAAACTCACGTAAGTTTGTTTAAGCATTTGTAATCTTGAAAGCAAATAGATCAAGGAAAATTTTATACAATAGGTAATTGAATGGACTATTGGTAACGAAAAAACAACGTACGACAGAGTAGGGCAAGTTAGGCTAGGATAGCACAAGATAAGGTAGGGCAGGGTTACAATAGTGTAGGGCAGAGTAAAGGAGGGTAGTATAGAGAAGGGTAGGATAAGGTAAGGTAGGGCAAGGTCGGTTGGATAGAGCAGGCTAAATTAGGGTAAAGTAAGGTAAAATGAAAATAAAATTATAACGAGCGCTACTGTAATGTTAAGGTTTGAAATGGAAAAATATAACTCCCCTCCCCTTCAACTATGATTTTTTTTGCATAAAATAACCCGCCTTGTAAGCATAATTTATAAAGAAAAATGTCAGGAATTTGAAAAACGCGACATTCTCGTTTCGGAAAAATATTAATTATTTGTGTTTTAACACGGAATCATCTTCATTTCGGTTGTCCAGGCAACAGAAGAAGAAGCTGGAAAGCGGATTTAACGTTAAGAAATCACAAAATTTTAAGTTTTATTATGAAAAACATGGCTTATAATATTCATCTTTGGCAGTAATAATAGGGCAGGGTAGAGTGGGGTACGGTGGAAGAGAGTAGGGTGGATACGGTAGAAATGAGTAGGGTAATCTAAGGCAGGATAAAGTAGATAGACTAGGGTAGATTAAGGTAGGACACAGTAAAACAGGGTAAGGTAAGGTAGAGTCGGGTTAGACATGAGGAACGAGCCGGGCCCAATTTTCAGGCCGGACCGGATCAAAATTTTGGTCAGGCCCGGCCTGGCTCAATGTTTTTACGTGCAAACGGGCCAAGCTTTGATTAAATTTGGGTCAAGCCCGGCCAGATGGTATGCCCGGCTCGTTCTTCATGTCCAAGTCGGGTGGGTTGGGGTAGCTAACAATGTTGCTTAAGAAGTTACAGTAAATCTAAAATTTTTTATTTAGTTATTGTAAAATACGTGTGGGGTTCAACTAGCTCAATTATTGCATCTTTATTAAGTCAAGTCAAAATGCATTTTTTTTCATTTATTTAACTTATAAATGTAATATGTTATTGTAACAAGCACTCTCACAAACATAAAATAATCAAAATTCGACAAATTTTAAAAAATCAAAATGAAAAAAATTAAAAATCATGTTTAGGCCTGGTCTTTAGATATTCTTGAAGCTCAGGAAGGTCATAGATTCTGTCGTGATGCTCAATAATCGTTGGGAAACGGCAGAGACTGTCCTTGGGGCCATAGGTTAGGCATAGGTCGGTGATGTGAGCTGCGTAGAAGTCCACCCATGATAACTAAATTTTAAAAGAATTTTATATGTCAAGGAGGGTAAAAGGGTAGGGTAGAGTAAGATAAGGTAAGGTAGAGGCGGTTTGGGTAAAGTCGAGTAAGGTAGGGTAGAGTAAGGAGGAATATGGTAGGGCAGTAGTAGGTAGAGTAAGATAGAATAAGGTAAGGTATAATGGGTGGGATAGAGTAGGGGTAGTTGTGAGTACGGTAGGGTAGGCTAGGTTAGAGTAGTGTAGGGTAGGGAAGGGTAGGGTAGGGTAGTGTATGATAGGGTAGGTTAGGGTAGGGTAGAGTATGGCAGGATAGAGAAAAGTAGGGTAGGGGATTTTTTGTTATAAAGCTAGCATTTTCCCTTTCAAAAACCTACTTCATGACCAACCAGCCACCCAGTTTTGTTCAATTCAAGTTGTCGTTGTAATAGTATAGCAAAGTCTTTTAGTATCGTAGTGTTGTATATTGTTTCTGTTCGCTCTTGTAACTACAAAAATCAATTTCTGATTAATTTCAGCTTTTAATCATATTTGGGAGGGGTAATTGAATTTTGTGAGGGATGTAAGGAGTGGGGTATGGAATGAGTAAAAAATTTTTGCTAAAATTTTTAAATAAGAAATCAATTAATATTTTTGAAAACGAAAAAAAATCGGGCGGGGTAAATTTTTTTAGTGGAGGATAAGAAACATTTTTTGTATTTTTTTGTTTTTATGTTCAAAAAAATTCATTTGTCTAAGTCCTTACCATGCCCTTCAAATCCTCGTACAAAAAGCAGTAGAACCAAGGCCTCATTTGGTTCAAATAGTCATTCAATCTCACTCCCCAAACGTTGGCTATGGCTTTGTCTTCGGCTTTTTTCGGTATTAATCCATGTTTATCAGCCAAGTATTGTAATATACAGTTGGTGTAATTGATCTCGAGAGTTTGATTCACTATTAGTCGGGGCATTTTTGGGAGGGGTGGGGCTGAAAATTTAAAACTTTATAAAAGTGGGGTAGATAAGGTAGGACAGGGAATGGAAAATATGGCAAGCTTGGTTAATGTAAGATAAGGAAGAGTAGAGGAGGGTAGGGTAGAGAAAGGTAGGGTGGCGCATAAAAAATATACATAGTAAGGCTGGGAAGGGGCAAACCAGAACAAAGAACTGTAGGACAGGGTAAGACACCGCAAGGCCAGGCAAGGCTGTGCTAGTTAGGATACTTTAGGATACGGTAGGGTTGAGTAAGACATAGTAGGGTAGGGTAGAGTGGAGTAGAAGAGAGTAGGATAGGGTATGGTAGAGTATTGTAGATTAAAATACTTACTGTCCTTAACATTTTTATAGGAATTGTAATCCTGTTTGTCATCGATGAAGTCAATGCCGTGATATTTGAAAAACATTCGAATTGCCTCGCCCTTACCACGTAAATTTAGGTAAATCAGGCGGTACTCGGGGTGGATTCTTCTGAAAATAAAATTTTAATTTAAAATAAAAAAAAATTTTTTTAAGTTTAATTTTCCTAATAAATGCCAAAATACAGTACTTACATTGTCATAGTACTATCACAGTATGATGCTTATTAAAATAATATAGCACAAGTATCAAAATTTAAAAACTTTTTAAAATTAAAGCCAGCCCCACTTTTAAAAGCGCTTTAAAATTCAAAAAGTTCAAAAGTTTGCTGTTTAAATAATTTTTTAAGCCATTGCGCAACCGTTTTTTGCAAAGTTATAGCATTTACTCTACGTCAACGATCACCGATCATAGGGCGAACAGAACAAATATTGCCAAAACTTATCGCCCATTTCGAAAAAAAAATTGTAAATAAAAACGTTTTTATGGCCAATGAAGTTGTGTTATGCTTGGTGAAAAGGTTCGAGAAGAATAGAGAGAATTGTTGCAAGAGCATGTGTGGTCTACCGTAGTATGTTTTAAGCCCTCACATAGATCTGAGGGCTTGATGTTTTAGCCCTAACCCTGCGCTCGCTGAAATCTTAACCTAAGCCTTAGCCTAAATCCTAGCCTAAGCCCTAGCCTAAGCTTTGGTCTAAACCCTAGCCTAAGCTCTAGCTTGAGCCATTGCCTAAGCTCTAGCTTAAGCCCTAGCCTAAGCCTTAGGCAACGCTCTAGCGCTAGCCTTAGCTCAAGTCTTAGCTTAAGCCCTTGCCTATGATCTAGTTTAGGTACTAGCCCAAGCCTTAGCATAAGTTCTAGTTTAAGCCTTACCCTAAAAAGTAAAAAATTTATGTTTTAAAATTATGATGACTTACCGATTAACGATTCCAACAAAGTGCGACATCTGAAACTAAAACGAAGTTAAAAATAGAAAAAAATATAAAATAATTGTAATATATAAGATTACTACAACATTTTGTACAGTATAACAAAACCCAAAAAACTAAAAATTTTTAGTACAATTCAGTACAAATTGAAGAGTAAGAATAATAATATTGTAAGGTAAGATTATTATGCTACTGGTAGGAGTTGGGATATAAAAATGAACCTCTAAAGTTCAATGCAAGCAAAGTACGATGAAACACTACAGTGCGTTGGCAAAGAAAAAGTTCAAGTTTGATAATATAAAACAAAGAACACGTCTGTAAGTTGATATATATATATATATCTATACAACTTCAATCTCAGCTAGTTTTGCCCTTATGTTCAAATGTAACAAAAGGGTTCTTTTTTCTATTTTGTGTTTTGTACCCTAGCTACCCTACATTACCTTACATTACTCTATCCTACACTACCCTACACTACACTGCTTCATTCTACTCTATCTTACCTTAACCTCTCTTATCCTCCTTACCATGCCATTCGTAATTTTTTCTACCGTGCTTTATCGTGCTTTACCTTACTATACCCTACGCTAGTCTTTCTCAGATGTTTATAACAATAATAAACTCTATTATTAATAACAAACCTACCCATCCACAACGTAAAGCTGCCAAAATCGCTATCGTCTTCATAGTAATATCAAGCATTTTAATTATTTTTGGCATATCAACTACAATAACTTGCAAAGACTTTTATACTAATACTCAACGATCACTACAATGTACTAAGTGATATAAAGGTGCGACTATCTTTACCCGATTTAAACTATTGCACTTTTTTACATCTATAGTCTCTATTCAAGCACCTATAGTATAAATGTTCTCTGATCTATTTGCTTTCAGGCTTATAAACTCTCAAACAAATTCGCGCGTTTTTTGCAAAAATCATCTGTAGTTAGAGTTTGTAGTTCCATACTACAAAATTTTACTGTAGTTTAAACTTTTTTAGAATTTATAAAAAGCTTAGTTTTAAACTTAGCCTAAGCTTAGTCTAATCCTTGGCTTGGGCCATATTTTTCGTCTTAGGCTTAGTATTTTGTTGGCCTCAGCCTTGAGTTAGCATTAGCGTAAGCCCTATCCTATGCTTTAGCCTAAGCCCTAGCTTAAGCCCTAGCATAAGCCTTAGCTTAAGCTCTAGCCTAAGTTCTAGCCTAAGCCCTAGCCTAATCCCTAGCCTAAGCTCTAGCCTAAGCCCTAGCCTAATCCCTAGCCTAAGCTCTAGCCTAAGCCCTAGCTTAAGCCCTAGCCTAAGCCCCAGCCATAGCCTTATATTTACCTTTACCTTTATCTTTAGACTTAGGCTTACTCTCAGTCTCAGCTACCTTTGCTATAAACTTAGCTTTGGTTATGGCTTTACTTTTATCCTTAGGCTTAGCCTTTATCTTGAGTCTTAACCGTAGCTTCAGTTTCAGCTTTCCCTTAACTTCTGCCTAAGCCTAAGCCATTGTCTTAGTCTTAAGGTTGTCTCTATCCGTAGTCTTAGCCTTAACATGGACTTTAGTTTGAGTTTTAGCCTGAGCTTTAGCCTTGCCATAGTCTTAGTCGCAGTCATGGTCATAGCCTTATCTTTAGCTTACAAGAAACGTACTTGACCTAAGTTTACTTTGCAATATCCGCTTTACAAAGCTAAATCTATCAGCATACCTGCTCCATACCCACAGTATCACTTCGCTGGCCGTTATGTCTCGTCTACTAGGCTTACATTAGCCTAGTAGCCGTTGCTGTCAAGTGCTAATTTAAGGCCGAACGCTAATTTGAAAGCTATGACAAATTAATTTTAACCTCTAAACCCCTATATATATACCCAAACTCTGAAACACAAAACTGTCTACAAAAAACGTCTGCACTTTACAATAACCAGACAAATCTAATGTTACCTTTGAGTTTGGCATGTCGAGCAACTTCCGTGAACTTGAACGTCTACAACTTGAGCGTCTTTGATTCGTTCGAATTCGACTAGTCATTGGGATTGAATTACTCTGTTGTTCTCGAATTACCGTGTTTATTCTTCTCAAGTGAGGTCTTAATAGTCTCGAACTACAAAACAATCACCTTTTTATATTATTATTGTTTGTTCTTGCGTGTTATTGATCATAACACTTCAGAATGTAAATGAATGTGTGGAAGTCTTCAAAAGTCTTTAAAGGTCAAGAGTAACATTAAGAATGACATGCATTGTTTGGAGGTTTAAAGAGTGGTTTTGACTATCTTATTCATAGATTCTACTAAAGCTTACACTACAATAATATTTTTATAGATACAGTAAAACTTTTGGGTAACAAATCGCCAGCTGATTTTAAATTTGTTTGTTATACGGAGTTTTATCGACAAGTTTTGTTATACAGTAGTGTTCAACGTGCTGTATAGTTTTTGCTGATATTAAAAAGTGCTCGTTATACAGAGTTTTCGCTATAGAGGAGTTGTTAATAACAACTTGTTATACAGGGCTTTCTATACTACAGTACTCTCTCTATGTAAGCAACCCGAAGGGACCGTCATTTTGTGTTTACTGTAAGAAGTGCTGCCTTTACAGTGGGACTTTTCAGTGCAAATTGATGTGGCGAGGCCACATTTCTAGTTTACTATAAGGAGAGTTGCTTATACAGATGGTTGGTTCACTATATAGAGAGAACACTATACTTTATTAATATCATAAGCCGTTTTTTAGGCTTATATTAACAGTGAAACAAAGCTAAAGTTTATAAAACTTAATTTTATATAATTTCTTTTTATATTTTTGACATTTTGTAAAATGTAACAAAATGTCACAAAAAATATTTGTTTTTTGCGAAGTGTCACAAAATTTATTGGAATATTTTTATGGGTGAAAAATGACAAAAATCAGCATTTCTTGAAGAATTAGGCTAAGGCTCTGGGCTAAGGATTTGGACCAAGGCCAGGAATACACGGCTTATAGCTAAGGCTCTGGATTAGGACTGTGGGTTATGACTCGGGCTAGGGCACTGGGCTAGAGGGCTCTGGGCTAGGGCTCTGGGCTAGGGCTCTGGGCTAGGGCTAGGGCTTTGAGCTACGGCTCTGGGCTAGGGCTAGAACGTGGGGGTTACGGCATGTGCTAATTTTGAAAACTATGAGCTAAGTTGATTATGTTTATTGATTTGAATGATATGTGCAGTATACAAAGTCAGAAAAAACGAAATTTAAAAAATTGTAAAAAAAAAATTTAGAGAAAAATGAAAATTTTAAAGCTTGTCCCACTGATACTTGTGCATGAGTTCACTTGCATCAATGAACATCTCCTTCATTCGTTGATGAAGCTCTGCCATTCTCATTTTGTGCTCCATTTCTGGAGCACCATCAGCATTCGGGGAGAAGTAGGGGATAATCATGATGTTCACTATGGCTTGTTGGACTACACATAGGTCGTACAGTTCTTGGGCCTAACTTTTTTAAAAATATTTGGGTTTGCAAAGAAAGTTCTTGCCATTTTTTGTTTTGTAAAGAAAGTTCTTTCCATTTTGCATTTTGTAAACAAAGTCCTTGCCATTTTCTGTTTTGTAAAGAAAGTTTTTGTTATTTCATGGTTTCTAGAGAAAGTTCTTGCTATTTTACGTTTTGTAAGGATAGTTTTTGCCATTTTATGTTTTGTAAAGAAAGTTCTTGCCATTTCTTCAAAAAATAAACAAAAGTTGGCTTCTGCAGCCTGCGGGTGACAAGTTATACGATGAGTTTTGTCATCAAAGTTTTTGTTTTTTTGCTTTGTAAAGAAAGTTTTTACTGTTTAAAAATTAAAAAAAACTTTTTGATTATAATTGATTTTCTAATGTAAAATACGATTTTCAGCTTCATTGATTTTCTAATACTCACCTCTTCAGCACTAAACTGATACTCATATTTCACTCCCTCGGCTTTGAAAGCTTTCTTCAGGCATTCCAAAAAGTATGGCACGATTTCGCTGTGAATTTCACGTCGTACCTTACCTTCGGAACATAACACAACGTATCTAGCTATGTCCAGGAACATGTTACCTAAAATTTTTTTTAATTTAAAAAATGACATTTTATTTGCCCGTATAGGTAGGGTACGGTAGGTTAGGTTAGGGTAGGGTAGGGTAGTTAGATATAAAATTGTCTTACGACGCATTTTACCTCCAAAAACAGTTTGGAAATCAGCAAAAGCCCGGAGACGGTCAGAGATTCCGTCGGGCTTTTTGGGATCTTTGAAGAAGAACATGTTGCCATTCCAAACATCACCATGGCAGAGGGTTATACCACCTAAAAAAGTAGAAACAAGTAATAGTGTGCCTTTCAGTTAGCATAAAGTTAGATATATTAGGCAATTTTGACATTTTCTAAAAATCAATAATTTTTGTGTCATTTCGTCGAAATCAATAATTTTTGTGAATTCCGTCTATTTTGTCTATTTATGGATAATGTATAATAAGAATTAGAGAAAACAAATTATTTTTTATGTTTTTAATCAAAAATATAAAATCAATAATTTTTGTGACATTTTGCCAAAAATCAATAAAGTTTGTGGCTTTTCGTCAAAAGTTCAAAGTTGATAATTCTTGTGTCAAAACTTTAAAAAACTGTGAATTTTATATTTGAGAAGGAAACATGATTGTAAAAACATGACTTACCAATCTGCTTCGGCCGATCCAAACAAGCATACCGAGCGAACTCGGCGTTATTTACCGGCTTTAGGTCTTCTAGGACTGGTCCTAACTTGACTAAAAAAGAATAATCTTTAAATTATTGAAAAAAATTTTTAAAATTGTAAAATACGCAAGTTTTTAGTTGCTTGAATATTCTCTAAATTTGTCAAAATCAATAAATGTTTGCAACATTTCGTAAAATCAATAAATTTTTGTGATTTTTCGTCTAATATACACTTTTTCGGACTTTTTATTGTAATAAAGAAAAAAAATCTTTAAAAACTGCTTTTTTTTTGACATTTTTTTGCTTTTAAATCTATTCCAATGAATTTCGTGACACTTTGCAAAAAATCAATATTTTTTGTGGCATTTTGTTACACCTTACAAAAATTCAAAAATATGATAAGAAATTATAGAAAACTAACTTTTTTTTATTTTAACTCAGTTTTAATGTTAATAAAAGCCTATAAAAGACTTATAATATCAATAAATTACTGTTACAACAAGACTTTACTCTTACCATCATACTCAACATTAGCTGGTGTACAAACCGGATTCAGTACAGTATGAACTTCCAAAGTATGGAAGTAGTCTTCAAAATGTGCCCATGACTTTTTGGGTAATTTGGCCACTTTTGCTTGTAGTTTGGCAATCTCTTCAGCGACAATGAAGATCTGCTCTTTGCGACAAGGTTGGTACATACTTGGAGTTATTACCTCTGTTCCGAGGTCTTCTATGAGCAGAATGGCTTGTTCTTTCTGAAAATTTGTAACGTGTGGCATTTTTTGTTTTGTAAAGAGGGTTCTAGCCATTTTATGTTTTGTAAAGAAAGTTTTTGCTATTTTTTGTTTTGTAAAGAAAGTTCTTGTCATCTGTGTTAAAAATAAAAATGTATTTTTCTGCAGTCTGCGCGTAACAAATTATACGAATGACAACATTTTTTGTTTTGTAAAGAAAGTTCTTGCCATTTTTGTTTTGCAAGGAAAGTTATTGCCATTTTATGTCTCGTAAAAAAAATTTTGCCGTTTTATATTTTGTAATGACGCTTTCTGTGTAACTCGTATTTTACCTCCTCAGTGTTCCAAAGTAGTCTTGCCATTTCTACATAAAAAGCCAAGTTTTATATTTGGCAGCCTGCGAGTGCCAAGTTATACGAAGGCTAACACTTTATGTTTTGTAAAGAAAGTTTTTGCCATTTTTTTGTTTTGTAAAGAAAGTTTATGCTATTTTTTGTTTTGTAAAGAAAGTTCTTGACATTTTTTAGTTTTTAAGCAAGTCTTTAACTCGTATTTTACCTCCTCAGTTTTGCGTCCAAAATAGCACTGTGGCAGTGTCTCCAGCTTTTGAGTTTTGAACAAATTATAAAAGTCCACTTCTTTGTTATGTCCCATGAAGGTCGTCTTCTTCATGACCAACCCCCCTTCAGCAGTAATGGCACTACATGGTATCTTGGCGATCAATGAGAATACTCCACAGGCTTCGAAGACGATCTCAACACGATATATCATCGAGTTGAAGGCTGATCCTACGGCTAGGCGTTTACAGGATACCTGAAAAGTGTCGGGTTAGACCGGGCTAAAAGGTCTAGAACAGTCTAGGACGGATTAGGGAAGATTAATAAGGACTGGAACAGGCTAGTCCAGACTAAGACGACTAAGGCGAGATAGAACGGACTAGGGATGGCTGGAACAAGCTAAGACAAATAAGGGCAGGCTTAGACGATCTAGGAAGGGCTGGAACAGACGAAGGCATGCTAAGGAAAGCTTCGGCGGACCAGAGCGGGCTAGGACAAAGGCTACGGCTAAGACTAGGGCTTAGGTTAAACCTAAGGCTAAGGCTAAACCTAAGGCTAAAGCTAAGGTTAAGGTTACGGCTAAGGCTAAACCTAAGGCTAAGGCCAAACCTAAGGCTAAGGCTAAAGCTAGACTTACATTTTCAATTTCATAGCGGCTACAGAGTCTTTTCAGTCTAGAATCAGCTTTGATCATAACATCAAATAGCCATTTCGAAGTAATCTTGCCATCACATAAAAGCTCAGGCACCTTTGAACCAATATTGATTGGATCCTCTTCTTTCTTGAGACAGTTTAGGGTTGTCGTCAGTGTTGCCATTTCTAAAATTTTATTTGTTACAGTAATCGATAGTATGATGTTAAAACGCTGCATAGTACTAGTTATATCATAAGACCCTACCCTACCCTACCCTACCCTACCCTACCCTACCCTACCCTACCCTACCCTACTCCACTTTAAAAATTACAGTATCTTTAATATATTCACTTTTCAGCTACCGTAACCCTCACTTCGCATTACAGCTACCGTAATCCCCAAACCCACTTCCTCAACAACCTAAAATAATCTTAAAATAGTAGTTTATACAAACATCTACCATACGCTTAAATACAATACTATAAAAAACAACCGTCCTAGCCAAACCCGAACCTCAAAGCGTCTTATACGTTGGTTTACCTAAGTTAGCTGTTTTTATATCATTTTAGCCACAATGTTTGTTTTGTAAAAAAAACTGTTGAGGACGTGAATTTTAAAGCATAACGGCTTATACAGTCGGTTTTTAAAATTCTTTTTTTTGTAAAAAATTATTTACATTTTTGGAAAAAAAATTTTTTTGTTGCACTGTGCAAACATTTCTTAATACGCTTAAAAATTTTTAAAATGCAAAAATTGTGAATTATTACAGTATACTAGGTATAAATGAAGAGTTTTAATAAACACTAGAAACATTTTTTTAAAATTACTTTTGACTGTTCTAAAATGACATTCGTTTTCACTGCACTGTGCAAAAATTTTCTTTTTAAAAAAAATTTTTTTTGAGTTGAGAAAATGGTAAAAAATTACAGTATTCTTAGACAAAATAAACAGTTTTAATAAAATACCAAAACATTTTTTTCAATAGTTTGTGATAGTGAAATAAAAATGGCATTCATTTTTCACTGCAGAGTGCATCCAAGAAAAATGACTGCACAGTGCAATATGATAAACAAAACTTGATAAATATTACAATCTTGTAAAAAAAAGTGTTTAAACTAAAATTTACGTTTATTTTTTATTAAATATTTGTTTTTGCACGGTGCAAGACATTAAAACTTTGCACTGCGCAAAAAGTCTTTTTTTTTAATTAAAATTTTTTAAATTGACAAAATAGAGACAAAAAAAGGTAAATCAATTAAAAATAACCAGTTTTAAAAGAATACAAAGCCATTTTTACTTAACTCTTATTTAAGGTCAATAAAAACAGTGTTTTGCTGGACCGGACCTCTTAAAAACGTTCAGGACCTTAAGGCCTGAGCGGAAAAAATAGAGCCGGACCGGTCCGGCAAAACTCTGAATAAAAATGACATTCATTTTCACTGCACCGTGCAATCAAAAAAGTGACTGCACCGTGCAATGTCAAAACCTTTCCAATTAAAAAAACTAAGAAAACCACAGTATACCGCTACTAAAAATGAACTTAAAAGACAATTCCGCAACCATATTTTAAAGCCACACCATGTGGATATGAACCAGGATATGTGTTTAACATTTGAGTGCATTCTGAGCTGATCTTGACCTATGTCATGTTGTTATTATTAGAGTTTAGTTCCGTTTACAAGCAAACTTTTGTAACCATATGAGTCTGTGTTGTTGTTTGTGAAGCACTTGAACTGGTAGTGCACTTGGGACATTTGAAATGTGAAAAAAAGCGGTGAAATGGGGTAAAAACAGCTAAAAGTGGCTGAAAATGGGGGTGAATCTTGATGAACTTGGGCGTTTTTGGCATGAAAATTGATGGTAATTAATTGATATTGTTGTAGTGGTTTTAAAAAATATTGGAAATTTTAAATTTTCATGTTTTTGGTTACCTAAATTACCAAAAAAGAGCAAAAAAGATGTAAAAACGGCTAAAAATAGCGAAAACTGGTGGTAGATCTTTAAGAATTGGGCGTTTTTGATACAAAAATGAATGGCAGGTAAGTGATATCGTTATGATAGTTTAAAAAAATCTTAGGAATTTTAAATTTTTATGTTTTTTGTTACCTAAATCATCAAGAAAAAGTAGTTTTAAAGCAAAAAACGCCATTTTTAGGCCTAAAATTATTAAAAAAATGACTTTTTTAAATTTTTTTTGCAGAAAAAAATTTGTTTGCGATTTTGATTATCTTCAGGTATTTTTGAAACAAATTTTAAAAACAAACATTGTGGTAGACAATTGCACTTCTTGATTTTTAATACCTGCTTGATGGCCTAGTGTAACATCGTGGGAGGTCTTGATCTAAGACAAACTTTGAATTTTTTTTTAAATTCTTTGAAGAAAAGTTCAAAGTTTGTCATTTTAAAACTATTTTGAAGTGATTGACTGAAAAATAAGTTTTAAAATGGCAAGAACTTTCTTTACAAAACATAAAAATGAGATGCGTCGTATAACTTGTCACCTGCAGGCTGCAGAAACTTTAAAGTTTGATATTTTACGTAGAAATGGCAAGAACTTTCTATACAAAACGAAAAACGGCAAAAACTTTCTTTACAAAACATTAAATGGCAATAACTTTGTTTACAAGTCAAAAAATGACAAGAACTTTCTTTACATAATATAAAACTGATATTCATGTCTAACTTGTCACCTGCTGGCTGCATACTTAACAAATTTTGTTACTTGGTGGAAAAATGGCAAAAAATTTGATTTCAACAGTATTTGATAATTTTAACCATTTTTTTATTTTTCAAACAATTTTACAGTATTGTAGGTTTTAATACACAACATGTTCCATATGGGTCCTAATGGGGGCCTAAAGTCATGTTATTTTGACAATGTATTTCTGTGGTGTAGTGGTAATTACGTCTGCTTTACATGCAGAAGGCAGTTGGTTCGAGGCCGGTCAGTAGTTAATGGTCTTTTTGATATTTTTAAAAAAAGTTGGTGGTATAAAATACGTTATTAAGTAAAATAAGTCTAGTTGAGTTAGTTCTAACAAAAATGTTATAATTTTTTCAAAAAAAATTTTATTTTTTTTAGCTATCTTTATGATATAAACAACAATATCTTTTGTCAAAACAGTCCAAAACCCGAGAAAAAGCGATTGTTCTAGAGTGCAAACTACTTTGGATTGCTTTTTTGTGTATCGAAGATCGTGTTCGACAGCTATTTTTTGTCGGTTTGGATTTCCAAAGAGTAAACAATCAAGTTGGGCTGGTAATCGCCAAAGCAAATATTATCGTAGTGGCCATATGGTCTAGCACACGGGGGAGGAGCCTAAGCCTAGCCCAGAGCCCTAACCCAGAGCCCTAGCCCAGAGCCCTAGCCCTAGCCCTAGCCCAAAGCCCTAGCCCAGAGCCCTAGCCCAGAATCCTAGCCCAGAGCCCTAGCCCAGTGCCCTAGCCCAGAGCCCTAGCCCAGAGCCCTAGTCCAGAGCCCTAGCCCAGAGCCCTAGCCCAGAGCCCTAGCCCAGAGCCCTAGCCCAGAGCCCTAGCCCAGAGCCCTAGCCCAAGCAATAGCCCAGAGGTTTAGCCCAGAGCCCTGAGCCCTAGGACAGAGCCCTAGACCAGAATCCTAGCCCAGAGCTATATCCCGGAGCCCTAGCCAAGAGCCTTAGCTTAGAGCCCTAGCTCAGAGCCCTAGCCCAGAGCTCTAGACCAGAGCCCTAGCCCAGAGCCCTAACCCAGAGCCCTAATCCAGAGCCCTAGTTCAGAGCCTTAGCCTACGTCCCTAGCTCAGCGCCCACTTGAGTCTGCTCTATTCTGAGTTAATCCTAGCCTGCCTTGAGCTGAGCCTACCTTACCTTGACTTGGGCCTGCCCGACCCTGACTTGGAACTGCTCCACCTTGACATAGGCCTACCCTACCCTGACTTGAGCCTACCCTACCCTGCTCAACACTAAATTAAGCATTCATTACTCTGACTTGACTCTACCTTGCTCTCAGTTGAGCTTACTCTACCTTGACTTGATCTGACCTTACTCTAACTTCAAACTGCCCTACCGTGAATTTGGTCTAGCTTGCGATGTCTTACCATTAGGTATACTTTACCTTGGCTTTCTCTATTTAATACTTTAATCTTGCTCTACCCTATTCTCATACAAGTCAACTGTAAACAGCGCAGTATTACTGTGTTTCCTTATACCTACAGTACCAAAACGTACCAAAAAGTAGCGAAAATTTCAAAATGTTTTATTTACACATAGTTACTTGTACTAAAATGTTTAAAGCTGTGTCATAACGACGGCCCTATTCGGATATCGTTGCTGTTTGGCCATCTCAACGCCAAAACTTGTTGTACTTCGGTTCATTTCGGTCGAGTGGATTTTTGGGTAGCCATTTATCGACTTTGGTCGATTTAAAAACCTCATTTTTGGGGTTTCTGGAGGGTCTGGCAAAGCGTCGGCTGGTTCTTCATATAAGGGAAGGGTGGGCTAAAATTGGAGGTTTATGACATTCTTTTTTGACTTTAAGCTAAATTTTAGAAAAATTTGTTAATTTTTTTTGTTGACAGGTAAAATTTAAATATTTGATTGAAAATAGCAAAAACTTTCTTTACAAAACAATAAATGATATTTATCGTATAACTTGTCACCTGCACGCTGCACAATTACCAAATTTTGTTATCTTATAAAAAATGACATCAACCTTCTTTACAAAACACATAACAATAACTTTCTTTACAAGACTAGAAATGACAAGAACTTTCTTTCCAAAACTAAAGATGGCAAAAACTTTCTTTTCAAAAGATTGTTTTTCGTATAACTTGTCACCCGCAAGCTGCAGGATGAAAAATCTATTGAGTTATGGTTTAAAATGACGAAAACTTCCTTTACAAACCCAAAACGGTAATAAAGTTGTTTACATGACTAAAATTGGCAAGAACTTTCTTTACCAAACATTAACATTAGATTTATCGTATAACTTGTCATATGCAGGCTGCATAATTACAAAATCTCGTTATTTTATAAAAAATCACAAGAACATCCTTTACAAAACATAAAATAGCAAGAACTTTCTTTACAAAACAAAAAAATAGAATTTATCGTATAACTTGTCACCTGCAGGCTGCATGATTACAAAATCTCGTTATTTCATGAAAAATGGCAAGAACTTCCTTTACAAAACATAAAATGGCAAAAACTTTCTTTACAAAACATAAAATAGCAATAACTTTCTTTACAAGCAATGAAAAATCAAAGAAAAAATAAAAATATTTATTCTACAGGTTATGCAACTTGAAATGAAAACAAAAATAATATTATTATAGACCGACATTTTGCATTGAAATAAAGATTGTTATTTGGCATGGAAAAGAGTTTGCGACTGAAATTAAAGCAGTATTTGTTGATTGTTAGGCGAATGGGCTCGACGGGCTTGGAGCTGAAATGGAGTTTGTTAGGTAATGAAAAGGTTAGTCAAGCTTTGATAGAAGTTATATAAAGGTAGGTTAATGATAAGCAAGTATAATGTTATGTTAGGTATTATTAAGCAAAGTTTAATATAAAGTGCAATACCCTACCCTACCCTACCTTATCCTACCCTATCCTACCCTACCCTACCCTACCCTTCCCTTCCCTACCCTACCCTACCCTACCCTACCCTACCCTACCCTACCCTACCCTACCCTACCCTACCCTACCCTACCCTACCCTTCCCTACTCTTCCCTACCCTACTCTACTCTACCCTACCCTACCCTACTCTACCCTACTTACAATTCCCTACCGTATTTTGACCTTACAGTACTCCAACAGTACCTTGCAAGACTTTCCCCAACCTTAATCTACCTTGCCCTTACAATACCCTATTCTATCATATCCTTACAGTACCCTACTCTATCATGACCTTACAGTACCCTACCTTATCATGACCATACTGTACCCTACTCTATCATGACCTTACAGTACCCTACATATTATGACCTTACAGTACCCTATTCTATCATCACTTTACAGTACCCACTGTACTAAGGTCAAACAGTATATATACTGATTTATCAAAAAAAAATTTAAAAAATTATAGTAACGGTACTACTAACAGTACCACTCTCTCACACACTTGAACATCAAAAACTCTTACCATGCCATACCGTGGGATCCTACTACAAGATGTTAAGCCAGCTCTAGGTACAATATTTACATTACTTCTCCCATCATTCTCATCTCTAACCTCTACCATAGATACAGTAGTATTGCTAGCTTGTACAGTACCATTAATATTGGTACTTTGAACCGCGTCAAAGGTGGTAGAGGCTTCTGAAGCTGATAATATAGGTGATTTCGACAGGTATGAGGTACCAAACAGCTCGTTTTTGGTACAGTTTTGGCTCATTTGATGGTTATTTTGGCTGTTTGGTACTTCTGGTACTAAGCTAGTACTATGATGGGTGTCGTGAGTGTTCTGCACACTTCCCAGAACGTTGGGCTGGGATGAATGTGCTACAGGAAGTCGGCTTTCAGCTTCAGAAAGCTGCTTCTCCTGCAAGTTTTGGCCGTTCTTGGCTTCAGAAGCATACCGTGAAGCCTCTGAATCGTACCGTGAGCTTTCAAAAGGATACTGTGAACCTTCAGAAGCCCACTGTGAGCCCTCCGTGCCATACCGTGAGCCATTAGAGTTGTACCGTGCTTCAGAGTTTTGTTGAGAAGACTCCATGCTAACTTGACCAGCGTTCTCCAACTGCCTCTGCCGTGCCTCAGCGTTCTTCTTTTCACGTTCCTCTCGTAATTTCTGAATATGAGACTGCCTAGGACCGTAGCGTTGAGATGGTTTACGTTGGAAGGTAATGGAACGTTGATCACGACGCATCAAAGGGTTGTTCACGTTCTCGAATTCGGTTCGGCCGCTGAAAATTTAGTACAGTAAGCCAAGACAAGGTAAGATAGGGTAAGGTAGGGTAGGGTAGGGTAGGGTAGGGTAGGGTAGGGTAGGGTAGGGTAGGGTAGGGTAGGGTAGGGTAGGGTAAAATACTTACCGATGCTCAAAAGTGCTTCTGAACCTCATGATCTGGTCGGCCGCCTTCCTGTGAGGTCGATGTCTCTTCATCCTGTAGAAGGTATGATACTCGACCGCCCTCTTCCACACATGTTTCGACGCCTTTTGGCTAGCCAATTCGAACACAAACGTGTGCTGCTGAATCTCGTCGTTGATGTGCTCCTCCAGCACTATCGTAATATGTCTGTTGTGGAAGGAGAACTGAGGCATGAAGTGCCAGAACAGAAGCCCGATGAGGATACTGTTGTCCAGCACGATGACTCCAGAAGGCGTCAACCCCAACATATACCTATTGCCATCTTTGGCCACAACTTCGTACAACTCAACCCCATAGAACTCCAATCGCTTGGCCAAGTCGAGGTATGTTTGTTCGGCTTCTGCCGGGCTGCGCCCTAGCAATTGGGTCCAGTGTTTGAGGATCTGAATCTCCATTTCTTCGTCCTGCTCCGGATGGAATCTAAATTCCGAGACGAAAGCTGCATTATGCTGTTCTGGGTTGTAGTCTCCACATTCAGCTGAAATTTGACGTATTTTAGAGAATTTTAAACCCGAAATGGAGAAAAGTGACATGTTATACAATGAAACATCTCCAAAACAAAATTTTTACAATTTTTTAGTTAAAATACGCTGTAATACTGTTTTCTTGCCTATTTTTAACAATTTTAACTTTTTTTACTAATTTCATGTCCAAATATGACAAAAAGTGACATGTTATACGATGAAACCTGCCAAAAAAAATTTTTCTATTTTACATAAATCTATGCAGTATGCCATTTTTAAGCCTATGTGACCCACAAATTTCGAAAAAAATATTTTAGTAAGCGATATGTTATACGATGGAAAGTGTCAAAACAAAAAAAATTTTAAAAGTTAAAAGAAACTTTTTTTTTGTGATCTACCCTAACATGCCCTATTTTACCTTATTATACCCTACCTTACCCTACCCTATCACAACTACTACAGTAACTTACATTGCAACTGAAGCGCGGCCATCTGAATGACAGAGCTTTTTGGGCACTTCATTTTGCCAGTTCGAATGTCATTCTTCAATTGAAGGAAGAACTGATACCTCGTGAATTCGGATCGCAAATTCGATGGTTCGGACGAGAAGAACTTGACTTGGAATCGAAAGGTACAAATGCGACCGATCGAAATCTGCTTTCGGATCTTCTTCCAGGGGTCCAGCCAGTGCTGCAAATGTGACATTATTTATGAAATACCAATTGAAAATAGACTTTTTATGCTCTATGTGATTTGTTTTGTCATGTTTTATATATTTTTACAAAAAGTTTGGTGTAAAACGGCAAAATTTGAAAAAAAGCGATATGTTATACGATGAAAATGACATGTTATACGATAAAACATGTCCCATACAAACAACGTGCATTTTTATTTAAAAAATGTTTAAAAAATGTCAATTTTGTTTTCAAAACCAATATTTTACATATTTTTACTGTAAGGTTCAGTTTATATGGTCAAGAACAAAAAACTGACATGTTATACGATGAAAGATGTCCCAGACAAACAAAAGCTGTTAATTGTTTAAAATGGGATGTAAAATACGTCATAATAATCGTCAAATACTATGAAATTGTGTCTCCCAAACGCCATAAAACCAAAAAGTCAAAAAAAGGTTGCAATAACCCACCTGAACATTGTAGTGATCAGTGTACTGTAGGCCAAAGTAATCACTTTCGTCCAAATCCAAGTGATTAAACACCTTATCATAGGCCTCCTGACCAACCGCCTTCCTCGACAAGGCAATATTCAGATCAGTACCATCAAGTAAAATGATTTTACAGAGGAATTGCTTGCGAATGTTGATCTGATCTGGCTTTATGTTGTTATGAGTCTTGTCGATCTCATCTGATCGTGGGACTCGTTTCTTGTTGAAACGTTGCGAAAACGAACGTAATATGCTGACCATTGTGCTGAAAATGAAATAATTTTAGTTTTGAAACGTCATTTTATAACAAAAAAAAATTTTTAGCCAAAGTTCATTGATTAGGCTTAGACATGTTTCATCGTATAACATGTCACTTTTTTGCTGTTTTTTGATAAAAATAGCCATTTTTTACAAGATACAAATTAAAATACAACGATACAATGAAATTTTAACATTTTTTTCAAATTTTGTCTAAAAATGTTCGAAATGGCGGTGGATATGTTTCATCGTATAACATGTCACTTTTTTGCAATTTTAAAATAAAAATACCATTTTCTACATGCTAGAAGGTAAAATACGTTAAAATAACGTCAACAAACATAATTTTTTAAAAGTTCAATTTTAAATTTTAAAAAATGGCAGTGGACATGTTTCACCGTATAACTTGTCACTTTTTCCTGTTTTTTAAAAAATCTATGTTTTTTACTTTAGAAGTGTAAAATACGGTGTTTAGTTCGTATATTTTTAAATAATTTTAAATTTTTATGTTCAAAAAATGTAAAATTTTATAGAATGTTACCTAAAAATTTTTTTTCAAAAAAAAATTTTTTTTTTGGAATTTTAGGTATAAAAATAACAAAATACGATCTGTCAGAACATAAAATATAGAAATTTGCAAAAAAAGTAGTAAACAACAGCAAAAACAACGTTAAAACAAAGTGAAAACGATAAAAATGCGTATTTTATGGGATCAAGTTACCCTCGTAAACTCATCAAAAGCCATTTTTATTGTAAAGAGATCAGTTACACCATAAGAGCGAAGACGTCACTCTGTAAGTGAGATCGTATTTTGTCTGGAACATACTGAAAATTGCATTTTTGAAACAAAAATTTCAAAGTGCAAGACTTTGTTTACAGAACATAAAATGGCAAGAACTTTCTTTACAAATCATAAAGTGGCAAAAACTTTCTTTACAAAACATAAAATGGCGCAAGCCTTGTTTACAAAACATAAAAGTGTTATTCGTCGTATAACTTGTCACCCGCAGGTTGCAATACGCAAACTTAGAATTTTAAAAGCAAAAATGGCAAGAACTTTCTTTACAAAAAACTAAATAGCAAGAACTTTCTTTACAAAACTTAAAATGGCGCGAACTTTCTTTACAAAAAACTAAATAGCAAGAACTTTCTTTACAAAACTTAAAAATGGTATACATCGTATAACTTGTCACCCGCAGGCTGCAAAACCCAAAATTTTAGTAATTTTGTCTAGCTTTTTCTCGATTAAAAAGTTTAAAAACTGTAAAATACGAACGTCGGTGTTAGATTAACTTTAAAGTACTTACATTTCCTCCAAATCCAGTTTAATTTCAAAATTTTAAAATTTCGAAAAATTTCCAATTTTTTTCGAAAACCACCACGAAACGTCGTGAGAACGTCGAAGAACGTCGCAAAAATACGCAAAGTTTGTGTTTTACTCACTTTCTTTCTCTGAAAAGGCAAGGTTAAGTTAATTGGATTAATTAACTGGATGTTGCATATCACGGACATTAGCAAACAAATGTAAAAAAATTGAAAAAAATGATGACATTGACTTCCATGATGTCATAAAAACCAAAAACTTTAATCTTATATTAAATATCATATTAATAATGGCATTTTATGTTTGTTTTCAACAAAAATCTTCACTAAAAAGCCCTTTTAGCAACAAAAATTTCAGAAAAATCAATAAAAAGTAATAAAAATAAAAACTTATGTTAATGTAAAACGGTATATATTATGATACAGACAAACCGTATTTCGCAGACCGTATTTTACCAAAAAATCACTTCCCCATCTCCCCCACTCCGCAAAAAGACCAAAAAACCATTAGGTCCCGGCCGGGTTCGAACCGGCGGCCTTCTGCGTGTAAAGCAGACGTGATAACCACTACACCACGAGACCACATAAGCAAGACGGCATTCCTTTAGGGCCAATATGGAATACACTGTGTAGTGTACTCTGCCATATTGTAAAATTGTTTGAAAAATGATAAAATGTTGGTAAAAGCAGCAAATTTTGTGTTGGAACGAAATTTTTTGCAATTTCTACATAAAATGATAAAGTTTGGTAATTGTGCAACCTGCAGCAAGTTGCACGACGAAAATCATTTATGCTTGGCAAAGAAAATTATAGCCGTTTTATGTTTAGTAAAGAAATTTTTTGCCATTTTGTGATTTGTAAAGAAAGTTCTCGCAATTTTAAGTCTTGTAAAGAAAGTTCTTGCCATTTTATGTTTTGTAAAGAAAGTTCTCGCAATTTTAAGTCTTGTAAAGAAAGTTATTGCCAATAAGATAAGTACTTAAGCTTACGATACGTAGTAGAGTAGAATATGATTGAAAATGTCATAACTTTAGAATTTTTCAGCAATGTAATATATTGTTTTAGACCTTCTATCTTTTAAAAACACTACCTTAGGGCTATAAATCGACTGTTTGACTACGCTTTTAGTGCTGACAAAATTGTATTTGAATAGCTGCGAAGATTTCACAATACCATCTGACACAAGTGAAAAAAAAAATTCAAAAAAAAAATTTTTTTTTAAATTTATTAAAGTTTGACTTAAGAACATTTACTTTACATCCAAAAAATTTCAACATTTTGTGACAATGACCCAAAGGTTTGACTAAAGAGTCATAAAAAAGTATTGTCATTGCTTCCACTTTTATTACAAAAATGACTTGAATTCTCGACTTTATTAGGAATAAAACGAATAGCTGCACGTCATTGATGATAAGGAGCTAAAACTTTCTTTACAAACTAGAAACTTGAGAAAGCAGTTGTGACTTTTGAGTCGAATTACATAAGTCTGATGAAGTGGGAAACAATAAGAACGCTCTTTACAAAGCTTAAAATAACAAGAACTTTCTTTACAAAACAAAAAATGGCAAAAACTTTGTTTACAAATCAGGAAATGGCAAGAACTTAGTTTACAAAACAAAAAATAGTAAAAACTTGTTTACAAAACAAAAAATAGTAAAAACTTGTTTACAAAACATAAAATGGCAAGAACTTTCTTTACAAAACATAAAATGGCAAGAACTTTCTTTACAAAGCATAAAATGGCAAGAACTTTGTTTACAAAACTTAAAACGATATTCTTCTTATAACTTGTCACCTTCAGACTGCAGAATCTTGAAGTGTAATATTTTATGTAGAAAAAAAAAATTTCTTTACAAAACATAAAATTAAATTTATCGTATAACTTGTCACCCTCAGGCTGCAAAACACAAACTTTGGTTTTTACAAAACAAAAAACGACAAGAACTTTCTTTACAAAACATAAAATGACAAGAACTTTCTTTCCACTTCCCAAAAAAGCACAAAATGCGTTTTATCTGTTCACAAATGAACGGAACGTTCTCAAAAAACAACAAATATAAAATGGCGAACAACCAAAACAAACGGCATGAAACTTGTTTTTCGCTGAAAAAATTCGAACATTTTCAAGAAGGCGAATCCAGTAGCGGCTTGATCAAAGATTTCGAAAAAATATAAATTGAAAATAGACAATGTAGACATTCATCTTGTTAACAGCTTGTTGGGTTTTCACTTCCGCTGAAAATATTGTGAAAATACGAAAATTTTCGGGTTTGCAGCCTGCGGGTGACAAGTTATACGAGAAATGCCTTTTTATGTTCTGTAAAGAAAGTTCTTGCAGTTTTAGGTTTTGTAAAGAAAATTTTTGTCATTTTATGTTTTGTAAAGAAAGTTTTTGTCATTTTATGATTTGTAAAGACAGTTTTTGCCATTTTATGATTTGTAAAGAAAGTTCTTGCCGTTTTAGGTTTTGTAAAGAAAGTTCTTGCCATTTTATAGCTTGTAAAATAAGTTTTTGCCGTTTCTTTAGGGAAGATCAAAAGATATCGCCTTGCAGACTGCGAGAGACAAGTTATACGACAAAAAAACACTTTGCGTCCTGTAAAGGAAGTTTTTACCAATTTATGACTTGTAAAGAAAGTTCCTACCGTTTCTTTGAAAATCAATCCGAAATAAATTTAAAATTCTTTAAAATTAAAAAAAATGCTGGTAGCAACCTGCTCCTTCTGCTCTCTTTATATACATTTATACCAAACGTGAGCCGGACGCTCTATAAGAAGATTGAATAAACTATAAACTTTTAAAGGCATTGTTATCACTTTTTCAAAACACAAAATTCAAAAAATTGATTAAAAGTTTGAACACAAAACACTATAATATCGTGAGAACTTTCTTTACAAAACATAAAATAGCAAGAACTTTCTTTTCAAAACGCAAAATGGCAAGAACTTTCTTTACAAAACATAAAATAGCAAGAACTTTCTTTTCAAAACGCAAAATGGCAAGAACTTTCTTTACAAAACATAAAATAGCAAGAACTTTCTTTTCAAAACGCAAAATGGCAAGAACTTTCTTTACAGAATATAAAATGGCAAGAACTTTCTTTACAAGACTTAAAATTGCGAGAACTTTCTTTACAAGTCACAAAATGGAAAAAAATTTCTTTACTAAACATAAAACGGCTATACTTTTTCATGAAGAATAACTCCCCAGCAGGTGAATAATAATTCCCCATGGAAATGAGCTACAATCATTCCCCACTTATTCAAATTTTAAGATTTTTTTTTCAATTTCTCATTCTTTCATTTTGTTTGCTGAATTATGGTCGGACCGCGAACTTACGAAGAAATCACTTATGAAAAAACAACCGTTGTGTCCCACTCGGTATTACTATCATGCTCCACTCGAATTGCTATCATGCCCCACCTGTATTACTATCATGCCCCACCCGTATTACTATCATGCCCCACCTGTATTACTATCATGCCCCACCTGTATTACTATCATGCCCCACCTGTATTACTATCATGCCCCAGACTTAAAAAACCCTTATTCACTTTCCCATTGCACTTTGAAAGTGTATTCATTATTCAAAACTTAGTTTGCACTTTCAAATTTTATGCAAAAAATCCCTATAAAAGCAACCGATTTCCTCAGAAATCGTCATTCGAGCCAAGTTCCGA